TATTGGCTACTGGGGTTCTTGCCTGCCTGTTGCTGGGGTAGGTGTGGCACAGTCGTGGCGCCCCATTCTCACTAACAACTACATTCTTTAACAGGCTTATGCGCACACACATGTACACACACACACATACAGACACATTCACCCACACGCACACAGGCACAATCAGTCTCACACATAGACACAAACCAATTTAGGTTGTCCCTGGTAGAATTATTCCTGATGCTTTTCTTTCAGTTACTTATTTAAATTAATTATTATTCCAGCTCTCGTGGCTGTGCTGTGTTGCTTATTTAGTGTGTGTGACTGTTTCTTGTTTTCATTTTTCTCTTAGTTGTCTTACTGTGTCAGCTGTTCATTGCTGCTGTTCGGCTGGTTGTCCTTTACTATTATTATTATTTTATTTTTATTGTTTGTTTTTTTTGTGTTTGTTTGTTGTGTTTTTCTCCTCCTCCCCCCTCTCTGTTCAATTGCTTTCTGCAATTGGTGTTTCCCACAGCTTTTCCCTGTTGTCCCCACTTTCCATCCCTCTTTCCCCCTTCTCTTACAGGTGTTGTCCTTTCTCTGTGCTGTCTGTTTGTGCCCCCCCATCCCCGTGTCTCTGCCCCCCGGTCCGGCCCGGTGACAAATCAATACATAATTAAATAAATAATAAAACAGACAAAGGAGTATTTTAATACTCTCTTGTTAAAGTAAAATCTGTCTGGCACAATATGGTATCCAGGTCATTATACTCTATACCAGGCTGCTGGGCAGGACAGGTTAAAAAAAAAAAAAATATATATATATATATATATATCTTGGACAAAGCACAGAGACAATCAGATATTTTAAGGGCCTCTTCTAATTTCCACCTCCATGCCTCTACCACTGAAATAGCAGCTAAGGCTGAAAGTACATGATGCCCACTATAACTCTTTCTACAAGATAATACTTTTAGTCAATAATTCAGAATCAGCTGTATGTTTAGACTATGTTATGTCACATATGTCTTTTAACACAGTGTTCTTTAACACAGACCTATATTGTATCATAGTGGTTTCCTGTTTCAAAAGGGAGAGTGTAGAACAGAGTGTCTTTTTTGGGTGCCTGCACTAAAAAGAAACTGTTGCTGGCAAGTACACACTGTTACACAAACTCAATATCACACTGAACAGCAATATCCTTTATATTACAGTACACTGTGGACTAGAGCTTTTCTATGATAGAATTCTCTTTTTTTTCTCTGTGAATGTTGTTCAAAGTCAAACCAACAGGTAGAAAACTGATGGTAAAACTAGACTGGGTGACATTATTAAACCAGGATGATGTGTTTGTGTTTAGATGTGTAGACGTGGGCACAAGCCTGTGTGAAGAATCTTATGTCAATTCTTTAATGGACACTCATTTAATCGGCAGCGATACAGTGGTTATGCATTTGTGTGCCATTTGTGTAACATCTAGCACAGTTATGCTATGAAGCTACATCTTTAATAATGCTGTGACCCACTTCCTGGCTGGGAAGTCAACAGTTTCATCATCACCACCATCCAACTGCCATGACAATAAATGTCACCAACCTTCTCTAATGTTACTGACATGTCAGCCATTTTAATTATTCATGCAGAGTGTCTGTCCCATTTTATCTCCAAATGCTTTAATTGACTTTGAAGCCTCCAACCCCCCATCTTCTTTCACTTCCCCATTCAACAATGTTTTGCCCATTAGAGTGGAGCTTGAGCAGACTGTGTGGAAGTACATCGCAAGCAGAAATTAAGAAGTGAGGTGCTGGCTAAATATTATGTAGCATCTGTATAAGATTATATATTTTGCTGTTTGTACTTTGTGTTTATTAAAACAACATTATGTAAGATTTAGTGGTATTTTTTAGTGGCAATTTGGCACCCCTACAGTTTCAGAGTGTAATTCACGGCTGTCGTAAATAAGGACAGGTATACACATCTGCCATGATATCCATACAGAGAATACCAAGCTAGCTTCTTCTTATAGCTAGCATGCTGATGAGTCTTGTTGGTGTGTGATGTGACGGCGTAAAGCATAACACCGTTCTTGAAATAGTTTCCCTGCCCAATGATTTCAGTGCTATATGGTGCAATACCAGGCGTTCAGAGATGTCATGCTCCCTTTTACAAGTCACTGTACTATTAAAAATTTTAAGATAAAACTACTACATAATGTTGCTTTAAATGTCATATTGCATTGAAGCAGTCTCATCAAGCTTGCAAGACATCGAGCAGCATTTCAGTCAACCTAATAACAACCATTCAAGTTATTTTTAGTCTGAAATTGTAATAATGTGAAATATTTATAACTGCTAATTTCTAGGATAAAAAAGGGAAATATGTACAGGATATAGAGGAAAAAATGTCACATAATAACGGCAGGAATGCTGGCCCAGTTCAACCATTTGCATAGGTCAAAGTAAACTGGAATGCTGTGTATTGAGCAAGAGTGACAGTGACACCCTGTGGTTATTTAGGCTTAGTGCTGTGACTATAAACAACTCCATCCCCCAGCTCAGACAAGAATAAGGCATATAACATACATTTTGATTAAATTTACATCTTATGACCACCACTAGAAAGTTCAGCCCTGGTTCAGAAATGATCAATCTTTCTTCACACTCAACAAAAAACTAAGGAAGCATGACTGACTCAGGAACATATCACATTAATTAGACACTTCATATATGATATGTGATGGCCCTCTGACTCTGCCACAGCCTGTGGGTTTGGGTCATGCTCATACTGTTGCTTGTGTTTTGTGTCTCCCTTCAGTTCCTGGTATAGGCGGAGCTTGTATTGGTGCAACTGGGTGCACCTGACCAGTCCATCCAGAATGCATTTAGGATTAGCCGCTTCCTATCTCTCACTCCATTGTGGGCTCTCCCCCTTGCACCACATGGTTTCTTTTGTTTGGTTTGGTTAATTTCCTTCCTTTTGTCATGGCCTATGAGCCAAACCTGGGGCCGTGTTCACTATAAGCAGTACAAACAGAACAAGTACTCAGATCCTTTATGTAGCCTTACCAAAGGCAGAAAAAGCATGGTCTAAAAATACATTAGGCCTACAAGTAAAGCTCCTGAATTCAAAATGTTACTTAAGTAATAGAACAGAAGTATTGTCAGTAAAGTGAACGCTATTATGCAGAATGGCTCCTTTCACAGTGTTATAATTTTTATGGAATATTAGAATATTGCACCAACAAATATATGTAAGAGAATTTGAATGTTGTGGTCCATCAATATAGAGCTACTTTTAGTATACTTTGAATACTACCGGGCAGATTAGTAATATAGCACTGCATCATATCATATACATGTAGGCTATCATGTGTTTTTATCTCCACCAGGGAGGGGATCATGAATCGCCTGAGTACTTCTATCCGCAGCTCATCTTGTATATTACTGGACACATCAGTCTAATATTTTTTGTGCACATTTATGTTTGGTATGTGTGTTTATTTTGTGTTTGAAGTGATTCACAATTTTTGATTAACCTATTTTATTGACTGAGCCCTTTATAAACCTTGGACTTTCATCTTTTTAGCAGTATTCGCTATTTTACGTCTTTCTACGTTACTTACAACATAACAAAAGGCATTTCTGGCAATTGGCTAGGCTAAAAACACCTAGTCTGTTACAGGTCACATTTTGGGCTTTGTAGTGGCTCAACAACTGACATCCATAAAACGTTTGGTCTCATCTTAAACTGGAGCATCTCCAGTTACTAACATACCAGATATGTCGCAGTTAGCCACAATACAAGATTAATAAATCCCTGTTTTTGTTATCTTCGACAGCATCTTGGGAGTGGGAGATATGGAGGGTTGTGAGTTGTGTTTATCCTTTTTTCATTTCCGCTCTGCCTTTCTACATTGTCTCTTTAAGCTTCTTGAATTTTTCATTCACCCACGGCAGAGAAGTTTTCAGCTTTTTATATCTGACTGGAGTTACAGAATCTAAAATGTACGCCACAGCTGTTAAAAAACAGTGACTGCTTCTTTACGGACAGATCATGTTGTTCACTGGTACTAAAAAATGTGTTTTAGGCAGTAAAAGTTTGACAGAAGCGAGGAACAGGGAGTGAATTTAGAGTGCGGGAGCAAATCACTGTGGTGGGTTTGGGGTCAGGAGAGAGGAGTGGAACCTGGAAGAAGACATTAGAGATGGCAAAATCAATCAAGTTCACATCATCCAGAAAGAATAAGAACTCTATTGTAACATAATGACTAACAAAAATTCCTGAATAAAACCTGAAGTTTAGGGGGTTGGTATATTAAAACATATAAAGTGGCCCATTTAATCTTTAAACTCACAAAGGTGGAGAAGCAGCCAAGGGAGAAATGGGGAACAACTAAAATCATTGCTGTGCAATACTGCAAGCCACCGCCTTGGCTTGCCATTCTTGGCTGGTGGAAAAATAAGCAAACAGAAGTGAGTATCTCGAACAGCAGGGATGGAGATGGTTTTAACTGTGTTGAGACTGTGAGTAGGTTTTGCACACTGCCTTTCAGTGATCCTAACAGGAATGAATGAATTAGTGAGGACCCACACAGTCATGGACAAGGCCATGAAATACAGAGCCAGGATACTGGGAAAGGGTTTTGCTGAGGAAACCATCAATTAAGGCTAAAAGCAGTAAAGTTAATAAAATTACCAATTGTTTTGATCCTTTCCTGTTAGGATGCAACCTATCCTGTTTAAACAGCTCGCATTTTGTCCAGAAAGAATCAAAATGACTAACATTAATAAATCCAAGTCCAAAATTTCCATAGGCTACTACTTGAGTAAATGTAGCTATTTGATTGCTTTCTACCACTGACTACAAACTTTCTAAATATAGAATGATAAAAATAATAGCCTCTACACAAATGTAGCCTGCGTTACGTTACCTTTATGTTACTTTATCTGTAGGCAGGAGTGTGCTATGCTGATTTTAAAAAACTGCCCCCTTGCGCTGCTGTCAAAACGCAACTACAAGCACCATGATGCATTGCGGCGAAACAGTCGCTATCATGACACATCTTCAATATAAGGAAAAGCTTCCTCCTTGGAAGCGTTTTATTTGCTAATTGGGAAGAGGTTCTGTCCTTCTGATGGTTAGCATTTTGAGTAGTAATTAATTAGCTACTCGTCTTGCCAAGCAGTGATGTCAGCTACTAAATGTGTTTCAGAAGTCATCTGCAGCTAGGTTTCTAGCTCAGGAGCTCGCTAAAATAGAGTTGCATAAGCTAGTGCGCGCTAACGCTAGCTAACCAAGGAGAGCGAATCCGTGACATTAAACGCTGAGAGTTACATTCATGAAAGAGAGACGTTGGAAGGGATAACTGTCATCGTTGTGTCTCCAGGACGTGTTACCATCACAGGGTACGTAAGTAGCTGGTTACTTTCTCTAACACCGGATGGCTATTAGCTAAACTTGACAGCTACGTTAGCGTTATGATAGGAGGACTTTAAAACAGCTAGCTAATGTGTGAAATGTTTGCTTAGAGTCATTCAGAAACTTAACTAGTTAAACGTTTTATGTAACGTTAAAAGGGTAACACAGTGTTAGTCGGATGTGTGTCATTTGCTGTGTTTTAATGTGGTGGCGAGTGAAACATTATCACGTGAGTTGCCACAGCACAGGAAGCATAACTCACAATTTCTCTAGTCATAATCTAGCCAAACGTTACTGCAGCATTTTTTTTTTATCAATGTTGTAGTCCAAACTTTCAAGGTATTATTTATATTGTGACGTTAAAATGACAATACGCTGACGTATAACTGTCTGTAAAGCTTTAAGACACGTGATATGGATTTATTTTGTGCATCTTAGTTTTCTACATTGACCAAACCTGTGCATGCAGCAAAGTTTAGTGGAAAAAGACAAGTTGACACCGAATAAAGTGGATTAATCGGTCAAGAAGTGTTGTTATAAGGTGGAAGCATGTACGATGACCCACTTGGCTCGCTGACACCTGCTCTGCACCCTTTTTAACAATGGCCTGTTTACATCTATTGGGTTTGCACTGTTACAAGCATAATTAGGTGAAATACTTTACACCAAGGTATTTCTTGAAAGTCAGCACTCATATTATCTGTTGTTACACACCCAATAACTCGTTCTACCTGTAGTTTTTCAGTACATCTGTAGAAATGGTCATACATTTGAATGCCTTATAGTTTTAAACGCTTACAGAATCAATCTAAAGCAGGGGTTTACAAAGTCTGAGACTGTGGGCCTCCCCTGGACAAAGCTTGGGAAAAGGGCACCCCCCACCACATCTTTAGTTTACTTAGCAAGTTTCGCTCAATTCCTGGATGCCTATGGGATCATGATTATATTATTTTATCCCATAGACACTCAACATTTGAGCCAAAATAGCCTAATATTGCTGTTTGACATAACTTCTGACTACACCAAATAGTTTTAAAAAAAGGTCTGGCCTGAGGCATTTATTAGTTTCTGACTCTGATGGGAGGGGAAACAGTTCCCAAAAACTACTGTATCTCTGAACTCTCACACATAGGCTATTCTATGTGATCTCCTTTTGATAATGAAGTAATGTAATATTATTTCACTTCCATTCACTGAGCCTCCACTGAAACTGTTTGGAGCCCCCCTAGGGAGGCACGCCTCACACTTTGAAAACCCCTGATCTAAAGCACTATCTAACGACTTAACTAGGCAAGATTTCTATATGTGTTCTCTTGCAAAGAGTCATGCAGTTGCCTTTTTATTAAATGTGCAGTTACGCACAGATATGCATTCATGACAATAACTTCACATTTCTACGGGGGCAGTGCACAGACGCTGATGCCACACTGCTAGAAATTCTTGCCCCCCAAAGAGATGAGACACTTGACTCACTGGACTCAATCACCTTGCTTGTTCCAGTTCCTATGCATGGTAATTAGTTTGTCATTAATCAAGCTGACTGCATTTATTTTTCAGTGCAAGAACGGTATTGATAACCTCCTAAAATGTCTGTCACAATACATTACATGGATTTCAAGATAGGCAAACAGGATTGAATGAGCTTTGACACAATATGCTTTTCTTCAGCTGTTTGTGTGCCAAATAGGTGTAGTGCTTATTTGTAGTGGGTCCTTTCACAATACAACCAGAATGTTTTTGTGCCCTATTTTAAGACTAATATCATGCAGTTTTGGAATGGTGCAGTTTGAAGAGCACTTGATGCCCTCTATACACACTATGGTTCAACAGAATCAATTCGCAGACCATCTATTTCCTCCTTGATAATATTACAAGTGCTGAGTGTTAAGTCAGTTTATTGTCAATGTCTGTTAGTCAGAAATATGCTCTTGGCTTGATGCTTCCTGAACCAAAACATTCTCTGTTTACATCTGTTTTTATCTCTTCCTTCCTCTCTTCCAAACAGCAAGTCTGTAGAGACACATGATTTCCCGTGAATCTTACCTGGAGTGGGAGGGTGTTGTGAGAAAGGAAAGAGAAGGAAGGAAAGCAAGGGGACTATAAACTAGAGTCATGAATCTCCATCAGGTCCTCACAGGGGCTGTCAACCCTGGAGACAATTGTTTCTCTGTAGGGAGCGTCAACAATGTGCCATTCACGGTAAGATATTTCAAGCTTTGAAAATATTTCCTTCCCAGCCATTGAGGAGGTTAAATTCTTAGGCAGTGTCCAAACTGATCTATCAGAACAGAATTTTGTTCATTTTATGAAAGCAGAGCAAAAGTAACGTATGGAAAAAGCACTGAGGCCAAGATTGCTTTGCTTACCCCATAGACCTCGAACTAAGTCAAAGTGACCCTGTTGCTAGTTTTGTCAGGTATTTTTAAGCCTCCGATGTTTGAAGTACTGGTCTTCTGTCTATCAAGGAACAAATCAAGTTAAGCAAAGGTGCAACGAAGAATCCACGAATGACAAATTTAGCACAGCCAATATGCTTTATGTCTTAAAAATACTTTTACTGCTTAAAACTGTCAAGTTTTCTTTTTACATGGGATGTTTTCTGTTAAAAACAAAAAACAAGATCTCATTACACTTTACTGACTAAATTACTAAGAATTTTCTAAATGTTAATCAAGGGCAGTACATTATATCACACTGGATGCATCGATATGACTAATAACATTAATAATATGAGTAATGTAATGGCCCAAAATGTTTCTGCATTACAGGTAAGTGATGCAATTTACGTTGAACTCATTTGAATAGGGTCAAAAAACTAAACTTGGTCACCAAAGATTTGGTCATCCTCCACTCAATTTTTTTTTTCTCTGGGAAGTTTAAATTATTAAATTAGTTAAGATTCAATTTTAAATGAAAGTACCAACAGTCAGACACAAGTTGCCACAGGTTTTGCCAGCCCTCAGGGCATGGGGCTACCTGTGCTAAAAATATATACTCCATGATATAAAAAGGAACTTTAGAGGAAGGCATTTGCCAAACTACTACTACTACTACTTAATTGTCTTTGTCCCCTGTGGGATATGAGTCCACAATGAACTCCCTCCATCAATCTATTAGGGATGTGTTCGCTTGGACAAATGCTTAATTACATCAATGACACTTGCATTTGAATGTAGCTTATGTCTTTGTGTTATGTTAACTCCAGTATAAGTTAGAACAGGCTTAATAGTGCAAAACCACTTCCCTTTACTGCAGGAAGCCCTTGTTTACGTTTGAAGAGTGTGCCGCATGTCTGAAATACAAAGGCAGTACCCCTGACTGCTTTTGCACTCTGTGATCTCAAAGCCAACTCTATGAGATGCTACTCCCATGCTATTTAGAGAATGGATCAATAGGAGAACTATTTCTGTCCTTCTGGTCCTCTTGTGAAGGAGACAGAGTCACAGTGAATCATGGCTCATGTGAGATCTACTTCTGAATACTAATCTTATGTGCTTGTATGCCAGAGTTGTTGTGTGGTGGCATGTTTGCTGCAGTGACACTGGTTCCAGGCCAAGTGCAGTTCAAGTGACCCTTCATGCAATTCTCACTGGGTGTCATCGTCATCTCTCTCCACTTCTTGCTGTCTCCTTGTCTCTTAATAGGCCTATGCATCAGGGTGTGACGTGGTGATTTTGGGCAGTGACTTTGAGCGACTGCAGATCATCCCAGGGGCCAAACATGGCAACATCCAGGTTGGCTGTGTCGACTGCTCACTGCAGGGTAGACAGGTAAGAGTAACAGACTGGTGCTCTGTCATGTTGGGTCCTCAGGCAAACTGGGATGCTCCTGACATACCATATCATTTCTGTTACAGCACAAACATTGTATTTTAAATGAATGCTTAATTTTTAAACATTAACTGAATGTGTATATATTGTGCCGGTAATCATTGGAAAGCATCAATTTTCAAATGAGAAAATGGGCATTTTGTTCATCTTTTTTTTAAGTGGAGGTCAATGTTGTATTGTACATCAATGGAAGATAAAAGATTTGCTACATAAACTGCTGCCACCATATATAAACAATGCAGGATGTGTTTAATACAATAATAATGCACCATATTAGATCAAACTGCAACAATAGGGAATCAGTCAAAAAGAAAAAGTGAAGGCATAAAAAATGTGTTTATGTAATTGATGGAATGCATTTTTGATCAAGTGTGGTAGGCAAGCTCAGTTCAGAGTGTTGAGATTACGCAATGGATCCTATCCAAATTTTGCTAAAATGTCCAGGACTCTGCTCTCTTCGGATTTTGTTATAGATTAACTGTGTTGCAAGGCCCATTAGTGGCAAGCTCCGTTGTCCGCTTAATAAGTGTTGAGAGCTTATGTTTTCAGTAAGTACATTTGTTGGCAACATCAAAGGCTGTTTCAATGAACTTGAGCTTCCTGTCATTAACTCCAAGTGAGAGAAAAATCAGCCAGTAAAGAAAGTAGTGGTTTTAAGTGTTGGTGCAAACAAAAGGTCTGCTGTGATGTGTTTGTAATTTGTGTCTGGGACAGATCTGCAAGAATATATTAATGTTATGTAGTCTTTCTGATGTTTCTTATTGAACCCTGTTCCAAACTAAAATCCTGCACTGCAAAGCTGCAAAATGTTGCCACAGTATTCATTGCTCCTCTTACTTACTGAGTAACAACGCTGCAATCAAACAAAAAGGGACTATTCCAGGATTACTACAACATCATAAGCTTGACAAATTACTTCATAAAGATAATAAAGGCAGAAGTCATCATTGCCAGGCCGTCACTGTTATCTAGGTTTATTTTTTAATTGGGGATGGTGTTGCCCTTATTAAACCAGCAGACAGGCCTGATTTAATTCAAATGAGGGGGGAAAAATGCACACCCAATCCTTTACCACTCCCCTCATGTGATGTTTAATCCAATTCACTTCGGCCACAAGTAGCCTCACATGCCTCCAGCATGGTCTAGCATCTGTTTAAGCATGCTCAGTAGTTGTGCTTTCCACCTCCACCCCATTGCCCCTCCCTATGCTGAGATGTTTGCAGTGCTGTTTGTTGACACAGCATTGCTGAGCACTTCAAATGCATTTTATAAGCATTAATGACCCACTGAAATGAAACATGTTTTCCAAACTCATTATGTTGAAGGTGTCCATAAGTTAAATAATACCACATTATTCTGAAACATCACTTAACTTAGTGCAGATAACATTAGTGTTCATCCAGGTTGCACTGAAGAACTTGCTGAATAACTACATTGATAACTTTCATCAAGAGCCATTTATTTGAAGCACAAAACAAGCAAAAACAGTCACAATGTTTGAACTCTCTGTTAGACTGCCTCACAATTTGAAGGCATATTTGTTGACGTCAGCAGTGGCATTGTGTCAACTTTTGCTAAAACAGCAGGTTGTTCCTCGTTAAGTTAAAATGGTTTAAAAGGAACTTAAAGATGTCCGTTGTAAAATACTTGCAGCATAATACGATCTCAAAATCAGCCAGAAGGATAGCCATCATTATAACCACAGGAAACTTAATGTTTTATATGTGTTGACAAATTTATTCCCTTGACTAGAGCTACAGTATATTTTTAGTTATTTTACAGCATAGATGTGAATCATTTTACGCTCCATTGGAATTTGGTGGAACATGAATTGTGTTCTAAAGAAGGATTTTTTTTCCTTTGTGTCATCGTGCCGTGTGCCTTTGTCTTGTCTAGAAAGATTTTATGAGACTTGCACATGTGACGCCTTGTGTGTGAGTGCCTATGTAAAATAATATGTGCACATCAGTGCACGGGCCAGTAAAGCTAATTTGAATTGAATTGACTCACTCCTTTTATGGTATTTATTCTCTGACAGTCGGCATATTATTTACCCCATTAGAGCCACAGCATGTATTATCCAAGGCCCAGACATTGTTACGCTTGGAATTTGCGGTCACCATAGAAATCTCACCTATTCAGTCTGTTCAACATTGTCACTGTGGCTCCCACGGAAAGCTCTTGAGCATGTAGCCCTAACCAATGCTTGAATAAGATGTGTGCGTATGGTAGACAAGACATGGTTGATTCAACACAGGTTCAAGGAATTCTGGGTTTGTTGTCCAGAGACTATACTCATTCACTGTTCAGACATGTCTAGGTTTATATAATAAGCTATAGATGTTTTTGTTTTCTCCCAATTAGGATCTTGAAGAAGTATCTACATTTACTTTACTGTCATTTAACATACAGTTGATACTTTTGCAATAGAATGCTCTTCATTGTGTGTTTCAAATGTTGTAAGTTTAATGGTAATTTACAACAATAATTTTTCTTTTTTTTGTATATTTAAAAATGGAATTGGAATATAATATGTGGAATAATATATATGATTCTTGCAAATATGTTTTCAGTGATAACTTTTCATTCTGTATCAGAAAACATGTCTTAATGTTTAACATTCCCTTTTTCTGCTCACAGATTGCAGCTTCCTATGGAAGCACTGTGTGTGTTTTTGAGCCTGTTCAGGACCCAGATCAAAAAGACACATCGCTGACTGTGAGTAGCACACATTATCTTCCAGTCACAGTCTGGTCGTGCATGTATTCAGAGATCGAGACTTTTCTCTTTCAAGCGAGTTGATATTTGAAATAGAGCAGAACATTGTTCCTCCAAACACACATTCACATTCTTACTGAAGTATTGTGCAAAGTCTTGCAATCATGTTTACTGTTTATTCCTGTAATGTATTCAGTGCAGAAATCCTAGGTTTGCTATGTCAGTGTTGAACAGCCTTCTGTTGTTACAGAAGTCAAAGGTTAGTCATAAGGAATGGAAAATTTTACGCATTTTAAACACAACGCAGTGCCTCTTTCATTGCAGAAGTTTCCCATTACTACAGCTGCTGTCTATGTGGCCTGATCACATGTGGCTCACATGAAAGCAGCTTCACTGTTGGTTCTTGTTATGTAGTTGAAACTACTTATATAAGGGACAAAATGAAATGCTTTTTTAGAGCCTGTCATATTTGAATCTTTATTTATTAATTTTTTAATGTTGTCTTTATTTTTTTTTGTACAGACGGTGAACTGCCAATGGCAGAAGACTGGTCAGTTTGTATTAAAGTCCATTGTACGGAACCTGGCCTGGCATCCTACAGGTACTTTGATACATGTATTTCTTTTATTTTAAACAAATCATATGATACGTTAAAGATGTGAGTATCTGTCCTGAAAGAGTGAATGTGTTTTTGTGTATATAGGCAGTTCTCTCTTAACTGGCTCTAGTAGCCTCCAGTTGTGGTCTTATATTGATGGAGTGAAAGATGAAGCTGAAGATGTGTTAAAGCAAACAGACATTACCATAAGAGACTCTCTATCTTGCTGGAGGTGCATCTGGCAGAGCAAGTAAGAACTGTTGTTTATTGTGCAGTTAAGATGGTAATTTTATAGCTTTCTTTTTTGAAAGGAATGTTGTTTTTCCATAAATTTACTCACCCTGGATAACTTGTTACATTATCAATACTATTTGGGGTTCGTTATGACCAGCAATATAGATGTTTTTATAATGTGTTTTGATATTTCAATACTTAAACTTATCTTATTCAGTCTTAAACTGGAGCTGTCACTTACTATATATTTTATATCTGAAAATGCAGACATGTGTAGTATTGAGTATAAAAAGTACTGTAATTTAACTTTTTTTTTTTTTTTCTTCTGAAGGACGGCCTCTCCAGTCAGTTTAATAAAGTTCTCCCCTGATGGGGAATTCTTTGCTACTGCTGGACAGGTGAGAGGTTTTTACCAGGCTTTGCTAAACCTGTATGGATTGTGATGTAAACTAGTTTGTGCAAGTCATGTTTGTATTGTTTATTTACACTGACAAAGCCACACACTGTAAACTCAGCTGTAACTTAAGGTACTGCTTTACCTTAGGCCTACAACCTGCTTGTTATGGGACATCCTCCAGCATAGCATCAATTATATCCCTGTTTGTCCCTCCTCTTCAGGATGACTGCCTAGTAAAGGTCTGGTACAGTACCAGTAAGTGGAAGTCAGGTGTTTCCAGACTCTTCACACCTCCAGAACCCAGTGTCAGTGTCCAGGGACAGCTGGCCTTTTCCTTTATCTACCTGGCCCATCCCCGCTCTGTTACCGGCTTCTCTTGGAGGAAGACCAGCAAATACATGCCACGGTATGGACACTGTCAAGGCAGAATTTCACAGTCCCCTTTCTGTAGCCATGATTCACTTTGACCTAAGCTGACACAACTTTAACAATTGCACAATAACGGCTAAATCAACACAAATTTTGCATAACCTGTTTCTTAGGCCTGTTTTACTGGGTAATGGTGTCATTACTCCTTTTGTTAGCCTACACTTTTTGACCTGTTCTTTAACTTAACTGTTTACGTGTTTCTCATTTGACCTGCTGTTGAATAGTACTATTGGCATTAGATGATAGAAGTTCAGTGCCCTCCACTGGACTTCAACCTAAACTCTTTCCCCCCTCTCTCCTAACAGAGGTGCGGTGTGTAATGTTCTGCTCACCTGCTGTAAGGACAGCGTATGCCGGCTTTGGGCGGAGACGCTGTTGCCGGGTGACAGCCTCCTGTCCGGTTACTCCACCTCTGGCCAACACAGTGACACACTTGGATGTCCTGGCCCTTCTAGCAAAAACTCCTGCAATGGGAAGATGCAAGGAAGAACTGCCCAGGAAGTAAGCTACTCTAATGTAATTTTTGCTAAAGAGAGAGGGGGCAAAATATCAGAAATACTTCTCACTATAACAGTATCCAAGAAGAGAGCAGGAATTCAGTAACTAAAACCCAAATCACATCATAAAATGGAACTTAAAAATATATACTATTTCAATGTCAGTGCCATAATTTTTGTTGTTCACAAATTGAGATAATTGGAAGACCTCATCTAAAAGCACTACATCAGAAAATTTAAATGTTTCCAAAAGCTAAACCACTTAGGTCATTATTTTTTTAAAGCTTTATCACAGTGAGAATATTTTATATTTTGGTTTCAAAATGCTGAAAGAATCACCATAATTTTATTAATAGTGGGAAAATAAATGGCACAAATGCTAATTTGCCCCATTTGGAAGTAGAAGCCACTACCAACCCACTATATTTGCACCACTGCTAATGTAGGACATTAGGGCGCTGCAGAGATGAGGGAACAGCAGCGAAAGATGGTTAAGAAAGAAGAAAACAGAAGCTTAGTGAAGTTTAAAGGGAAAATGAATTGGCTATCCAACATGAACATGGTTGAATCTTTGTAGGTCTTAAGTCCAGCATCAGTGAAGAATATTGGCCTCCTTTCTGTAATCACCTAGCTAGCTCACATTTGTTATGGTGGTGTGTTCTGCTTTAAGTGACCTTCGCTGTTGCTGACAGCCTTACCAGGCCTCAAACACAATACTTCCATCTATTTTAATATGGACATTTAAATGGTTTTGAGTCTCACTGGCACTTAGAGAGCTCAGGGCACATTAGATTACAGGAAAAATAGGTATGCAAATTTCTCTGCTGTGCCTTGAGGAGAGTCTGTAAGAGTACATGTGTGGAATTATTCATTAAAAAAAAATCACAGACTGTGCTGGATGGTCCAGGCAGTAGTCTGAGCTAACTCTCCGTCTCCAAAACTGAATGGATGGACAGTACAGAGTGGGCCCCATTTTGAACTCTATTTTAGTGGGATGCCTCAGGGTGGGATGAGCAGGACAAGATTTATGGCAAAATCAATGAAGTTAATTAAGCCCAAAGTTTCTTGATAAGGATGCTGTTTGGGAACCTCCAGAGGAGAAAGTGATATGAGATTCCCAATCCAATTCCATAATCTCATTTCTCTACATAGATATAAAACCTTTCATAAGTATTTGTACAAGTCAGTATGGCACATGCATGTTCAAATAGACATTTTTTAGCAATATTTTACAAAGGACTTCGTTGTGCGTGTGATAAGCACATACATCTCAGGAATACTTCAGCCTTATGCCTCCTACAATGTTAATCATTCTACACAAGAGAAGCTGCATAAAATCAGTGAAGAAAGCAACAAGCCCATTATTGTGTTAAGTTGTGTCCATGAGCCTAAATATGCTCTGTCTTTCAAACTTTCAAACATTTGAGACTGCTGTTAAAGGTTGCTACCTTGTCCTGAGCATTAACAGAGGCTCAAGTCTGGAACTTTATATTTTTACTCCAAAACAACAGAAAAAAACTAAATTATCTAACCTGACTAAGTACTAAATAAAAGTTAGTTTTAATTTCAGCTTCCTTTACACGTCCCTATCTCTCAGCCACTCTTGTGTTTGTCTGTTTCTGCTCTGTTTTTTTTTGTTTTTTTTTTAATTGGGCAGTTAACTTTAAATGTCATTTAAGCTTCCATTTTATTCAATTAAATATCATTATAATCCAATCCCTAAGAGAAACACCTGTTTCCCAAAGCATAGTAGCTCAACTCAGACTGGGAGGAGAGTAGTGAAGCTCTATTAGTTGGCACAAGTTGATTCATTCACATCAACCTCCAAAAAAAAAAAAACTGCATCTCTGTCAGCCTGAAAGGAGTAACAGGAAACTTGCAACCCTATAAAACTCTTCACATGTTTTTTAGGTAAATCTAAATCTCTGTGGAGGTTCACGCAAGATCCCATAGTCTCTATGATTTGTACACATTTGTAAGCTATGAAAAAGCAAGCAAACTACATTCATAAAGTATAGATGTAATTTCTGTAACCATAATCATCCCATTTTTGACATCAGAATTTCAGCATGTAAGAACACATTAACTAATGTTTATTAAATATATTGAATAATTATTGTTTTCCTCACAGTTGAATTTTCAGGAATCACTGCACAGCTCCTTTTATCGGGATGTGCCCCAGCCCTCACTGACTGGCTGCCTGCCTCACAACCAGAGCCAACACTACAACCACAAGAAGAGCAGCAGCATCATGCCACATGCCAATGCTCTCTGCCACTTTCACATTGCTGCCAGCATCAACCCGGCCACAGGTTAAACATATTTATTTCTGTAATCTGTTGATCGTCATTACGAGCACCTTGTTGAAACCCAAAATCACCAGATTTAGAGAAGAATTTGTAGGATAACATGAGCTCTTCCTAAGCCGTAGAGACTGCGTAGGTTTTTAGCTCTGCTTGAACAAAATCAGCTGCAGGTTAGAGGGCTTCACCCTGTATTTTCTATGGGAAAAATGCTGTAAATGTTGTAGATTGCCTGAGGTTGTTTATTTAACATCCCAATGAGCTTTTGTGCTCAGTGAGAGCTGCTTTGAGTAATTGGAAGGCATTTTCATTTTGTTCCTTCATGTGTTGTGGTAGCTTAATTTGACCTGAATCAGGGCAAAATCTTGAAGATTCTTTCAGCCTTGAGGCGAAGAAGTCCTGTAGGATTGTATTTGCAAGCTTGAATTATGTTGTAGCATACTTCAAAACATTCCCATATTCATGAAAGTTCATTTGCTTTTATTCTGCATGTCCCCAATCTAATGTCTTTTCTTTCTTTTTCTTTCTTTTTCTAACGTCTTTAAACCTTATCTTTATCACAGACATTCCTCTGCTGCCCTCCATCTCCTCTCTGAGTGCCGTGGATGACGAGGAACCTGGAGGTCCTTTTACTGTCCACTGGCTCAACAACAAAGAGCTTCATTTCACCTTAGCTATGGAGGTCTTTCTGCAGCAGCTCCGAGGCAGCCTGGAGCAACGGAACAGCGGATGCTCCCATGAAGGTACAGAAAAGTATTTTGATGAGGCATTAAATATATAAAATGGAACTTTCTGCATTAAAATGTCTAAAAATGACTAGATCTATGTTATATTTTTTTTGGTAGTGTATTTAGATTATCCCCAATGTTTTCAAACCTAGGGAAATCTGTAATTTTAATCAAGGTAACGGTGCGTTTCATTTGGTCACCTGTCAGTGGCGTCAGACGCCCTTTGTTCATGTGTCTCTGTTGTGGTTGTCTGCCAGATGTTGTCATAAATTGACTCTTTATCCAATGTTAAGCCACGTTTTTATCAAACTTTTTAGATCTAGGTCGTTTTTTAACTATATATTTTAACCGGATAAAGGATTTTAGTCATCGCATGTCTGGATCCTAAGTTCCGTTGACATAGAACAATATCGGAGAAACACTGATTTTAACATGAAACTGCTTTTTTCAGTATGTCTACCAGTTTTAATTACGCACATGTTGAGACCTGCAGATAATTCGGCTCCCGGTAAAAACCTCCCAAACATCAGGATCTTAAGTTATCAAAGTAACAAGCTGAGTAAATATCAGCGCCAAGCTCAGCTTTCAGCCACTCTGGGACGTCTTTTGTCCTCTGAACAGCTTCAGAGAAACACTGATTTTTAATGTGAAACTACTTTTGTGGTGTTTTAACTAGTTTTATTCACCTGGTCTGTTTGTTTTGAAGAGAACACCTGCAGATAATTCGGCTCTTGGTAAAAATCTCCTGCACAATGAACACTGAAGGACTCCTAACACAACAGCTCCCATGATCCAATGCAACTTCACAACATCATCAATCTATGTCTTTTGGTTTGATCTTTTTGATCCTAGCAGAAGAATATTACATACTGGGTGTTTTAATAATTTATTTGAAGGGTTGTGCATATAAAGCAGAGATAACACTGTCGACACTAGACTCTGACTTTCATATCGAAGAGTCAGACTTACAAATTGCGTTATGCTTTGTCTTCCATACTGATTTTCACTATGGTTTGCATTCTCTTCCAGAGCCTGAAGATGAGGATAACTTTGATGAAGATAATAGTACCAGGCCAAGTGACCCTGAGGCTGGTGAGCTTCCTCTGGCAGCAGTGAAGCACCAGGTAGACGTGCTGTTAGAGGAATGGAATAAAGGGGCAGACATGTTGTTCAGTATCCATCCCATGGACGGCTCTCTGTTAGTCTGGCACGTGGACTGGTTAGATGAATACCAGCCAGGCATGTTCAGACAAGCTCAGGTATTTTCGCTGTTGATGTGGTTTAGGTATATGTAAAACAATAAATATGAAATGTTGTATGTATGTTGTTGTTGTTGTTGTTTTTATAAACAAACTTCTTAAAGCAGAATAGAAGAATTTCAGCCCTTTGTTTTGAGATAATTTATTTGTAAAATGAGTAAAATGATCTTCAGTCCCGTCTGCCGTTAGCACATGAGAACTTTTAGCTGCTTTCTAATGTCACAATTTGAAGCTAAAAAAGAATGACTTGATTGACTCATTCGTATCACTGACTCTGTTTGCTGTGTGTTTTACTTTCTTTAGATTTCATTGCTATGATGTGTCTCTTTCTCTCTCAGGTGTCGTTTGTGTCTCGTATCCCTGTAGCGTTCCCTACAGGCGATGCAATCTCTCTGAGCCACAGTGTGGTTATGTATGCCTGCAACAAGAATGTGGATCTGGCTATCCAGCATGGAAGACAACGACCGCCTGGGAGCACATTACCTCAAACCAAATCTGCTCTAATAAGCTACGGAGGTCAAGGAAAAGCTGCACCCAGCAGTAGTCTTCGACTAAGCATTTTCACCCCCAACGTCCTTATGATCTCCAAACATGCTGATGGCTCCCTGAACCAGTGGGCTGTCAGCTTCGCAGAGGACTCCGCTTTCTCCACTGTGCTTAGCGTCTCTCACAAGTCACGGTACTGTGGCCACCGCTTCCACCTCAATGACCTGGCCTGTCATTCGTTACTCCCTCTCCTGCTTACCACCTCACACCACAATGCCTTGAGGACCCCAGAGGCAGACAACATCCTGACTCCTCCGGACACCTGCTCCTCTGGTTTCTCTCATTCAACATCTCTATCCCGTGGCTCACGGCCCAGCCGGGTGTCCCTGGGCATGGTTTCCCAGGATCCCAATGCGATCTACAGTGAGCTGATTTTATGGAGAGTGGACCCTGTCGGCCCTCTGTCTTTGTCAGGCGGGGTCTCCGAGCTAGCTCGTATCAATTCTCTCCATGCATCAGCATTTGCTAACGTAGCTTGGCTGCCCACGCTCATTCCCAGCAGCTGTTTAGGTGAGAAAATATTTTTAATGTTTGGAAATTGATGAGGACTTAAGTCTCTGTTTAAAAATTCCCATTCTTTATTAAAGTTATTTTGCTTCAGTAATATGAAGGAAATCCAGTTATTTTTTTCTGAATAATTAATTACCAAATGAGACTAGCTTTGGGAGGTAAAATCTCCATAAATATAATTTTTAGAACAATTTTTTTTTTAGTTCATTTTACCCTCATTTGTATATAAATAACACATTCATGTAAAAACAACTCTTCAACTCATTTACATAAAATCCATGAAATTCCAAATAGTTTCCCACTATTAAAGTTGTTACCAGAGTCTAGTTTCAGTGATTGGTTGTTTAAGTGTACTATAGCTCAGTATTCTGTATATATGTTTTGTCTCTTGTTTTTATGTTTATTCAGAAAACAAGCATAATAGCATACAACATTCAATTTATTTTCTTTCTTCCTCTTTAGGTGTGTACTGTAACTCTCCCAGCGCCTGCTTTGTGGCAAGTGACGGCCACTCACTCAGGCTGTATCAGGCTGTTATTGAAGCTAAGAAACTCCTGAGTGAGCTCTCCAATCCTGAGATATCCGTAAGTCATCAAACAGGATTCTCCAACTCCAGCAAACTCTGCAGGGTATAGTTAGCATTGCAATAACTAGTTTTTAAGCACCCCAATAATGATACATCAGTGTTTCTTCTTGGACCTTTACAGATTCAGCGAGGTAATAAGGTGTTGTTAATTTGTCTTGCCACTTCATTAGTGTCAGCCATGGAAGACCAGGTAGAAAAATTACTTAAAAGCAGAATTGGATAACATGTGAGAAATAAGTTGAATGATAGTGATCCATCCATCCATCCATCGTCAACTGCTAATCCTGCGCACAGGGTTGTGGGGGGCTGGAGCCAATTCCAGCTGACATTGGGCGAAAGGCGTTGTACACCCTGGACAGATCGCCAATCCATCGCAGGGCATGATAGTGATCCTTCTTACCCAAATCAGCAGAGTTGATATTTAGTTTTTATGATGTATTAATAGTCATTTTTTGAAAGAGATTCTTTTTTGCATTGCATAAAAACAGCCTGTTGCTTTCTTCGAGCAATTAACGTAACAATAGTTATATTTTTCTAAATTGACACATTAAATGTATGTTTTGACATTGTAATAGTGTAATACATTAGTGCTGAAGTAATGAAAATGTTTGTTTCACTTTAGAAATATGTTGGGGAGGTGTTCAACATCATCAGTCAGCAATCCACAGCAAAACCCGGGTGTATAATAGAGCTGGATGTCATTACTGGCTTTGTAAGTATACATAAGACCAAGAGAAATGAATCTGTAAATAAATTTCCCTTGCTCTTTCTGTGTGTCATCTTCTGTCGAACAGTAGAGAGACTCTGTGAAGGTCTTGGATGGACAGAATATTAACAGAAATTTCTCCACTGAAATGAAGTGTTGGTAATAGTTGCTGTTGTTTGCTACAGCAGGGGAAGGAGACACAGCTCCTGCATGTTTTTGAGGAGGATCTGATCCTCGGTAGTGAGAGAGCAGAGACCACGCAGGAAACTCCTGATTCTCCTCACACTGGTATAAACAAAAACACTTTTTTTACTGCTCTAAAATTTTTTAAGGTTTAATATCAAACATTTGCTCCACTTTCAAACACATCGATTCAGTAATATAATATGTGTGTGTTTACCATACAGCCTCTAGCGAGCCGGCCTTCTCGGCACGTTTTTTCCTCGTGGTGGTCGAATTGACCCCAGCAGGTCGCTCTCTCCTCCACATGTGGCATCTCCATCTTGCAGCTCAACCTGTCACCATGGGTGGGTACATTGAACAAAAGACTTAGGGTTCGCATTATGTAGAAAACATTTGATTGACTGCCACAATTGCTTCAGGATAACCACTTTAATTATCTTGCCTGACAAAATTGTGGTGTCCATTAGTGAGCACCAACTCTGTATTGACCATATAGAAATAGTTCATCTGACAGACAACTCTTAATGCTACTTCAAAACATAATTACATGATACTGAAAAACATAATTATGGACTTCAAATGCAAGCAATAACTCAATGCTTTACTTTGTCTGTCACAAGGTAAATGTATAAAAATAATGTAGGAGGGTTTCCAAAAATTGTCTTGCTTTTCTTGACTTCCCTCTTCCTGTTTGGTTCCCACAGAAGATACCACGACAGAGAAGGATGCCGCCACAGCTTCTCCTATGAACAGCTCTCAGTTTAACTTTGACACGTTCAGTTCTCCGGTAACTCAGAAGAGTAAACCTTGCACTTCCAATCTGCAGAGTGCCAGTCGCCTCAATCTCACAACACACAGGCTATACAGCCAAGAGATGGCTCTGCCAGAAGGGGTGGAAGCCATCAGTGTTACACCTGCAGCAGGTGAGGGACAATGAGGACACATGTAGAAATGACAAGTCTATGAACTTCATCTGGTAGTGAAATGCCAGAGACAATCACCACAGCTTGGAGGACAAGTACAATCCAAGGCATTCAAAGTAAAATAAGCACTACGTTGATAGTAGTAGCAGCAGTATTGGTATTAATTATAGTAGCAATAATTATGTTTGGGTTTGTTTTCACCTAAACAGTATTGTAATAATGGAGTTAAAACAGTGTCCCGGTGCTAATATGCCAGTGTAATAGCAGGGCACAGTTAAAGAAATTTAGCAGCTACTGAGGTATTGACAGACACCAGTATAGACTAGGTTGCAAGTCTTATGTTGCCATGGGAACTTCATTTCTAACGAAATGGTCCTTCTGTTAGCAAATGGTTGAAAACATTGATTCAAATAAACCTTTCCAGGATCGTATAGACATTTTGTTAATGACTAAGAAAAAGCTGCTTCTTTTATTGTTTGAATGAAGAATAGGAACTGACAAGGATAAGGATAGTTTTTCAACATTGTCAGTGTGATAACAAGACTGAAAAGGTTTTTGAAATTCTACTCAAAATGAATAATGATTTTCAGCTGTGTAATTTTAACATAAGCCTGCAAAATATCTAGAAAACAAAGCTCCTAAGTTGTTGGGTTTTTTTAACCATGTAAACACTATTCTGTTTTATGAAGCACTCTGCATACTCTATATCCAACAAAAAACGTCCTTGCCTAATAGCAAATTTTCAACTCTCTTCCTAGGTCACCTGAGCGCATCGTGTTCCCTGCCAGCACGCCGCGTGCCTTACCTCTTTGCTACTTCCTGTTCTGATGGAAAGGTGCGCTTCTGGAGGTGTAATGTCATTGCAACAAATCCTTCCAGTATGGACAATCTGGTGTACCAGTGGGAGGAGTGGCCTCTCCTGGTGGAGGAGAGGTTTCCCAACAGCAGCGGAGTAAGTGTGCAAGGTCGCCCCATAGAGATCAGCTGCTGTCACACTGGACGGATTGCAGTTGCCTACAGGCAGATGCCAAATGCAGCTCTGAACTCACTCAACTGTGTCGGACCAACGACTTCTCCTCCTACACTGGCTTCCTCCCCTAATGTGCACTATAACAGCAGCATGCACCTGACCCCAACCCTGACTGTACAGCGTAGCCCAAATATCATTCCTAGCCCTAACCCAGGAAACGCTAGAGAACCATTGGTCCACATTGGCATCTTCCAGTGTGAGTCCACTGGTGGTTCGCAGTGGATTCTAGAGCAGACCATAGTCCTGGACAGTACAGATCCTACAGCTAACTATGGTTTTAGCAATAGCACAGCTGGAAGTACGAATGAACCAAGTAACAAGGACTCCTTAATACCGAATGAGAACTGCCATGGTTATGGAAGTAAGAGCCTGGTTCATTTGGACTGGGTGTCCCAAGAGAACGGGTCACATGTTCTGACTGTTGGTATTGGCACAAAGATTTATATGTATGGCTGTCTCTCTGGGAAGCCCCCAGAACTCGGTCTATCATCTGATGCCAGTAGAGACAAGAGCTTGTCTCGCCTGGTTCTGCTTCGATCAGTCGATCTGGTCTCTTCTGTTGAAGGCTCATTGCCCATTCCAGTCTCCCTCTCCTGGGTTCGAGATGGCATCTTAGTAGTAGGCATGGACTGTGAGATGCACGTCTACTCCCAGTGGCAACCCCCAGCACCACCCAAACCCAATGCCCCAACTGCCCAAGACACAGACATCAGCAGCAGCCTTTCGTCCATAATCTCAGCCGTCAGACAGAGCCAGGAGGAGGGTCTCAGCTCTGGGGCCCCCATGTCTTCACTGGCCCCTCCGAAAAAGGCCCTGACAAGATCTATGATGAGCTTGGCTCAGAAACTCAGTGGGAAGAGAACCGCTTATGACCTACCTGTGGAGATGGAAGATTCTGGGCTTTTTGAAGCAGCGCAACAACTTTTTCCCACACTGCCACAGTACCATCCTGTACAGTTACTGGAACTCATGGATCTAGGGAAGGTAAGTTAGAGAAATGACTCTAGTACTGTGCATACTTACATATATTTTATATTTTCTATTGGTTATTTGTTTAAGCACCTCCTCCAGTTTGATATGACAGGGCAGTTTTGTCAATTAATAAAATTGAATTTCATAAGGTTTGAAGTTGTAGAAAAACAAACTATATACAATATAAATATGTAACATAATTTTTCTATCTTAAGGTTCACCGTGCCAAAGCCATCCTCTCGCACCTGGTGAAATGCATTGCTGGAGAAATTATAGCACTTAAAGACGGTACAAGCAATCCCGAGAAACGTGTGCGCTCCCGAACCATCAGCGCTGGAGGCAGCACAGCCAGGGACCAGAAGATGTTCAGAAAAGCTGAGAACTCCACCCCTGACTACACAGAGATAAGCTCCATCCCCCCCCTGCCTCTGTACGCCCTTCTGGCAGCTGATGAGGATACACTACCAAAACCTGGTGGGTATATGACACACTGCTGAAGAAAAATGATATTTATTAATGAATAAAATAATAGTAAACTCTATTTCAGTATTTCATAGGCCAATATAACTACATTTACTACTATTTTTAAACCCAAAAAATCCATTACATTATAAAAACATATTTGTTAAATACAAGTCAATTATAGCGAGTTTCTTTAAGGCACAGTGGAGCAAAAGTTACCATGCGTCTGAACATCCTTAAGGAACATAAAGCTAGAGGCTTTCAAAAGCAATTAACACAATCTTATTATCAGTTGGGGAAAAATGTAAACTTGGGAGGTAGAGATGCTTTGAGATGTTGGACTATACTAACCTTAGAAGACTGAACTTAATAAAATAGACGTAGACTGTAGATACATTTCCTTCCGTGTTGAATTGGAAGAAATTGTAACTTTGTCAGAGTATGTTAAGTCTGAGAAACATAAAAAAAAATGTTTTCCAGAGAAACAGCATTTACTTTGGACAAGCAACTACCATTTTTAGCCACCCTGCCTCAAGGTGTAAGAGACTGAGAATAATATCCTACTCTTTGGTCTTCTAGTTTTTCCTCATTGTGTCACTGGGAAATACAAACTCAGAAGAATGAAAGCAGAAAAATATGTACAGTAAAAACATTTCCTTTTCTTTGGTGTATAATTCAATCTGCTGTAAGTCCAGCTGTAGGGGATTTTTCGCCAGGGCTCTTATGAAACACAGGCCTTGTTTAAATTAGCTCTGTCTTGTGCCTCCCTACAGAAAAAGTGGGCAGCTTCAGCGGAGATAGTGGGCACGGTTCCAGTCACACTGATGCTTATGATGAGCTCTTTCAAACACCCAGCATGGCAGACCTGGACCCTCTGGACAAGGATGAAGAGGAACTGGGGAACAAGGTCAGTTTCTGTTGGCTTGTGCTTGGTTAAAAGAGAATTTATGAAAATGAGAGTGGACAGCAACATTTTCGGGCTCTTTTGGTATTCCAGTATGTCGCTTAAACATGCATAATTGCGCATTGTCATTTTAGATGTATTGTTACCTTGAAAGATAGACTTATCAAAACCCTTGATAGCCCTGGCTTAAACATCAGCAGTCTAGCCTTGTGTTGACTATAGATATTTTCAAAAGGTTAATGCATTTGGAATAACTTGGATCGTTATTATGCACATACAATACCGTGTGTTTCGTTTGAATCCAGCCACGACACACGTCACTCTTTTAACATTATTTCCTGCCTCGCTCTATTATGTGTTGTCTTGTAAATTAGAAATACCATACGAGTCTTGTTCCCTGTCTCTAGGTTATTGACCTGTCCCAGTACAGTCCAACATACTTTGGTCCAGAACATGCCCAGGTTCTGTCCAGTCACCTCCTTCATTCCAGTTTGCCAGGCTTAACCAGTATGGAGCAGATGTCGCTCATGGCGCTGGCTGACACCATCGCTACCACAAGCACAGACCTCAAGGACAGCCAGAGCAAGAGCAAAGGTACTTCAGGGAAGTAACAACATAAAATTAGGGCTCTTCAGATGATCAGAAATGCAGTAGATAAGCGCTCCGTTCCACAACATCATGTAATTATGTTTTGAAGTAGCAGTAAGAGTTGTCTGTCATTCATTTACCAGGTGGAGAGACACTGGATGAGTGTGGCCTGAAGTTCTTGCTGGCTGTCAGACTCCATACCTTCCTCTCTACCTCCCTGCCTCCAGCACACCGAGTACAACTGCTACAGCAAGGTACAATGTGAAAGTGATTTTCAAACCGTTTTTAGTTGGGGCATTTCATAGCAAACAAGCAGGCAAAGTCTGTAGCAGTCAACACACTTGTGCAGGGAACTATCACATCGATACAAATATTCTTTTTCTAGTGTAACAAGACCAAAGTTCACAGATGATCATTTATTATTAAGTCAAATGCCCCTCAAAATAAGTTCTCTGTCCAAAAGGCCTTAATACGTTTTCACCTTACGTGATCTTGCAGGACTTTATGTAAGTTTCCAGTTTGCTGACTAAGGAGCTGTCTCCCTGCACTCCTTTTAGACACAGCTCCAGTGCCCGCATAGGTGTAAGCAGTAACTCTGTAAAGGCTCCTAAAGCTCATTAAGCTCTAAACTTCTCAGCAAGAGAAGTAAACAAGCCATAGTCTACTCATCGTCCTTAACTATTGCAGTACAGTTACCCAAAAGCGAGGCACTTAATCTGTGTCTCCCCTAGAACTCCTCAGTGGGCAGCAGTACAACACTGTAGCTGTAAGAGACAATGCACTACTTTAAATATATGGAACTGAGTATGCTCACTCATGTTGCTGTTGATAATAACATTATAACAGTTTTAGTTATCTTGTTCAGTGTATATTAAAAACACTACACAGTGTTGATATTCTCCCTACAGATCATTCCCATTATCCACGTGTCCATTTCATGTCTCTGCAGGCCTGTCAACATGTCATTATGCCTGGGCCTTCCACTCTGAAGCTGAGGAGGAGCTGCTGAACATGCTGCCTGCCCTACAGAAGGGAGAGCCCACCTGGCCTGAACTGCGCTCCATGGGTGTGGGCTGGTGGCTGCGCAGCACCAACAAGCTACGACGATGTATCGAGAAGGTGACGTGGCTAATGACATTAGTTAATTATCATTAAAATTTGAAATGGTGACCCAGTGTCAGTTTTGTTATGTTACGGATCATCATTTTCATGAGGATTATAGTCAAATAAAATTTTTACTTCATGCGGCCGGCCTTCAGACCTCGTGTACTTCACATTGATTGCTTCATTTATAAATGAAGTACTGTCAGTTAGGTGATGGTGAAATTTTGCTGATGTTGCTATAAAATACATCTCTATAACTGGGTTTGAGCTGCTCCCTGGAATGACCCATAAAGCTACAACTGAAGGCGTGAACTGAATGTATTTTGTTCATTTATTATGTCAGGTTGCCAGGGCTTCTTTACAGAGAAACAATGATCCTCTGGATGCAGCTATATTCTATCTCGCACTGAAAAAGAAGGCAGTGGTCTGGGGATTGTACAGGTAAAACCTACATACTTTTGCATATGAAGTACACATAAGGTTACAGTCATTTTAATATTAGCCCCTTCGCTTAACCAGGATTACACAGTTACACAATACACATACATCATTCTTTAAATATGCACATTTCTTGTAGGTTTGTTAAAGCAAAAACAAAAATATAGATTGGTGGATAATTAAATAAAAGAATAAAACTACATACAATTATTATAGTTATGTGAATCATACATTAGGAGCCATTTGTGGGGAGAAAGAGGAATTGGCATTGGAGAGCCAGGATTAGATCTGTCAGATTAAGAAGACATGACACACAAGTGCTGTTGATTTGAATCCATAATGTCTTTCTTTTCAGGTCTCAGAAGAATGCCAAAATGACAGACTTTTTCCGCAACAACTTCAGCGAGGACCGGTGGAGGAAAGCAGCACTGAAAAATGCCTTTTCTCTGTTGGGAAAGCAGCGGTTCCAGCATTCTGCCGCCTTCTTCCTCCTAGCCGGCTCCCTTAAGGATGCTGTTGAGGCAAGTGGAAAATAGAAATGACACACTCTTAGCAAGAAGAACTTGTTTCTTTAATTGCATGTGGCGATTGCTAGCCTGCTAAATTTAAGCTAAAAACCTTGCTTTCAGTAGTGAGGTGCTGCTCATTTTTATTCACGAAATGTCTGTAGCCTTGTAATTGTGCCTTTATCCCTACAAGTCATAGTCAAGGGCAGAGTTTGATCATATAGTAAAAAGCAGAGAAACCGCATTCACAAAAACAGCCCTCACCACCAGTATTTCTGTAATGTGAGGCGTCTTTTCATTATTAGAACAGCTCTGTTATGTTCCCACAGTGGTGTCTTTGTCAAGAGCTTTTACCACAATCCACTGAAGAAGTATTGATGTTTGAGGTTGACTCATGGGCGTTGCTGTCTTTACTCCTTTTTGTAAGAATTTCAATAGCATGTTGTCACAAGCACATAAACCAGCAGCACCACTTGTGGAAGTTTCATAAATTGGGACACTACCTACTGCCTTTTCATAAAAATATATTCCCATAATTTTTGTTTATGTGCATTCTTTTGGTTAGTTAAAGTTTCTATTAGGGTTAGGTTACACCACAAGAAGAACATACAGCTATCTTTTTTTCACATATCAAGAGGGCTACTTCTTGTCATCTTGTTTGCTTAACCTTTTTATTCATCAAGGTTATTTCTATTTGGAAAGTCCCAGGAGCAATGAGTCATGTTATTTCATCTCTGTGAGTAACTGGAGCTTCTCAAAGCATTTTATGGAAATGAGCGTCAAAGGGCTATCATTGACTTTGTTTAGTCTCTCTGGCTGGGAGGTAGTCTCATTGAAATGCACCTCACACCTCACTATTTGGGAGCAACTACAACAACTTCAGCTATCCACCAACTCTTTGCTGTGTGCACAGACCTAAAATTTTGTGGTCCTTTCCTTTTTAACATAGAAACAAACCAAAAAATCTGTAACTTCTTAACATCATTATGTCCTACTGGACTATTGTGTATGCAGAATGTGCTTGTCTTATCTCATCCCATTCAGTCCTGCACCAACTGCTCAGAAACCATTTTCAAATAGTAACTGACTGTGGTATCGTTATGTTCACCTCCAGGTGTGTTTAGAGAAAATGCAGGACCTACAGCTGGCCCTGGTGATCTCCAGATTGTACGAGTCTGAGTTTGAGACGAATTCCACCTACAAAAAGATCCTCCAGAGACACGTTCTGGGACAAGACAAACAGGTGCATAGTGTGTGTATGTCACAGCCCCCTGTTGTTTGGTGGAAAATGCACTATTTCATCGAACTACCCAGTGCTGTTTGACTCTCCAGCAGCCATTGTAACTGCATTGTAATTGTATGTTTCAGATTCAAGCCCACCATGACCCGTTCCTGCGGAGCATGGCTCACTGGGTCCTGGAGGACTACAGCAGGGCCTTGGACACCCTCCTTGATCAGCCTGCCAACAGCGCCAGCTCTGCGTCCACTGAGAGCAAATGTGATGCTGGTAGGTCTGCAGTTGTTTTTTTTGCTTCTTTTTAATTCACATTTCTGCCCCATGTTCTCATTGCTCATGTTTTCTGATGATTTTCAGTGTTGGTTTGTATCAATACTTTGTATTGATTACTTATCTTTTATCTAAGATTAAATAGTTAATCAGGAAAAGACCATGTTTTCTATTTGTTCTATTTATTATAGGTCTTGAGTCTAAATTCCTACTCTACTACAGTCTAGATATAAATTAAAATGTCTCAACACCCTGTTCAACTTGTGGACATGTGTGGACTGTGAGTGCTGCAGGTTGTAATTTCACTCTCAGGTTGAATCCTCTTGCAATTTCACATACTTAAAAGACCGAAAATAGTTGCAAAGCTGACACATTTTGTGAAAAAAGTAATTGCAGCCTACTGGACACAAAAGCTCATTTAATTGAAGAAAATATACAGAGCTTGCCTTACAAATAGATGAAGGACTGAACTTAATATGAACCTTACTTTGACTTAAGCGCCAAACCACAACATCCCGCGCTACGTGTGTTCCATAAATGATGTTCTCAAACCACATTTAATATGCCTACAGAGAGGAAAACACTGGCTTATGGAAAGTTGAAAATGGTTCTTCTACTTGACAGATTACATGCTGTCTTAGCTGGGTTTTCAGTATGGGCTGTCATTTGACACTGTTTACACCAGGATGAAAAAGGGTGAACTTAATGCATCACCTTTTTGTCCAACAGCCATTCTCAGTAGTAGTAGTCAGTTTTGGATCTTTAAACTCCACCCTCGCTTTTTAAGTGACCACAGAATTCTGTTTTTGTGCTCACATAGCTGCATACTAGAGACTGACTGATATCTGAATTTTCAGACCAATAACAACTTTGATATTTGAGGATTTTAATATTCTGATCTGAATATAATAATATATGGCCAATTTTTTTTTTTTTTTTTTTTTTCAGGAACGCATAACAGAACAAAGATGATCCCTAACATTTGTTATGCGTCGTTATGAGACCTCACCAAGATAGCACAACATAATGCAGTTTAAAAATAACCTTTTTTATTTTTATAAATAGTACTATAAAAAGTGCAGCTGATTGCTGTGTTTTGTGATGGATCTGAGGCGTAAACTCATAACATGTTTAAAGGATCTGTATCTCCTTTTCTTTTTAATTGTCATTTATCAGCTGTGATACAAATGTATCTGCAATTAGCTTATATCGGCATGCCTATTTATTGGTTGGGCTCTACTGAGTCCTTCAGTTTGTTTACAAGTTTAACAAAGATTCAGTCAGGCCAGCTAAAGCTCCATTTCTGTGTCTGATCTAATTTAACACTTGTCCTTGCAGGAACTGTGCTGAAAGAAGTAAAAGTGATTGTTTTTTTTACCACCAACAAAGATAAAAGCCAATTTTCTGTCTTTGTGTCTATGACAGGTCCCTCTCCTGTGTCTACATGTAACCCTGAGGTTTTCAATTTTTACACCTACCTTCGTACCCACCCGCTTCTCCTTCGCCGCCATTTTGGCTCTTCAGACAAGGCCAAAGTTGGCCTGACCGCTGAGGGTCGCAGGGCTGACTCCATCAGCCTGGAGGAGAGAAGACTGTTTTTCACAGCTGCATATGCACACCTGCAAGCTGGCTGCCCTATGCTGGCACTTGAAGTCCTCTGCAAGATGCCCAAAGTCCGCAAGCATTCCAAACTCCCCAACCAGGCAGACACAAGCATCACTGCTGAAAGTGTCGGGAGCAAGAATGGAAAAACATCAGACCCTGATTGGTCTCAGTCGGCTCTGAACGACTACAAGTCGGAGGGAAGCAGCTTATCCAACAGCCAGTCAGACTCATTGTTAAGTTTTGACTGGAGCCAGCCGTCACTGACGCTTCCAGATGAGTCTCTGGAGCTGAAGTGGGACAGTGACAAAGATGATGAAGATGATGAGGGTGAAGATGAAATTAAAAATGGTGGTAGACCTGTAGAAAGCAGCAGTGTTTTCCAGGACACACAGGATGCCATGTCGCCGCTAATGGAGACGGGAGAGGACAGTGAGGATGGCAATGACTTCCTGGCACCATCTGATGACATCTTGGCAGCCCAGCTAAAGTTTACTGCCTGCTTGAAGATTATGACCAATGAGCTCCGGACACTGTCGACAGGGTACGAACTGGATGGAGGGAAGCTACGCTACCAGCTCTACCAGTGGTTAGAGAGAGAGGTAATGGCACACACACACACATTTAAACACTTTTACAGACACTCAGACAATCCATAATATTTTAAATATCATTTTAATATCCATCTGTGTGGTGGTTAGTCTGGCTGCAGCCTAAGGTTCAGTCAATAAAACTTTTATAACTTTCATAACTCCCACACATCTCGCCTGTCGTCATGCTCACTGTTTCTGTGTGTGCGCTGTCAGTGCATATCAACATCATACTGATAATAACTCAACTCTTCTCTTATGAAATGGTTTGCCTTTTCACTGTGTTTGACAATTTGGTGAAATATTCAATGTTTCATCTTGCATGGGTGGAGGGACCCATGCAAGATGAATTCCTTCTTGATGAATTGATTTTAAGATAAAATCCTGTTTTCCCCAGGTGGTGGCTCTCCAGCATTGCTGCAGTTACAAGCCCTGCTTGCCAGAGCTGTCTGTCCAGGGTGATGCCCCTGTTTCTGGGTTGGTGGAGGAGGAACGGGTGGGTGTAGATAGCTGGCTGCTTCTAGATTTGTCAGATGTTCATGAGGAAAAATCAATGCAGCACTTGCTGTAATAAAAAATTAAGACTGCACAGTGTGTCTTGACATAGTTTGAAAAATTATGTTTTATTGAAAAGAGTGTTGCACTAAAGGTTTGAAATCTGTTTTTGTTGTTGGGGTACAAAAATCCTTCTAACCTACTGCTGTAAATTAGCTCTGTTTCAGTCTGCAGCAAACCTAATTATACATACATACCGTTACCTAATACACTTACCGTGTATTTATGAAATTAAAATAAATTTCCAAGACCCACTAGTTTATTTGTTGTTGACGGAACAGATTAATGTGCATTGTTTTCAAACATAGTTGAGTTTAACACAGTGGGGCTTTTGTTTGAACACCAGTCAGCCGGATAACGTTGGCATATTTATAGGGATGTTGATTGATTTGTCTATAAAACTAATAAAGTAAAAATTGTTTTCCAGCCCGGGAGTCCTCGTGGTGACAGCCAGAGGAGCAGGAGGCACTGGCTGCAGCGTAACCAGCCCTTACTGAGGATGTTTCTGAGCTACTGCAGCTTACACGGCTCCCACGGTGGAGGACTGGCCTCTGTACGCATGGAGCTTATATTATTGCTTCAAGAGTCTCACCAGGTAATTAAAACATGCACAGATGCACACTTAAAGGCCTCTCATAGACAAGGAGTGACAATTTTTCTGCGGCAGCTAAGTTGGTCTGGCTCTGTAGCTGCTACAACAAAACTCCAAAAAACAAACACATTTTTGGAATTAATTACTTGTCTGAGTAAATTTAAAATGTTAATGTAAAAACATTTTTCTGGTTTTCTTATTAGAGAAAATAATTAGCATGTTTCTGGTAAGTTGCGATGACATGAATTAATAACTAATGCATGGCGATGCTAACATTGAACATTGTTTCACATTTGCAACCAAGACATTTCCATCACACACAAGTTGTAATGAAGGTGGTACAGCCTGCCCAAACTTTACCTTTCAGAGGTTCTAAACAAATCTGACAACACAAACTGAATCTGACATTCATTGTCTTAATTATTATTACTAATTACAGTACTTAAAAAAAAAAAAAAAGGATAAAGTGAACAGAATATATTTTTACTAAACAGAAGACAGAAAGATAACTATCAGCTGCATGTAAAAACATTCACATCGACAAGCAGAGCTGCAGTGTTATTTAACTGATCACATATTCTGTTTGAAGGGAACCATACTGAGCAGATGAGGGGCAAAGTACGAATGAAAGACGAACATGACGACATCTGAAAGCTTAATTCCCAAGACACACACATACACACAGACTCAGACCTACCTATTGTGCACCGGCGATCCTGTGCACACCTCCAGCAATAGGCTGACAGGTTGTGCTGATTCTCCGAGCTCCTGAGGGAGGTCCTGCCTTAGGCTGACTATTAGAAGGTTGAGGTAAACAACTCAATAAGCCACCATGGGAACAACGCTCTTAAATGTTAGCACAGTCGATGGGCACTGGGAGTCCTTTCTACTCTCCTACTTTGATTTTGAAAATAAAAGCCGTTTCTTTTGTCCCAGCTCTGGTCCCATGGTTGTCAAATTTCTCCACTGTTGTCGAGGAAATGTTTGAATTATCCTTTGTCCTAACTTCAGCCGATGTGCAGAGCTTCTGTTAAGGAGGTTGGTGACAACTGAATGTGATTCATCAGCTGTGACAAACATAAGCCTGTGCTATCCGTACACACAGAGAGAGTCAATTTCAGGGATCTAGTAAACACACAAAACCAGGTGCCACTTCACTGCCTATCTCTTCTTTCACACATACACTGGAAAGCATGTCACGCTCTCTCAAAGTATGTGATTATGATTATGACTTGTTATGGTTCAGCGTGTGTGCAATGTCGTGTTATGTATTTCCCACTGTATCTGATATGTGTTTTTTGTGAACAGTAAACACTTTTTGTGTTGTTTTTATTTACATTTATACATGATCCATATTGTCGAAACAACACGTTAATTTATTGTTAGTGCAGACCTTCTCTAATGATTTGAACCCACATTTCAATACTTACTCTCTTGACAGGATGACTCCATCCAATCAGCAGTGACGCCATGTTCTGAACAAACCTCTATCCCTCTTCTGATGGCTTGCACGGCCAACGTAAAGACAGTGGTGGCCAATCCCATCGTCTACCTGACCAACCTGACTCATGACATCTTGCAGACCATCAATGCGCTCGACTCGCCGCCACATCCCGATGTTGTCAACAACGAGGTAAGGCAGTCTCTGCTCTCATTTATCCATTTCTGCTTCTGGTAATGTTGATTGTGTAAATTTCCTCTTGATACAAAGACTGTAAGAGATTTAGTTAGATTTAAGTCAGATTTAATTGAAAAAGGACAAGATCCTGGGAAATCTGTGCCATTACAATAATGACCCATACAATAATAGCTATACATTTTTATATTTGTATTTTAGAAACTTTAAGACAACTTTTTAGACCCCTGATGGAACATCGTTCCATCAGTTGCACCGTTGTCAACATATATGTCAGCCAATAACTAAGAAGAAATTGCAGTACAGAAATTAAATGTATGTTTGAGGTAGTTTGGAAATCAGGACACCATTACTACAACAAGTGTAAAATGTCCCACTCAGTGCAACAGTTCTTAAATAAATTTCAGGGGTCCATATAAACCTAGTTGTTTATATATAAAATAAAAAAGACTTGTCACTATTGTTATTGGAAATAACAAAAAGGTTTGTGTTGTATATCAGTGTAGTGATTGTATTCATACATTAAACATTAAATTGTGTTTCTTTTGTGGTTTTTTTTTTTTACCCCTTGCCTTATTTTAGATCTATGTGATGCACACGTTGGCTGCCTCCTTGTCAGCCTGTATTTATCAGTGTCTGTGTGATGGACACACCCACAGGTAAATGTCTCACCTGTTACCAGTATTTGAAAGGTATTAACCCTCGAGCCCGTTCATGTTGCAGGGACTGTTCCACAGTACATCACAAACCTTGAGCTATAAGATATCCATTCCTTGACAGTAATTTGGGAATCTAGGGAAATAAATCTTTGCAGCCCAATGTTTGAAAAAAATGGTTTTATGTAGCCTGACTCAGAAAGGTTTGAGTTCATAGTGGGTTTCTACACTGCAGCTTCTCTCTGAGCAAGCTTCCTGAATTCTTTATATGACTTCAAACGATGCTTAACTTTGATACAACTTTTTCATTTTCCACCACATTCACCTTGACACGACTCCATTAACAGCACTGGATTATTTATCTATCAAGAGTGATCTGACTTTGTCTTGCTATTCATAGCATTAGCATTTAAAAGACAAATTAGTGGCAAAAATAATGTTAATTTGTGTCCTCTGGTTTCATTTGTGTGTGTGGGTGTCGGGGTGTGAGGGTGTAAGGTTTTTAGACTTATTGGAGCAGAATGATGAGAGATAAGGGGGAAGGGACATGACGACTGGTAACCAAGCACACTTTATATATCTATCTCTATCTCGATAGATGGATAGATAGCTGTAAGAAGCAGTGATAAGGGTCAAAGCAGAGTGCTAGCATTGTTTCTTATTATTTTTAATTAATCGTGGTAATCACTATATGCTTGTGCTCTGTTGAGGTATATAAATCTACTTTACAGGATCACAACAGGCAACGTTTGACTTGATATCACCTCAGTGAGCAATTGAAATCACACTACATGCATGAATTGCCACATTCTTGGCAAGTAGGACATGGCTACCTAGGGATGGACCTTTTGTATCCCCAGAGAAGGTGTCTTACTGACTGCGCCACTGGGGAGACATGGTTTCCCCACACTTTCTCATAACTAGAGGCAATGACATCACATATGCAAACCTGGGGTATTTTTGTCTGTTTAAATTTTACACGCTTACAGCTGTCAAAATGTGGGCGATAAGAATGAGAAAGAATAATGAGAACAAAAACAAAAGGTCTCCAGCAGTGAGCTTCGCTGCTTGGACCCCTAACGAGAGGAGTAATGCACGCATGCATCTCAAGTCATCTCAAACACTGCAAAGTGGAAATGCTTTTCAAGATGTCTTAGGCTTTGTTTATGACAAATAATTTTAGCACATGCTCTAGGCGAGTTTTACAAAGCGCCATAATGGTGTGACTTAAGACATGGAAAAAGAAAAATATGTTGAGCGTTTACAAACCCAAAATATGACACTTGTCAGTTTTGATTGGGTTGAGAATGATTTATCAAAGCTTCAAGGCTGCTGTTTGTCATTGTTATTGTTAATACCTAATTAGATTTCTGTTTTTGACAGATAGGAGGAACATTGTTTATTTAAGATGCATATATACAATCACTTTGACAACAACCCAGTAGTGTGTGTGTGTGTGTGTGTGTGTGTGTGTGTGTGTGTTATAAGAAAGATGCAAAACTAAAGTGCTCATTGAATCACATTGCACATTGAGGTTTGAAATACCAAGGTCAGATAAGTCGTTCTTTAAGAATAATAAATGTTTTTGTTTTTTTAAATAACGCATTTGGCTTACAGCTGTGCTGCTGTGTGAGTTCCTGGCACGGTTCAGCCAGATTGCTTGATGTTGTGTAGAATTATTTTTACTTACGCTTGACTAGGCCGGGAGGTTTAAAGCCACAGTGCTGTGATCCCAGAGATAGAATTGCTTGTATCAATTAAATAACATGTCAAAAAGGGAGATTTCATTTTAAGCTAATAGAGAATTCATCATTCTTCAAGAACAGGCTCTCTGACCTTGGTATTTCAGACCTCATACAAGTCTACACAGTGTGATTAAATGAGTACTCAGCCATCTATCACATTCTGTTTGTTAGTTGAACAGTCTAACTAAATTAGCAAGGCTATTTCTAATTTAACACCCTCTTTGTTATGGTAATTATGTTGTTAACTCTCCTGGTGTGTCGCTGCAGAGGTTTGATGAAAATGTGTTTCTGTTTCTTTTTTTCTTTTTTTTTTTTCTCCAGACTGTGTGAGCAAGAGAGCGAGCGTGAAAGAGTGTGTGAATTTTTAAAAAGATATTTCAGGATGTAGGTTGACTGTATTTTGATACATGTTCTGCTCTTTTCTCTCTCTGGTATATCATGTTAACTTCAGTTTCATTTAGTTAAACATTAGAAGATGAAGCCTAAAAGCACCGTACCTGTACGTTTGCAGTGTGGTGTGTGACTGAAGGGATTAACTTTGTTGTTAGTAGTGCATTAACACCACAATGACTACCACTCCTACTTCTGATGATGTTCCCTTTGACTTTTTAATTCTTTTTGAAATGGAGGCAATTGGTTTCTTCGCAGAAGCTTAAAAGGGAACTTATTGGATGTTGTGGTTATTGGAAACTTAATAGACTCCCTGGTGGGTTAAGCATTCCATATTCTCTGTAAAAATATCCTCTGCAACCATCCAAAGTTTTATTTATTTTTTTTGTTTTGTTTTTTTTTTGGTGTGTGTGTGCATGGGTTGAAAAGACACTTGACGTGAGGACTTGAATAGTGACGCTTTCTTCAGCATGAAATGTTCTGTTACCAAACAGCGTAGAATAGATAGGCTAACGTGAGATGCAGCCCATTAGTATTTCATGTCTTGTCACAAAGCTTGACAGGAGAGTCATCTTCTCGCCGCTTACTTAGAAACATCTCCCCAGATTTCACGACATAGTTAAAACATTTAAAATAAAACATTTAGACATTAGATATTTACACCACCTAACCCAATTTTTAATATCACGTTCAATATAAATGTGTTGCTTTGTGCCCTCGTACTGACTGTGTGGTTCCGTTCTTTTGTCTGTTGAATCCCCCACAGCCATGTGAACCATTTCACAGGAATCATATATCAGAGTGTGTTGCTCTCTCAGAAGCAGCAAGTCAGAACTGTCAGCATGGATGAGTCTGTTCAGCCCAACACTTCCCCTTCACAGTGGCCAGGTAAATCAGCCAAACCAAATACAATATTTTGCCTGAATTAAAAGTAACAAAGCATATTGTTCTTGTTGTCAACAATTAAAAGACCCAAACCATCAATATGTTTGTCCATCTCTCGGTACAATTTACCAACTTCCCTGCCCTGTCTGTGGCATTCACCTCCAAGCCCATTCGTTGCCCATTAATTGTTTAAAATTAACATCCTCAAATATATAGGTTCAGTAATTTCCTTAAACAGCTGGTAACAGTAGTTTTCAACAAACATCACATGAGTAAATGGTGCACTTGCTGAGGACAGTTGAGGACAGAAGTTTCACTGAGAGAAAGCCTCTCTTTTGCAGGAACGTCCTGATCACATTTGCACAGTTACACATTCACTGGAAGCTGCCCAGTACTACCAAAGTCTGATCTGCTGGCCAGTGAGCAGCTTCACTGGAGCAGTTTGGTTTAAGGGCACCTCAGTGGTGGTAATGAGGAGTGGCAAGTGCTTCTTCGCCACTAGGGGGTGACAGGAGTAGGAGGGGTTTGGGGAGTTATGTCACAGCACGCCAGTGAAATTCCAGCATGGACGACTTCAACACAGCTTGTTTCAGAAGCGTCCCTGAAACGGCGCTCTGCTCTGCTCTGTGGAGAATACGCGGAGAGTCTATTTTTGATGGAAGCCAAGTCAAGCAGCACAGAGCAGATGGAACAGCATACAGAATCTGGTCAGTTTTCAAAATAAAACACCCCTTGAGGGCTCCTAATTGTATATCACTAAACACAATTAAGACAGACGAAAAAGAAAAAAATATAACTATGTAGCCTGCCTAACCGTGGTAGAAGCACAGAATTCAAGGACAAATGACCAAATCAACTAAATCTGAGCAACTTGGCAAAATCAGGCGGGCAAATGTCCCTGTGGGGTATGAAGCCGTGCAGAAGTAGTAGAAGCACAAAAAGGAGAAATGAACAAGTCAACAACGTGGGGCAGGCAAAACTGTCTGCTCCTGAAACTTCTAAACACTTCCAGTGGGATATGAAGCTGCGCAGAGGGCAGAACAAAACTGCGTTGCAGCAGACTTTACCGGTGACATCCAGCTTTTAGACCAACACTGCCACATTTGGTACTCTAGTAAGTATTTACAGCAGCTACTGTGTGGGATTGATATCACACTTTTTGGCACATAGGAATACACTTTTTAGTGGGATCAATTCATTGTTGGTTTTTTCATTGTATTTGTTTGCAGTAAGAAAACAGACTTTCACTTTTAGGGAAAAGTTGAGGGGAAAAACAACAACCTTTTCCTTGTCCTTCTCTACAGGTATCGCCTCTCTGATTCGTCTGTTGAGCTCAGCAGGTGAGGAGAGCCAGCCAGGCTTAACTGTGCTGCTCTGTGAGATCCTGACTGCTGTCTTCCTCAGTCTGTTTGTTCACGGCATGGCCACTCACTCCAGCAACGAGCTGTTTCGCATCGTGGCCCACCCCCTCAGCAGCAAGCTTTGGGTGACGGTGTTCGGAGGAGGTGCCCGGACCCCTGTGATGGAGAAATCCAAAAGCCCGACAAGAACACCCTCACCAGGTTAGGAGAGATTAGTTTGTCTGCTGTTTTCTTTCTGGCTGGCTGGCTGTGTGTCTTGTGGAGGTGACCCAGTAGCTAAATCAAATCAGTCCTGCTAAATTAATTGGGTTCCCATCTACAGGTCATAGTGAAATCTATCAGCCTATTAGTGTGGGAGCTGTTTCCCTCTCACTCTTTGTGCTACTCTCTTGTGTTTGTAGAAGAAACCTGATGTAATGCAAATTCAACTCCTATTTATTTGGCAAAATGTCATCATTTTTAATTTTTCTTTTAATTTCAAGAATATATTTTTAATGTTATTGTCATTAGCAAAAAAAAAAAACGCATGCCAGGCTTGGCATATGAATTGTATATGATGTGCGTATGCATGAGTGGTTAGGGTTGCGACAGCAGCTGAAGTGCTGGATGCAGCATTTTAACAAACTTTCTCAACACCCTAGCCTCACCAAGCGGCTCAGACAGGAAGTCCAGACGATTCAGGCTTCTATCATCACGCAGTGTATCCAGAGAGGAGAGCCCATCTAGTCCCAAGCATGGCCCCGTGGTGGACCAAGAAGCTGCTCCCATCTTTAAAGAAAGATTTGTCCCTCCAGAGCTCAGCATTTGGGATTACTTTATCGCCAAGGTAATCCCGAATATCAGTAACGAACAACAAACAGGACCCATTCATATCCACTCCTTTTTTATTCTGATGAGTCCTAGCTTGAGTCAGTGTATTGGCTTTTAATTGGGATGTTTCATGTGCAGGGTTCATGTATAACAACATAAATATATTCAAGGTAGTTTATTTATCACCATACAATACAAGGTTGTACAAAGAAATTACAGTTTGTAGTCCGTTCAAGTTACCCGCATAGAACTTAACAGAAAATTAAATTTATATTAGAACTTGGTAACGTAAATGTACAGTAATTTAAATACATAACAATGTTTTTAAAGTATTTGCCTCCTTCCTGATTTCTTGTATTTTGCGTATTTGTCACAGTGAAATTAGTGCTGGGCAACAATTAAAATTTTTAATCGCGATTATTTGCATGATTTTCTTGCGATTAATCGCAATTTTACGCACAAAATTGAATAATGAATTCGAAAGTAGTGCATTGCGCACTTGTAATTTAAATGTACTGCTATTTACTAGGGGTGGGAATCACCAGAGGCCCATTGATACAATATTATCACGATATTTATGTTGCGATTCGATTTTATTGTGATTTTAAATATATTGAGATATATTGCAATCTATTACCTTTTTCCAACTTCCAATTAGGTCATATCACTTTTTCAGTCCTCTATATGGTCCTGTTAAGTTTTCTAGTGGACTAAAAAAGCAATAGATTTTATTATTCTAGTACCAAAAAGTTCAAAAACTCCCATCTGCAATTTGTATAATAAAATATCGATACTTGGCGTCCGTGTATCGATACAGTATTGCCATGGCAAATATCACGATACTATGCTTTCCCCCACCCCTACTGTTTACACAAAAGTTCAATAACGTGGTTTGCAAACACTTTAAACAAATAATGTGCTTTTTACCAGCAGTATTCCCGTTACACAGTAGCAATAAAATATTACCTAAACCTACACCTATAACCTAAACATTAATATAATCTAATCAAATATTAAACCAGAGCTATTTGCCACTGCAGGGGCATTACCTTTTATCTAGCTTGTTAAAACAAGATACCATCAGAGTCCAGTTTTCTTGTTTTTTTTTTAATCTTTTATCAGGGAGCAGCAGAAATACTATGTTCAGTAGGGACGTTACAAGTCGTGGTGGATATTTTACAAGCACGGACCAGATAACGATAAAGCAACAATGAACACACAGTGTACAGATGTTGGTTTGGGTTGTTTGAGTTGCTTGATAGGCTACGTCATTAACAAGTAAGCGGCTCACCTGCTGCCGTGATAACGGATTGCGGGTGGAAAAATACGGGAAAAAAAGATGAAAGCGTAGTCTGACGAAGCCTCCCTCCACTGCTTGTTTGGGTGGGTGATTTGCAGGCTGATCAATCCTATCCAAACCTGTCTGGCCTTATCTGAAAAAAGTAATTGCCGCCTAAACCTAATAACTGGTTGTGCCACCCTTGGCAGCAGCAACTGCAAACAAGCGTTTGCGATTACAGGCAATGAATCTTTCACATTGCTGTGGTGGAATTTTGCAGAATTGTTTTAATTCAGCCACATTGAAGGGTTTTTGAGCATGAACGGCCTGTTTAAGGTCATGACACAGCATCTCAATCAGATTTAAGGCCGGACTTTGACTAGGCCACTCCAAAACCTTCATTTTGTAACTCTTCCATGGATGCCATTTTTGCCCTGTGTCTTTCTTATTGTAAATCATGACCCCTGACCTTAACTAAAAAGGAGGGCAGTTACTTTTTTAGATAGGGTTTGGATGGCTTTTGTCCCTTTTTAATAAATGAAATCATCTTTTTTAAAAACTGCCTTTAGTATTTACGCTGGTTATGTATGTCTAATATTAAAAACTGTTTCATGATCTGGAAGATCTCAGTGTGACAAAATTGCAAAAAACTAAGAAATTAGGAAGAGACCTAATTCTTTTTCACAGCACTGTATATACATACATGTATACTAGGGTTGGGCGATGTCTACAATGAAACATCGCCATCGAGTGCGCGCGGGGGGGGGGCAGCACTCATCTTATGTGTATGTGTTCTCACACAGACTTCACTTACGGACCAGGTAAAGCAGCATTTAACAGACGGTGCAGATGTTGGTTTCAGTTGTTTGATAGGCTGCGCCATTAATAAGCCGACGTGCGGCTCAGCTGCTGCCGTGACAACGGATCGCAGGTGGAAATATACGGAAAGAAGACAAGTTCTCAGTCTTTTAGGAGTGAGACAGAGAGAGGTCTGAGTGTGGGGAGAATAGACTTCCGAGGCAGTTGCAAATCTTCCTAAAAAACAATAATAAGAATATTCTGGGTCATTAAAACCTGATTTCAGACGGTGGTATAATGTGAAAATTTGAGATTATTTTTTGCTGGGGGGGGGGGGTTACAGTCATGATGGTTGGGTTTAGGTAATAAAAGTACTTGGTTGGGTTTAGGTGCTAAAAATACTTGGTTATGGTTAGGAAAACATCGTCGTTTGGGTTTTGGTCACAGAATCTGACCAAAATCTGTCACAGATTTTGGTGTTCCACCGGCTCAACGTCCTGATGTCTGTCAGCCATCGCCGAGGGACAATGGCATCGTCTGTCTGCCCAACCCTTAAGTATACACCCAGGAGACAGTTCTGCAGTGCATTTTTTTAAATTTGCGGAGGGGGGAATAAAAACTGCAGTAACAAGAAAGTGATAATAATATGGTTTTGATCTTCACATAAAAAGTCTGTCCATCCACTTTGACTGCATTTGAGCTCCAAGCATCATCGATGAAAAGGTCCATCTCCTCTCATTGTATCATTGATTCTGACCATATTGTGGTTATAGTAACTATCTTATGGAAGCACTCTGACAATTTGTAATAATCTGTGTTTATCTGCTGAAACGATCAACATGTACTAAAACTTTCTGCCAGTATATTTATGAATTAATTATTATTCTCATCGTTGTCACTATTTTCGTGTGTCTTTCAGCCTTCGCTGCCACCCTCAGAAAGCAGAATTGAATATGACTCAGAGGACAGCCAAGGCAGTGAAGATGAAGATGAAGATGATGAATTTGAAGATGTGTTTGACCCCAACTCTCCGCAAAGAGAGCATTCGAACCACAATTCATACAGGTAATGACACAGAGCTGAGCAGATACCACTGCAAAGAGTGACTCATCTTCACCTCAATCCAGGTTGCCTAGAGTAAACCTGCATGTGGTGGCTGTTTGTGTCGCACTGCCTCTAAATTTAGCTCCACATTCAGTCTGAACACTCCTTTATGGCCCCACTTTTTTGAAGGCAGCTTTGGACCTATTTAGAGTATTTATGTTCAAAATTGTAATCTGATTCCAAATGCCTTCTTCTCTTTCCAGTTGGTGTTTGATGCGTCTGGCAATGGTTCAGCTGGTGTTGGTCAACCTCAAGTCCTTTTACCCAATGGCAGGATATGATCTATTAGGTAAACACTGAAATACAACACGCACCCTCTGATGTACTAACCTTCAGAATGTAGATAAATGCCGCCACATTTCTCACTGCCTGTCTTACCTAATCTTATTGCCTTCTTGTTTGTGTGTGTATGTGCCGGCTTCTGTTTAACACAGATCTGCCTGTGGGCTCTCCTCTGTGTCACGCTGTGCTGAAGACGCTGCAGCGCTGGGAGCAGGTGCTGCTAAAAAGGCTGGAGATATTCGGGGGCCCACCCGCAAAGTACATCTCCACCCAGTTCCAGGATGAAACTGCCGCATCTGGTCCTGCCCTGCTCAGACACAAGGCCCTGTTTGAACCATCCAACACCCCATTCAGGTACCACAATGAGCTGGGGATCAGTGTTACATATTAAAAAATGTATTATTTTACATTTATTTTTTTAATTTAGATTGAATTTGAAATCAGTCAGCTTTAGTGTGTGTGTGTGTGTGTGTGTGTGTGTGTGTGTGTGTGTGTGTGTGTGTGTTGATGTACATGTTTGTATTCACTCAGGGCCTTAGAAAAGTTCATGTTTTCACTTCTCCTTTATGATATCGCTTCAAGCCTACCGATATGCCCTTCAGCTTTTAAACATGAATTAATGGTAACATGATGCTGTAAGTTGTTCCTCAAGATCTCTATAGATTTAAAGTTTTGATCCTTCGGCAGATGTGACCCCTGTAGATTTCCACATTGCTCCTACAGTATGTACTGTAGGGATTTACTGTTCTTGGAGGAAGAGTTACTGTTTGTGCATTTCATGTGTTTTGCCTTAAGCACCAGATATGTGGAGTTTTCCGATCAGCGCTAGATGCACAAATCAGAAGCAGTGTTTTCTAACACATTTAGTTGTGCTTCACTGAACGGATACAACTGATTTAATCGGCATTAGTGTTAATATGCGGGAGGTGTTCTGTTCTTTTCAGGACTAGCCACACTTCATCGCTGCCAGTGAAGCGTCTGTGGCAGTTTCTGGTCAAGCAGGAGGAAGTGCAGGAGACTTTCATTAGACACATATTTACCAAGAAAAGAGACCCGAATGAGGTACACCATGTTAACAACATGCCAACCCGCTGCATTGACGTGTTGCACAGCTAGCACATTGTATAAATTGTCTCTGATTAACACATTAACTATTTTATTATGATAAAACCCACAAGTCTCTGTATTTACCCCCCAGGCACACTGCATCATTATTGCTTTTACATCCATGTTGGCCCATTTGTGCTTGTTTTGTGCCGCATGCCAACCACATGTATTATTACTGCCTCCAGTTGCATGTTGATGCTTTTAATTGCATTCAAATAATTACACCCTGTTTGATTAACAGCACAGTAATTCCCTTTCTGTGTGTGTGTCTGACTGCATGGTTAATCACTGGTTGTTGTTTTTGTTGTATGTGTTTTGTGCGTGTGTATGTGACTACCCTGTGCTGCTTCCCCAATCATTTAAGTCGGGTGAGGACCAGACTGACAATATGAAATGTTCAGGGATGGAGGAGACAGGAAACCATCAGGTACTGCTGCTTTAGATAAATTGTGATTTATGGTATTGGGGTGTGACGTGCTGGATCAACAAGTACTGAAAACTATCAAGAACCCAACTTGCCACCAAATGATTTAATTAGATCCTTTCAAAATAATTTCCCCAATTTTATACTGTGTTCTGATTAGGTAAAGTACTTATCTTGCTGTTTTGTCTTTAGACCTCGATAATTGGTGTAATTTTTTAAAATGGAAAAAGTTCTTGTTTTTACAAGTGCGTGGGGGGTGGGCGAGACATTTTTGTGGTAAGAGTCTGTCAGATTATGATCCTGAAAATGTAATGTTTTGCCAGGAAAACCATGCCATTTGCTTGTTTTTGTAGTATTTCATTGTAAAACTACATTAAATCTTTCATGTAGGGCTGTATTATAGTAACATGAATTTCAGCACTGCATGATTGGTTAAAGTTTGCAAACGTGCATTTTATTACGTGACAGACCAGAGCATCAAAAGATGGGTTGTCATTATTATCATTATTATTACACCAAAATTAAATTTGGTTAATTGTGTAAGGTAATTGTCATTGAGATTGTTATATTATGCATCCCTGCTTTCTGGTAACTGGCATTGTTATATCTGAGAGTTTTTGTTGCATGTTTGTTACATGTTCAAAAATGTGTTATGTTTTATCTGTTAACAACAATACTTAACCGTTCTTGTAATCAGTACAGATGTTGTGAAACATTACGAAACATACTTCACATCACAATAATGTGTGTGGGTGATTTATATTTGGGAACATGCACATCACGTGCCATGTATTTGCCTCCTTGAGTAGAATAGTAAATGGGCCCTGTCACATTATATCTAAGAAACATTAAAATTGGGATCTTGACAGAATTACAGTACGTGTATTTTTCTGGGCCATGAACTTTGTATATTCCTGTCAGTGTTTGATAATAATCGTACATTTAGCTGTCTAAATATTAATGTGAATGTGAACCATAAACCTTAAATCGCACTGTACACTGATGCTACACTGAGGTTTTCTAATCTTCTGGTTCTTACTGTGCAAGCTGCCGTGTTGTAGCTACTCCATTTGGCTCAGTGTTAATTAACCCAGTCTCTCAGAGGACAAGCTATGAAGCTGAATAGCTTCTGATTAATGGGCCCAACACTGTCGCAGTGAATCTGCGTTCCACAGGGATTATGTGCTCGGCGAAAATGGCAAACCACCATATTTAGATTGCTGTAAGTCAAGTTTTACTTTATTCTATCTGACAGAAAAAGACATGGTCTTTTCCCCTTGAATAAATGTAGCAAAGACTTTAATTCAATCTCATTCTCAAAGGATGCCTGTCTCATTTTGAGTAACTTTGGCATCAAAATATAACATCTCTATACAATATGCAGAGCTACAGTATAGCCCACTCTGCATGCATCCCACAGGACCTCTATGGTACAGTATGGTACAGTGTGCGCTTGTGCTTATTGCTCAAGGGTTGTTGTGCTCATGCTGTCTAATGGCGCTAACCCAGTTATGTGTGCTGCTGTGGTTAACTGGCCTTATGCACCTTACATGTCCTCTCATAACTTTGACCGGCAAGACAAACAAACACTAAGGGCCCGATTTACTAACATCACGAATAAAGACTACTAAATTGCGTGTGCATTTTAAAAAATGCGCAATTTTAGTACCTGTTATGGGTGATTTACTAAGAATTATTGTGTAGATGACAGGAGCAAACACAATGGAGGTGGGAGTATTTAAATGAGGGTTTTGTGTGTTTTTAATGGAGGGAAAGCAGCCACAGCGTAAAAACCTTGGTTGGTTTCATTTAGTGCGTCCCGAGTATGTGGAAATCGTAGGTGCCTGCCTAATCCTGCCTAAGATTACACTAAGTTCTTGGGACAGCACACCTGGAGAAACTGCTTTGGCGAACCCCAGCAGAAACGGCTACAGTATGCTGGAATGACCCAGACGCCAGGAAATGCCAGCAGATCGTGCTTCATCCAGCCAGAGGAAACAATCACCCTCTCCGATACCTACAATGGGTTGTCTCGCTATATTACGACCGGCGCGCTGCGAACAGTTGGTGATCGTTCCCTCTGGCTGGATGAATTTTACGTGTGATCCATGCACTACTGCAGCTCGGGGCTCTCCGCAGCGCCACGGAACTTTCTAATCTCTTCATTCACACGGAGAAAAGAAATCCGGTCGAAACGAAATTTACTTAGACAGGAAAGCTAAAGCAAAATACAAAAAAATTCTATTCATATAGTTCATCAAATAAATAAAATAAAATAATTGTATTTCTATATATTAGATATAGAATAATATTGTTAATTTCTCTACGTTTTCTTTCATTACGGCTGTGTCTCCGTCTGGCAACAATAACAGCAGCCATCACTGCGCAACAATTTTTTTTTGCGATTTGCACCTTTCTTTCAAACGTATTAAATACAGAGGCTGTTGCACTCACATGAAATTGCGTTTAGGCTTGGTAGATAACATTGCGTGTAGTAAATAAATGTATTTGCATGTTACGCCCCAAGTTGCATATTGATTAAGGCAAAAGTACTAAATGAACAACAGGTGCTATCTTGCACTTTTGAAAAACGTAACTCTGCGTGCACACCGTTAGTAGATCATCTTACGTGCTAATTTGCTGGTGATATCAAGTTTTCACACGTATTTACTCACGCAGTCCTTTAGTAAATCTGGCCCATAGAATGCACATATTATATACCTGTACAGTTTTATTTATCAACCCCCCTCCTGGAACTTGTCAGGTCATTGGTTCTGTAGCATGAAGGGAAATGACTGTTCATTTGTCTGTGGGAAATGTTTAATAACATTTCCAGTTGTAATGTGTGTGTGTGTGTGTGTGTGTGTGTGTGTCCCCCTCTGTGCAGACTGAGTCAGATCAGGGCTGCCCCGGGGGGAAAGCTCGCATCATCCACAAGGAATCTGACATCATCACAGCCTTTGCCATCAACAAGGTACAACTCTTAACACAGATGTCACTGATCAACACAACATACCACGAGAAAAACATAGTGTATTTCTAACTTCATTGGTTTGTCAGTCTACATGGTCAATACTGGTCATTTTTATTTAAGCCTCAGAATGTATATAATTCAATTTGTTGAGCACCATGGAAGCCAGTGTTAGAATCTCTGTTTTAAAGTTATATTGTTTTTTTTCTCTGTTACTGGGAAAACATTAAATACATAGATATACAGACAAAGGTTTCTTCAGTGCAAAACATTTTCAAACCTTACTTGTATCTATTGGAAAACTGAGGGGGGGGACTGAGCAGCAAAAATAAACTCTTAAAAGTTTAATCTGCTTTTGTCTGCCAGGTAACCTTCTGTTTACTGTGAAACACACTAGAAATGAATCTTGCCTTCAGAGATTTTCTTTGAAAACATTTTGTAGCTGCTCTAATTTATATTTTTTATATTAAATATAATCAAATGTCGGTGTCATTTATGAAAGGGGTCGCTTATAGTGACAAACCCTCAGAACTGTCTCTGCAGTCTAAGACGTTAAAATAGCTCTAATGAGTGTTTTCTTTCAGCTCATTGTTTTGATTTTTCAGTACTTTTCAACTTAACTGTTTTGGTTTTGCGTTACCGCACTTATCACCCCCTTGTTATTTGGCGAAAAAAAAGCTCAGCAGGTGGGGTACCTATTGCACCAAACAGACAAAGTTAGCAACTAGCTTTTGAACACAGTGGGACATTTAGCAGGTGAAGAGTCAAATATTTCCCACATGATTTAGTGGAGACCAAAAACAGAGCTAAAAAGTGGGTAAATATTGGACTAACAGGTGGCCAGAAATGCAAAATAAATGTGAATGTTGCTCACTGTCTGCTTGGTGTGTACATAAGCAACTGTTGCTAACACATTTGCCATTTCAACTTCATAAGGTTATAATATGTAAGTGTTGTGTATCCCCAAGTGGCGGGAAATCAATTAATACTGCTTTAAGTAGTTTTAGTCCAGCTGTGCATGGTAACAATGCTTTCTAGTTTGTTAAAACTAGGCTAATAAAATAACATTGTATCTTCTGAATTTCAAATTCAGATGAACAATGTTATTATATACACTGTGGTGGACACGCATCTAGAAAAAATATGTGTATTTCAAGTCTTAGCTTCAGTTTGACCAAAGCATCAAAATCAGAGTGCACACAATTAAAACCAAAACAAATCTCAAATTGTTTTTTGCCAGCAGCACAACTCTAAAGCCATATCCTAGCCCCTTTGATGTTGTGAGCCTGTGTTCTTTGTTTGATATAGGCAGAGTTTCACACTGTAATACTCTCGCTTGAATGTAGCTATTTAGTTAAAGTGAACCAGTGGTGCGGGTTGTTCTCAACAACAATCAAAGGAAGGTGCACCTCAGGTCATCATTAAAAGCAAAGCGTTGGATGGTTTTGTGACCACAGGCAGGAAACAGTTGGAAAAGGTCTGTCTCACTCTTGTTGACCTTCTAACTGTTTCAAATTTTGCACATACGTTTAGCCTCATTTTCCTTACCCATACCCTCTCTGTCACCCGGCTCTCCCTTTCTCCACTTCCTGTCTCCCAGGCAAATCGTAACTGTTTAGTCATGGCCTCCACCCATGACATTCAGGAGTTGGATGTGTCCTCCATCTTGGCCACACAGATCTTGACATGGATTGATGATGATGATGCTGTTGCTGAAGCCAAAAGGTATGAGGGTAATCTGTGTGTGTTTGTGGGTGCATGCTGTACTTACTGAGGCAGACGGCTGGGAGAGGTCATCCAGAGTAACAACACCTTAAATAGCTAAATTGAGTGTGGATGTGGGCTAAGCATGCACGATATGAAGAAAATCTGAGATTTTCAATATTGTTATGACGGTATGACTTGCGATAAACAAATATTGTAGTTGTAATAGTTGGGGTAAGAGGCTAAGGCATGCATTATGTCAGTGACAGGTCCCCATGAAGAAAGTGCCACAAGGATGTATCTGTCTGTGTGGGGCCCATTTAATACCGGATTTCGGTAACCATCCCTTAATAAAAAGTTTTTTTTTATTCATCGTGTTTCAGGCAGTGTTTTGCGATTACGTCTGGGGCGATTCGTCGACGTAATCGATTACGTCATTGCGTCGACTCGTCGCTGCATCCGGTGTGGGATTATCCCGGACAAGCTTCAGCTACAAGACCGCGCCTTCGACCGTCTAAACTTTGGAGTATTTCAGACAGACACTCAACAACGTGCTGCTCCGTGAGCTCTCTGAACTGGAAACAGCTTCACTGCAGCACAGCTGCTGTCCACAAATACGTGAAGCGAAAGTAGCCTATCCCGGAGCACTTTGTCTAGACGGCAGAACCGCAAATCGTGTTTACTTTCTGTCGCCACACAAGTACAGCACATTATCAGCACGAGGACACTTTCTTCATTGCCTTCAAGTTAAAAGTAATTTCTGCCCCGCTGCTGTCATGGTAACGTAACGTTACACCGCGAGTCATGTAACGATCGGCTGTTTCATATTTTCTGTTTATTTAACGGCCACGTATGAGCAAGAAAACAGCTGAATCTAATTACAGACGATCTGTGACGGTCTGGACAGTCTGAGAGTCCTTTCAGGTGTTCACTGATGCAGAAATACATTTGATTATCATACTGCATTACTAAATATTGAAATGAATCCATGTCACAAACATTTAAAGTTTTAAGTAAAGCAGCCTAATTAATGTCTGTTATTGTTACAACACAAGATTTGCTGCTATTGTCATTATTCTAATGTGCTTCATCAGGATGATTGAATAAAATATAGATTTATTGATTAGACATGTTTTTGATATTTATTTTGGATAAATTGGTATGTTAATAGAGTAATATGCAACTTTTCTTTCTTTAGAATAAACAAAATTAGTCCTTAGATTAATCAACTAATCGAAAAAATAATCGACTTGAAAAATAATCGATATGTACAGCCCTATTTGCGATGTTCATATCATGATGACGATGAAAATACGATTTATTGGTCAGCACTAGCGTGGGACAAAAAATACTTTCTATGAGCAAGGTAATCTGGCATCATTTTGGCTGATTTATGTTATTTATCTCTTCTGAGTATTAATCTTACCTTGCTTTCTGAACTTTTAATCAAGTGTTTCCTGCTAAACATGCACTATCTCTGAACTGAACGCAGAGGTGACATTGATATCTCATAACCTCTGCCAAACTGAGTATTCCCTTTTTAAGATTTAACCACATGAAAACACATTTATTATTCTGTCTCTGTAGTGATGACTTTCTGGTGGTTCACGCACGCAATGACTTTGCCACCCTCCACGGCACCACGCCGTACACTCACAGTAGCCCTGGCACACCCATCAACATGCCGTGGCTGGGGGGACTGCAGACGGGCCGGGGTGCATCTGTGGTGAGCTCTAGATCTGAATTTGTATGTGACCGTATTACCTGGGCCATATGTTTGCCCTACACCTCTTCTTCTGCTTTTTTTGGTTTGGTTTTTTTCTGATCCCTGTTTTGGATTAAAGGGCCATAGAAGTTGTTTTGCATGTTTTCAGCCATTGACTGCAGATTGCTTATACTTTACATAGCTGACAACCATTTTCTAAAGCATGCAACTTTGACTTGGACCTAAATTGTAGGTGTGTGTGGGCCAGTGTACTCATAACTAAGCAACTTCCTTTATTTAAAAGCCACCAAATATTCCCCTTCCTAATTTTAAGTATTTGCTGCCTTTCTTTCTTCAGTAATCTGAATATCTTTTGTATCTGGTCTGACCAAAAAAAAAATCTATTTTAAGATGTCACCCTGAGCTTTAGCAAAGCGAGTGACATTTTCACTATGTTTTATCGATCAAACAACGAGTTATTAATTGAAAGAATAATCGGCAATCCCCCCTGACCCACATTGTTGGTTGTAATGTTAAAAATAACAATGAGTTAAATTGTTTCTGGGATTAAAATTAAAGAAAACCAAGTCTCAGATGTTGGAGCTGTATGAAATTTTAAAACCGCTGCTTTTGGAAACTACATAAAGATGATAAAGTAACAAAAAAACTGAAGCTGGCCAACTGTTCACTTGATTTCCTAAGTGGTAAGTCTCAGTAAATTGTTGTCCTGACGTTTTGAAATGAAGATAAAATGCTTTAGATAACCATGATCAGTTGCCTTATCAACTAAACCTCAAGAACCCAGCAATTTGGTCTCTTAATCTTCCATAGAGTGTCAGTGATGAATGCTTTGGGTTTAGTATACAGTGCTCTTCATGGCTTTTATAGAATACATTAAGTTTGTTGTTCTGGATCTGGCCTTCCTGGTACTCAAAGCAAAATCCTCAAAGCAGTTTAAATTACTTTATTAATAATACATCTTTGTCTGGTCTTCCGTCATTGCCTTACAAAGGAACAAAGATGTTGCTGACTGCTACAGCTTGCGAGACACCAGGCCCAAACCTCTATAAATGTTTGTGCTGGAAAAGTCTGTAAAAGCTGCTTTACTGAGCAGAGAAACTTGGCGTTAGCAGTGGGGAGGGAGATTGATTTGATTCTAGTGGTAGCAGTGTCTTTGAATCGAGTAGCTGTGAGTCATGTTTGTTGATATTAACCAGCTCGCTCATTGCTCTTGATATGCAGACTGGACAGAAAGAGCCACTCTGCGTCGTAATTATTTTACCAGCCAGTCGGGCAGCGTGTTCAAGGTTGGAGCAGAATACATTTAGAGACAATAATAAATAAAATCCTTGGCAGACATTGCTGTTAATGTCTGCCTTTCTGGGCCACCATTCATGATACAGGACAGAAAATACTGACTGAGCTGCAGTAAATAAAGAAAGTTTATTCTATGATGACTGCACAGCCATCCATTTATGCTGTAACTTAAATGCAGCATTAAATGTGTTCTCCAGCTTTAATAATGATTAAGATTAGAATTTTTTTCTGACTTTTTTTTGAAGTGGCTTTTAACTACAGATGAGCCCCTTTCAGACACGCACCTCGTTAGGTAAATATTAATGCACTTTTAATTTTTACACACACACTTCGAGAGTTGGTAAATCCAAATCAAACCCAGTAACATTTTTGTGGCTTAACCCTGAATTAAATGCAGTCACATTAACATAAAGGCTACAGCACAACAAGCTTAAATAGCCACCGAGAGATAAAACACATGTCTTGTTCACCTGAAGAGCTTGGCAATACATGTATTACTTAATGAAATGAAACTTTATGACAATGAAATCAATTAGGAAACCACAAACTTTGGTTTGTGGACTGCCGTTTTGAAGCTTCGAGTTTGGCCGATAGGGCGCCGCCATGTCGAGTTTTTGCAACCAGGAAGTGCCCGGAAGTGACGATACGGCGGCGCTAACGGCCATGTGCGGAGCTAGCTAGCTTGCTCAGCTAGGTGCAACTGTAACTCACGTTAACTGTTTAACTGGGCTAATAATTTTGTCTAGCGAACAACATTCTTACAACTACATGTACTCACCAGAGAAAGTAAACAGCCAATTCCTAATAAGCTTTTTCAACCTCTCTGGGTAGCGACTGTAACTATTAAAAGTGCCCCAGGATCAGCTTTGACCATATCTTGGAAAAATACAGCAAAAAAAAACAAACAAGAAAATGACTCTTTTTGCATTAGAGTCAATAGAGCGCAGCCATGACCTCAGTTAGCGCGAGACCTATACTGCTCTGTGATTGGCCAGCTGCAAGTTCAGGGCGTGGCTTAGTGAAGGGTCAGTTATGGTCATGTGATAACTGGTGGTCATATACCGGGGTGGATCATAATCCCCTGTCTTTGTTGGAGGAAGGTCTCTGGCATGTGAATGGTGTCCTTGATCTTTGTCTGTCATTTTGTTATGGTGTTCAGACAGCTGATGTCGTCTGTTTACGCGTTCATTCAGTCTCTTGTCCTGGGTTAGGTTTTGTCGTACACCCCTCCAGTTTTCAAATTTGTCTAAAATTACGTTGTTTTTTTTTTTGGTCCCTGGTGGTGTTTAAAAAAAGCCTTAAAGCCACAACCACAAAAATAGCCAGACCATTTCTCTGTCGATTTGTGTTTCCCCCTTTGCTAGACCTAAGCCCACGCCTTACCCTAATGCTAACCAGTTATCTCTGCGACGCCTAACCATAACCTTCACCTGTACCCCTACCACAGACGGTTATGGTACAGGAAACTGTATTCAAATGGGAGGGAAGCACACTTTGAAGGGGAACAGACTTTGACACGAATCTAATAAATGAGGAAGTTGATCAGAAAGTTTATCAGTGGACTGTGAGAACAAGAGCCAAGCAGCTCTCATGCTCGTGATTATCATTGATTAAAAGTCGGGTCTGAATGAAGCCGTAATATTTACCAAAAAGACACCCATTACTCTAACAGATAGAGGAAGCCAGCACTGAATGAGTGAAAAGGGCTTTAGAACAGTGTAATATTGTTTGACAGTTTACTATTACATAGCAGTGTGCTTGTCCATATTATCCCATAATGAAGTTGTTGTTTTCTAAAATTGGCATACTAAGAATCTTTTCCTCCTCCTCCTCCTCCTCTTCACTTTGCTTCTCGCAGATGATCAAGAGAAATATCAACAATGTGAGAAGAATGACCTCCCATCCCACACTGCCTTACTGTAAGTACGACTCTGTATCTGCCTCTTAAAGGTATCAATCTAGACTGCATATTTCTCATGTTAAAAAGAGCCTTCGGGACAGTTACATCACCCTAAAAAGTTTCTCTTATGTAGATAGCAAGTGGCAAAGTTTTTTTTGTCTACTGCTCCCAGTGCTGCTGATAATTTAGAAAAGGCTGAGTGAGCCTTACTTGTTTCAGCCTGCAGAGTGAGGATTCACTTGTGAGGTGTTTGGGTGGAATAATTCCCAGCAGGTCGTAAGAACGGCTGTTGAAGTGTGTGTGTGTGTGTGTGTGTGAAATAAACCGTTTCTTTCATCAATTATAAAACAGATGACTTTGGGAACAGAGAAATGCCAGACGCTCATGTTGGGACCAGAAATAAGCTGAATTGATGTCGCTTTTTCTTTCAGACCTGACAGGAGCTCAGGATGGTAGCGTGAGGATGTTCGAGTGGGGTCACTCCCAGCAGATCATCTGCTTCAGAAGTCCAGGCAACTCCAGAGTCACCAGGATACGATTCAACCACCAGGGAAACAAGGTTATAAAGTCACACACACACTCATGCTGGATGCACTGGGCAGTTGAACCAAGTGAACTGCCACCATGCAGATGTCAAACTGTCCTTAGCTTTGCAACATGACCGCATCATGTGATGTGAGCCTGTCAGATTCCACAACATTTTCACACTTCTTCTCACAACTGTGTCGTTTGGCTTCAGCGCACACGTTCTTCAGCTGAGTGATTCAACCGCTCTGAACCCGGGCACTCGCCTCAAGCTAATAATTTTCTCAGATGGTGCCTCTCCTGTGCCAGTGCTATCTTATCTGCCTGTTCTGGCCAAAAGAGTGAAATATGCTTTTAAAAAAATTTGAAAGCGAGGACATGCAGAGCACTTTTGATTTTAGTTATGTAAGTGGTGCTTAGGTTTATTAACATACTATGGGAGATAATTTGAGCACAATCCAGAGGAAGGTTCTCCATGGGTGTGCAGACACAGGAGAAGCACCTGAGAATATGTTTTCGTCGCTCTGATATAAAACGAAGGATAATTTTATTTATTCATTTTAACTTCATTTTTCAGCAAAGTCTGATGTCTGCTCTGTGAATGTTTTGTGTAGTTCGGTATCGTAGATGCTGATGGAGGTTTGAGTCTCTGGCAGACCAACACAAGTGGGAATGCACCCAAACCATACCTGGTAAGAAACTCACAGAGCCACCTTTCCTTTTTCCAACATGTCTGTTTTTAGTTTTGTCTATCTAGACGTTCGTAGAGTCCTCCCGCTTTCTTCCTGTCATTCTCATTTTTGTTTACTCTCCTCCTGCTTCTCTATTACTGTCACTATTACTAACCGTCTTCTGTTTTTCTCTCTGCCAGACGTTGCAGTGCCACAACAAGACAGCTCACGACTTTGTCTTTGTGGGTTCCTCCTCCCTCATTGCCACTGCGGGTCTGTCATCAGACAACAGGTACGAGAGACTTTGAAGGAGAATTTTTCGTCTCCCGTCATCTTCAAAAATTGTTGCCCCCAATTAAATTCTGTTCCACGAACTTCTAATTAAATGCTGAATATTTTCCATTCAGCTCCACTTTACTGTGGCCAACAGGGATAATGATGTGTTCTTTGATTCAGATGTTACAGTGGATATTAATTTGTTAATTTTTGACTCCACAGGAACGTGTGTATGTGGGACACTCTGGTGACTCCTGCGAACAGCCTTGTGCACGGTAAGATGCTTTTTGAGGAATCAGCTGAGCAATCGGCAAAAGTCTCCTATAATAGTAAATTGGATATATTTGGGTTTTTGACATACAAAACAAGCAATTTAAAAACTTCTGCTTGGACATTCCTTTTTTTGGACATTTTATTGATTAATTGGTGATTTGAGAAAATTGAAGCGGTAGTTATATTTTTTTCCCCCCACCACATGTTGTCCTCCGTGTTTTATTTCCATTCTTAATGCTTCTCTCGATTCTATCCCCTTCTGATTTATCCATCTTATTCTCCTGAATATTCAGCTTTCTGCTGCCATGAGTCCGGTGCTACTGTGTTGTCGATGGCCCCCAGGCAGCAGCTGCTTATCACAGGTGGGAGGAAGGGCTGGATCAGCATCCTGGAGCTTCCCCACAGGCACCAGCGCCAGAGCTTCCAGGCCCACGACTCGCCAGTCAAAGCACTGGCTGTGGATCCGACTGAGGACTGCTTCATCAGTGGATCATCAGAGGGCAACATTAAGGTATTTTTGACTGCCTTCCCTTTTCATCAGATAATTCGTTAAATAATGCGATTGAATGAAGATGAAACGTTGAGGTACAGTATCTCACAAAAATGAGTACACCCCTCACAGTTGTGTAAATATTTGATTTATCTTTTCATGTGTGCTGTACACTCACTACTTTACATTGTAGTAAAGTGTCATTTCTTCAGTGTTGTCACAAAGATATAATCAAATATTTACAAAACTGTGAGGGGTGAACTCGATTTTGTGAGGTACTGTATATTCCAGGCAGGGGACTATATAAATGTGGATTGGCTTTTGTTGAAGGCTTAGTAAAGTAAAGTTGCTGTGATTTTCATTATTGGCCGTTATTCAGGTTCACTTGATTACTATCACGGCGTATGCCAGTGACACACCAGCTGGGTGGAGATGATTTGCGATGGGAGTTGACGTCAGTGATCCATTTGTTTTTCACTTCGTGAGAAAATTGATGTGGCACACCACCGTGTAAAGTGTAAATTGTGTGAGTCTCAAGAGAAAACTTTTCCCATGACGAGAACTATCGTCACATTTTAATCTTGTGGCACGAGTTACAACGCTAATTATACGCATACAGTTTGAATGGATCCCAATGCCAAAGAAAGAAGGAAAGAATTTTCCATTAAAGTTACAAAAATGTTTGTGTATGCTGTCAGTTATAGCTTTTACAAAGAAAGAAAATCGGAATCGGCTAAAATCGGAATCGGGTCAGAGAAAACACAGAAAACTGCCCATACACCCTGCCAAATCAGTCTCATCAAATAACTAAAAACACTTCATCAAGCGTGATGAGAACTACCTAAAATGACAGAAACCATCTTTTGGTGAAAAACATTATAATAATTTGGTGCCCCATCTGCTAACACGGAGGGGCGGATTTATGACCTACACTGTAGCCAGCCGCCAGGGGACGATTGAGATGTTTTGGCTTCTCTTTTGGGGAGCTGTCATGTTGTTTAACTTATATACAGTCTATGTCCATGCTGTTTGGCACCCAGGTGCGAATGTCTCTCTCTCTCTCCTCCACATCAACAGTGACTATTGCATTTATCCATGCAGACAGTGAGCGCCATCAAAGTCAGTCAAAACCAATGTCACACTTGTGATTTAACCACTTGCTCAGGACAAGAGTGTGAATGATGGGAGACTGAAGTGTGAGGGGAAAGGGCAAACGAAAGTGTTTTGACTGAACAGGCATTTAATATTTCCAGAGACAGCAGGTCTTTCATCTTTTTGACTTGAATTTGCTGGCACAGATCACACAGCTGTCACTCCAAGGATGAAGCCGCTGCGTCACGCAGACGTATAAGAAATGGTGCAGTGCACTTCTGCTTGAAATTCAAATGACTTTCATTCTGGATGACTGCTCACAAAAGCCTCTAGTGTGGTGTTACTCATCTGAAGTCATTAATTGTATATTTGCTGATTGAAAATTTAACATGGGTGTGCTGCAAATTTATAAGCTTTAAAAGTGTTTGATGGGAGTCCATGGAACTGGGAGATTAACTAATATGTACAGACTTCAGTCTATAATTTACCTTATCGAGTAATAAAGCTCCCAGGCTGGGAATACGAATCAAATAATGTAAGTTGCTCAGAGCTAAGCATTGTTCTCAGTGGAAGCTTTAGAAACGGCTCACAAATGTGGTTTCATTTCTTAAAAGGATAAACAGAATAGTTTACTTGTTGTACCAGCGAGTATACTGTATGTATAGTGTGTGTATATGAGTATATGCGAGATCCTGTCAAGTTGTATGTTACGTCCGGATGTGATGCCACAAAATCCAAACAATCGTGGAACGTTAATATAATCCTGCTTATACAATGGCCAATTTTATTTTATTTTTTTAAACAGTTAATTTTCTTATGTAACTAATTCTTAATTTGTATTTCTGTTTATAACATCATGAAATTAAAGCATTAGTTTGAAACTGGGAAACTAAGTGACTGTTGGAACATAAGTATACTCAACCCACAAAGATGGAGGTTTCATCCTGCGCCACGGTATAATTCAGACTGACTTTCCAGTGGGGATAACATTACGTAGCGCGCTCTCTCTGTGACCCGCAGACTACAGACTTTACCGCAGCTAACACGTATTTCTGATGTGCTCCCTTTCCTCCTCCAAATATCTTTTTTTTTTTTTTTTTTATTGGTTACACAAGTAACCCTAACGTGAAGCTCTTTAGCTAACATGTTTTAACCAGCTGTTAACAACTGGCATATTAAAGCTGGGGTAGGGAATTTACTGTTTCAGAAGCATCTTTTGTTATATTTGTTGAAATTCTCTTTACGCCCCGACAGCAATCAAATTAAATGGTCTGACACACAAATGAAAAAAATCCAACAGAATTTTCATTGGCCACAGTTTAACTCAAAATATAATTCATTATAATCATAGAGGAATGAGCTTTATTAGGTTCTGGCTACGCAGATGTGTGTCCATCAGGATCAATTCATTGTTTTTTCGGTCTTTCAATGGGATTTTTAAACAATAAACATACAGACTCATTCTTTAATGCTATGTGATATTTAAAAGAATCTCTGTGATAACTCTTCAGTTCTTAACCAGTTCCCTTCTTCCTTGGACTCCCCAGATTTGGAGCCTGACCACACAGTGTCCTCTCTACACCTTTCCAAACGAACACTCTCGCCAGTCGCTGTTCAGAAACCTCGGCACGGGCGTCATGCAGATCGAGGTGGGGCCGAACAACCACATCTTCTCCTGCGGCGCCGACGGAACCATGAAGATGAGGGTCCTCCCCAACCGCTTCAATGTTGTCAATAACAACAACAACCACGACAACCTCAAGAACGATGTTAAGTTCATCATATAGACAAATGTAGAGAAAACAAATGGTGTCAAAGCAGTTTAATTGAATAATGTGAAGTGCATTTTATGATCGGCACCACTGCTGAGGAAGTACCTTCAATACCTGAATGGAGCAGTGGCCGTCTTGGGTTAATTTTGGATGAACAATGTCATGACAGAACAGTGATGTCAAGTGTAAATGAAGGTGGAATTATTTATAGGATTTACAGGCTTTCGCTGAGTGAGAGAGAGCGTGTCGTCTGATCCAGGGGCCCTAGTGTGACCGGAGTGATCTGCTGTGCTTTGTGTGGGACACGAACCCACATTTTGCATTAAAAGCCCAAGCTCTACAAGTGTTTTAAACTGTGGTTTGAAACAGTCAATCTGAATAAAACAGACGAAAACCCAGCTGGAGATTCTCCAAAAACAAACTGCCATCTCAGTGTCTTCAGAGCAGCATGTGGAGAGCCTTTGGTTTTGTTTTGCACAGCGAAGGAGCAGGAGTGATGAGACTGAAGAGTCTAAAGCTGAAGCATTGTTCTTCTTATACAGTGTCACATTATCTCTTAGTTCATATGAGAAAAGCAGTCATGATAGTGGAAACTCTTCTGGGATCACTGCTGGAGCGTTCAGGTGATAAAATGTATGCAGTGTTTCTTATAGGGACAATGCTAAGTGATCCCTTTTAGGGGTTTGAACATCACCACAAGAATGCATGGCACAGTTGAACCCGCTCAGCACAATGCAGTAAGGCCAGTGGACATCGTACAAAGCACATTATATCCAGTCACAAGGATTCTAAGCGCATTCTGGTACTCCATATGAAGTTTTGAACACAAATGAGCCGGCTTGATTGGAAAAGCTAGAAAGCCTGGCGTCTGTCACGATCAAACCTCACTTAAGGAATTACAGGATGTCAATGTTCATGTCACTATAAATGTTTAACGTTTTGATTTTAGGCATTTGGCTGATGCCCTTTCCCAGCCGGACTTGAAATGAACACATGAATCTTTTGGTTTTATAAAAAAAAAAAAAAGGAAAGAATAAACACATCTTAACATTAAAGCAAAATAGTTTGAGATTTCACTTTCTCTGAGATGAGTTAGGTGAGACGATTGATACCACTCATGTTAGTCCCTGAAATGCAAAGACTGTTGTACGGATTAAGTGTGATATTAACACTCGCGTATTTCCCAAAATGTGGAATTATTCCTTTAATCAAGGTAGTTAAAATTTGTGACTGAGTTTACACGTTTTCTTAATTTTCATTTTTCACAACCTGAATGCGCCATTTCTCTTACTCTGTTTGCACATAAAATTAAGCTAAATTATATGTATAGTAATGCATATAACTATACAAGGCCGGATGTCAGTGAAGCAGTCCTGGCCTTTAGAGATAAGAAAATATATATATATTAAAAAAACAATGGTTGTTTATCCCAGTGTAGATTTAACCAGTGGTATTAATAAGTGTCCTTAATCTCTGAAAAGGACCTCTGCCATGCTGGCACAATGCTATAGTACTGTTGGTCCTGGTAATATTGATTATTAATATTAGGTTGCACAAATTAGCTTTAACAAGGCCATTGTTGGTACGGGGACACCATGAATAATACTTTACTACCTGGCTGCATTTTGTTTTTTTGAAATGTTTAATATGAAGCTTCAGAACATGTCGCAGGAAACTTTGCTGTTGACAATGGAAAAGCGTCGGGGCAGGCAGTTAAACACATTTTTAGAGAGTACTCTGTTTTGTTGTGGAAATGTTTTATTCCAAGAACAATGCACTTCCCTTTCATAGAGTCCAAACTTTAGTTTTCCATACGGACCACGATTGGAAGCTGCCTTGGAAACTATATTGTTTGCCTTGTGTTATTCTTAATTTTAACTTTGGTTTCTTTACATATCATCCAAATGCAGCACATTGCCTTCAGCACATGCTTGGAAAATGTAATCTAGGTTGGTGTGTAACATGATGCGTCTTCCACATAAATAAGGAAGGGGTTCATGCAAACTGTCCTATAGCCGTTTAGTCTGAAGGAGTAAACTCATTAAGCTAGCGACCTGTAGAACCTTATTGTGCTGCTGTAGGGAAACAAATGTACATTAGCTTTGATTTCAGGGAGGATAAACTGAGGAAAACAATTCAGATGAAGCAGATTTATTGCAGTTATGTATATATCCATAGACTAGGCTTTTCATATTAACTGCATAATCATAAGGAGATAGTCGTAGATAAACAGTGGGTAGTGACAAAAGCCACTTTATGAAGAATATTCTGTACAAATACAGGTATATTTATGAAACATTCATATTTAGTATTAGATAAAAACAGCTTTTTTTTCTATTTAGATTATTTCTTTCCTTCTCATTATTTCATTGCGATTTGTTTTCCCCACAAAAGTGGTTGGAAAATGATGTGTACTATTGCAGTAACTTAATTTTTTTATTGAAGCCAAACTATATGTACTCTTACAGAAGCAGGAGAATAAAATAAATATCAAAGAGTGCTTTTCCCCCCCAAATACTGCTTATTTTCCTTTAAGGCTCACAAAACAGATTAGTTCAACTACATCAGTGTGTCGGGCTGTAACTAGTGCGTGAGTAGATTAAACAAGCTATCTTTGGTTTAATCAAAAAGAACCAAAATCACGTTCAACTGACTCATTCCTTTTTCCCCCCTTCTGTCTTCAATCTTGCAAATGTGAATTTGATCAGATAATTCTAATTTTATAATGAAGATGTCGTGTAAATCATGTATTATACACAGAAATTGTACTGATGTAATAAAATAAATTATGTAACAGAAGGTGTTTTTTTGTAATTTTGTAATGAACTCTTACACATTGTCTCAGCTTCAGTAGGATGCCATTTATAACCTGGGTAAAATATAAGAACATCCACAACCTATAGGCTGGGTCAGATGTACACTGGAAGTCATCACATACTTCCCATTTGTGACATTTGGAGGTCCATTACACAGTGTGCAGTAGAGATGAATATGAAAACCTTGATGGAAAATATCTCAATTTAAAGAGCCTCGTTTCTAGAGATACTTGTTTCTAGTATGAGTAACCATTTCCATTAAAGAGCAAACTAAAGCACTGACGTTCATAATAATTGCACATTTCATACAGTTCCTGTTGTTCCAACACAGACCTATTCAGAAAAGCATAGCAACCAATGGGCTGCTAGTGGTCAAAGACTCCACAGGGGACGTTTAAACCTGCAACAATTTATTTGATATAACATCAGCTTTTAAAGTTGATATGTCAAACTCTCAGATCTCCGCCAACTTCTGAGGGAAATATCTGGCTCTTAAGCTGCTAAATGCTCCACTACGGTCAACAGCTAGTTGCTAACTGCGTCTGTCTGCTATTTGTCGCCGAGCAGGCAAGTCGCTGTAAACGCCTGCCTGCTGCGGATGAAAACGAGACAATGAGAGCAGTGAGAGTGAAACAGTAAAGTTGCAGGACGGACAGCTATAAAAATCTCCATAAAGCCAAGGGAGAACATACAGAAATCAGATTTTAGTCTGAATTACTTTATTTTCACACAAGAGCAACCACTGAATTTAATTTCAATTGAACCAACATTAGAAATTAAGTGGAAATAATTTTTTTATTTTTTATTTATTTTACAGAGCTAGCAACCTCTACCACATCTCATAAGGTTTCTGTAGCGATCAGGTACATAACTGTTTCTGACATAACATACTGGTGAATTAATCATCATAATGAAATAACAGACCATTGAAATATAACATTATGTCTGATTGAGCTTTAAAACCAGTTTAGCTTGTAACCGTTATCGCCTCATTCAGTACATTCACCCAGTGGGAGGCAGTACTTTGGTTCACTTTAGTAGATGCTTGTGATACATTTTGTATGCAGTACAAAATATTATTGACTTTAAGTGAAATTTAACTACATTTATAAAAATGGTTAATTTCTTATTTGGATCTTTAAAAGGCAGGTGTGTTAAGTGCACATTTAGCGAGGACCCAACCAAGTAAACTAAACCAAGTAACCAGCAGAAATGACACTGAATTATTACTGCTTCTTTCTTACTGACGACATGACAAAACATTGTTTGAATATCTGGATCCTTGTTAAACAATGGAGAAAACCTTTCATTTGATCAAGGTGTCTGTTATTTTGTAACAAAACTGAAAATGTATCTGAGAAAATTCATTCTGAAGTAGTACTAATCTTACCGCTAATTCTTCGTGAGTTTCCTTTGAGAGGCAAAGCATGTTAAGTGCACAGATACCAATCAGGGCAAGAAGAGTAGACAGACGGACAGAGCGGGTAGGTTGGTTAGTTCCTGGAGTCATCTGATTGGCTGGCCGAGGCACTCACAGCTTGGCGTAGTCCTTCAGGATGACCTCCAGCTTCTGACTCAGCATGATGTTCCCTCTAACCTTCAGCTTGCCAGAGAAGAACGCCTTTCAAAACACCAAAGACACACATGAGCAATTTGTTTTCCAGAAAGCACAGTCTCTTCTGATTTCTAGCTGGTTGGCTGTTACTTGTTTTCAAAGTACACAGGGAGTAAAAATGGGCCCGTGGCTAACGAGCCAGATCTTGGGCAAAAGGAAATATGTGACCATTGGTACTCTGGCAGCAGAACAATGAAATAGCATTCACATTCACTTTTTTGGGTGAACTGAACGACTGACGATGTGCAGCGCTTTCCTCGGCTAAAATCAATTGCGGGAAGGCGGTTAGGACAATCCCGGATCACCGTTAGCAGTGTCCTTTTAAACTGCCAACTAATCTTTCTCCAGCTGCTCCTTTCATCGTCTGGAAAAGACCCTGCCTGAGGGACCTTCAGCACCACAGCCAGCTGACGCACTCTGTAAAGAGCGCGCGCACACACACTTGCTTCAGATCAATATCAAGCGCTCCAGGAAGCATATCAATTCTGTACAGTGATGGCCACTCTCTTCGACAGATGAGATGCTACAGACATAGCAAGTAGCGTTGACTGATTACCCGCGCTGAGTGCTTTCTGAACTTGGTTTTATAGATCACTGCCTTTCATTTTTCTTCTAACATGAGGAGATCAAGGGAGATTGGAGGGCTCCTCAAAGGTGCTTTCCATTTAATTAGAAAGTACAAGAAGTGATTTCATCATCGGGGGGAAAACAGATGGGATTTAAAATATTAAGCGACATTTTCCCCATTTTAGCACGTTTTGCTAAACTTTATTTATCAAAAATGCTTCTTTTGTGAGCACCAAAAGATTTAAAGGAACATCAATTTAAAGCAGGAGGTAATGTAAAGGTGTATCTGGCTTTCTCGTGTGTTACCTTTTGAGGGTTGAGTTTCCCCAGCACCACCTCCATGAAGTCTTCATCTGACACTGTGATGGTCACATCCACCTTCCCACTGTAAGGGCCTTTATGCAAGGAGCCACTGCCGTTCTTCAGATCAATGGCTAGAGGAAGACAGCAGGTGGGTGTGGGGGGGGGGCAAAGGCAGAGAAAGAAGATTGAATAAAATCATAAAATACTTGGTGAGTGTTTCCCAGGGTTGGCTGGCTGTTTTCACAACTCACTTGTTTTTAGAGTTATTTTTCAGTCCTGGTTTTAATGGTTCATTTGACAGCTTGTTAGCAAACTGTCAATCTGGGTCAAATTAACTTGCCAGTCTCTTCAGTGCCACACTAACACTACGTTGACATATTAAACGTCACCGACAAATTTAGTTCAAGACACTCCAGTGAGCTGCAATATCAGAATTTAATGTTGACGGGAGGTTCATGTTGTCAGTCCTGACCCTCTCAGTGAGTTTGTTGCTTTGGGAATTTAAACGTGAGAGACGGGAAAAGTAAGTCTTACTGTCAGAAATCAGCAATAGAAAACAGAAACAAATTACCGGTGTTGGACTGAACTGTATTAGGAGACCCACATCAATTAAAAATATTAATAAGCTACTGATGACGTGTCATCAGAGCAAAGCAGCACTGTGATGCAAATAATGAGGGAATTTAACAGGAAGTTAGATAAAAAAAATCTAAAAAGGAAAAGGAGGAGACATTAACAGTCACAGAAGTGGATGAAAAAAAATATTGTACAGCAGGCGATGTCAAACTATTGGGTGCACTCATCCATGTTGACATGGAACGTAACTTGCATAAAGACCCAGAGGCAGTTTATAATTTGCAATGCCAAAAATAAATCACTACATCTAAAGACATTTCTTTTTTTATTCAATAAGCTAAAAGCTAAATCTATCCAAGTAAATCTAGACCATCCTCCCAATCCTGTCAAAGAAATGAGACATTAAGAGCAAGAGGTTCCATTTTTAATTTATCCCACACATATACAATATACATAATAAATGCTCTTTTATTCTGATAAACCATAAATTGCCTCTTGACTCCCCGCACAGCTTAGCACTTTAGCTTATCCCTTTTTTCCTTTTCGCTTTTGTCAGATGAACCTTTTATTACATTCTGTATTGCTTGTGTAGCACCAGCCCTTGTCTGCAATTGTCTTTATTATTATACTGTATTTTACTGTGTGAATGTTTTTTTATGCTGCCTGACTGAAAATTTCCTTTTCTGGGACAATAAAGATCTGAACCATTCTGATATTTTGCCCACAATGCAGTGACGTTGAGTTAGTGGTGTGTTTAATGCGTTTCCATAGCATTCTGTACACTTACTCCACTGTGCAACGTTCTTGCCGTCTTTGGTGATCTCCCAGCCGAAAACAGCGTTCACCTTCTTGACCAGCTCTGAGCCCAAGTCTTTAATGCGACGGCCAATCTCTGCAAACACCAGCTCACTCTGAAGGCCTCCTCCCTACACAAAGGTAGAAATAACAGAAACACAAAATAAAATATGAATAATAAATATTATAATAATAAATAAGTTGTTGTCTACAAAGCTAAAAGGAAAGGCGCTTCAGGGCCCCATGAAGGAATTTGATGGAGGGGAAAGGGGGAGGATTCTTTTGTTTGAAAATAGCATTTTTCAGACTTATGTACTTGAGGGAGATTTTCTGGAGAAGCCTCTGATGTGCCATGTAAATCCACGTAGGCCCCGGCTAGCACAATGGCATCTGTCTCTTTCACCTGGACGAAAGAGGAGAGCGCTGATTAGAGCAACACATGGAGAACATTCACTAAAGAGCAGAGAACAGCACTGAAATGACAAGTCAAACTCATTCAGCCGCAAATCTGAGTGAAATCTACAGATGCTGAACACTGACTTTGCACTGGATGTGAATTCTGTTGCCTTCCTTCCACATCTCAGTCTGAAGCGACTGACCCGGCATCACCGGTTTCACAAAGCGAACCTGAGAAATAGACAGGAGATTAAGGGAGGGTGGTGGAGTCGATGGATAAAATTATTTTATAACATTTAAACAGACTTGATCAATGCTAAATACTTTAAGAATTAAAGCCCGATATATTTCAGTGAACAAATCCCATGTCTCCGTTCTGCAACCACAATAGACCAGGATTTTTTAATTATAAAAATAAAAGCTTAGGACTGTAGATGCCTTATGAAAGCACAAGTATTATATTTTACTTTTTTCCATGAACTTTGGTCATATGAGAAATCACATCTACTGAATTCTCTTAATGGCATATATTTGTTGTAAATTACGGATTTTATTTATGTGCAGATAGGGCTGGGCGATAAAACGATAACAGTATTTATTGCAATATTATTTTTTCCTTAATAAAAATATAACAAATGTTCAATAAATGTTCCATTTAATTAATATGAATTTGAAGAATTTTTCTATTAAGATATTTATTTTGTAGAGGAAAAGGGACTAAAAAAACTTCACTTTATTTTAGTCATGCATATTTGTTTAAAAAAAAAAAAAGCTTTCATCATTATAATTGTTTTGAATGTTCTTCCTCAGATTTGTGAAATAATCCACTGTTTGTCATGTTTTGACCATAACGAATTGTTTAAAAACACTGTTTATCGTCTGGTTCATTCAACTTTCACTCAGGAGCAAAAATCAGCCTTTAAACTTTAAAGAAATAATTTGACATTTATCGTGATAATTATTGATATCGAGTGCTATGAATTTTTTTATTGTGATAACATTTTTGGCAATATTGCCCAGCCCTATGTGCACATGCTGCTTCTGAGGTTTCAATTGTATAAATCGACCTAAATTGCCACATTAGGTTCCCTGTTCCACTCCATTTCCAAAAATGTTTTGTCATAGCTAAATAAACATTTTAAGTACAAGAAAATCGATGAATTCTCTCAAATTACTCTAATGTGCCACTGAAGAACAAACCACTTCATACAAGTGGTCCTTGCATGAGGCCCAGTGACTCATAACATGTATGACAGGGTTTAAATCACAAGTAATGCTTACCTTGATAGCCTTGAATCTGGAGGGGTCATTGTCGGCAAACTGCTTGAGGACGTGTCTCGCAGCGAAGCCAAATGAGCACAAGCCATGCAGGATGGGAGCCTTGAAGCCTGACCAAAGAGCATTTTTAAGTACAACATGTTTAAGTATAAATGAGATCAAAACGCATAATTTGACCTAAAATCCCAAGGGGAAAATTTAGTCCTGCCCAAATTAAATTAAGACTTTTTTGATGGAAAACGATACCAATCAAGCCACATTAGATGTCTCACCTCCCATGGCAGCAAAGCTGGGGTCTATATGAAGAGGGTTCCAGTCTCCACTCAGACGGTACAAGGCCGCCTGCAACCACAGGGGAAACAGATACTGTTTAGATCTATATCTAATTCATAAACCCCTGAACTTTTCATACACAGATGTGGGGTGAAATTAAATTACCATGAAGGCAATAGAACAGATACCTAAAATAAGAATGTCTTTGAAGTGATACAGTTGCAGTCATTTAAATTGCTCCAGGGATTTAGTTTTTATTCCCATTTCTTTTTTACTTTCTGCTGCATCACACAGTCAGTGTTCTTTTTTTAAAACTGCATGAAAACCTTGTTCAACACTTCTGCTGCATCTTCACATTTTGTCTGAGGCGTTACGGTTATTTCAGAGGCACAAAACAGTACGTCCTACTTTCACCCACATATTATCAATGCCATTAATTTATTCTGCAACTAAACCCACACAGACACACTCACTTGGTCTCTTGTGGTAGAATCAATTACCACAGCATCTGGTGCCCGTTTAGGTGGAGGCAGAGAAGCCTGAAGGAAATAAACACAAATCAAACACGAGGCAGTGTTAAATTCTTTGTCTTATTTTGTTTCTTTTCCAAGTAACTCAAATATGGAATACGTACTTTGGCTTTCTCAGAGGTTCTCCTCCCTCCAAACCCTCCAGCTCCAACCACAAACACAGAAAACTGGTTGTAGCTGATCAGCTCATCGCCACTGTAGGTGTTCACTGTAAGATAAGCACAAATGTGGCATTCAAAACTATCTCTGTAGTGAAAGAAATATTCCAAGCCTTCACTTGAGTAAAAGTAGCAATACCATAGTCAGATAATAGTACATCACGAGATAATTTCCTGCATACAAAGTAGTTTTTTCTCCCCCCCCCCCCCCCAGCTAGAGGTATTATCATAAACAAAACACTGCGAAAGTAAAAGTACTCATAATGCAGAACAATGGCTAGTGGTATATTATCATACATTATATTTTTGGATTCTCTTACTGCAGCATTATTACGCAAGTAGCATAATGTTTAGAAGGTTGAACTGGAGCCAAATTAAACTATTTGACAAACCCAGCATATTTAATAAAATGATCACAAGTAACCAACTATTAAAATGTACTCTGTGGTATTTCTGAGTATAGGTAGAGCATTTTTGAAAGTATTTCTGGGTAGTAATATTCCTTTATCACAGACACTAGAGACACTTCAGGAAATGGAGTAAAAGATGCAGGTCCCTGGCCGGACAAGAATCATGAACGTCGTGCCCCATAGTAGCAAAAATACTCTACTCTAATTTTACATTTTTGGTGAAGTAAATTGTAACTACTAATGGATAAGGTTGAGGTTAATCTAGCGTCAGTGCAGAGATAAAGAAACACTTCATTTTACGATTTTAAACACAGCAGAATCTTCAATATTAATAATAAGCTTGGGCCAATGGCTCATTGTGTTTGAAAATGCAATAAGTAATTACATTAATTTTGCCCAAGTCAGTATCCGTTGGAAATCACTTTAAATTATACTGTACTCAACATAATTTCATATTTCATGACATATTACAATAACACAGTGAAGGGAACACCCGCTTCATCCATATTTCCTCAATACAGCACATTTATAGTAAAATCAGAGCAGGAGGAACAGCCTCGTGGATGCTGACTGTGAAGAGACAATTCACAGCTGTCAGAAGGAATCAAATCTAGACTTCTGTCAACGTACTGGCTGGTTAATTTCATTAGGTCAATTCAAAATATAAAACAGGCATAAAAGACAAACAAAGCTGCCTCTGCAGGACATTACTGTGACGTGCCGTCTTACCCAGTAATAACTTTATATACACACACTCAACCAGTCAGCTTCTGTTATCTTCCTAGACTGAAAGTAATAAAATATTAAGTTTCCTTCTGTGAATCCTCCGGGAACCTCAGGTCCCATGTTGTTTGCTTTAAGTCGGATTAATTATAGATCAGAGTGGTTCTAATATCATCCATCTCTATGGAATTGTCAAACAAAAATATGAGCGTTCTCAGTCCATTATTTCAATCCCTGCAGACACAGACTGTAAATTAAATTTCATTCATTCAGCCTGAGAGGCAACTTTCAGGAAAATACGCATGAAAACAAATGACTATGGAATAAATATACCGTATGATAAAAGCTGCACACCCTGAAGGGACAACAAACTCACCGTCCAAGAGGACGACGGCTCCAGATCCTTTGTCCAACACGTCTGCTACAGTGGCCTCCGTGGTAAGTTTACCTGAAAAAGTATTTTACTCATTTACATTTAATAATGGAATGTAATTTAGTCCTGTACACGCTTAATGTTACTAAACTAGTTCTGTACTTCATGTCATGACTGCGCCTAACTCCACTTTATGCCTCGCATGTGTTATCATTATGTTTGTGTCACAAAGCTAAACCTGAAAAGTCACTCGGGTCTTTTTACAACACCTAATACAGTTTTGGTATTTCCACAATCCTCAAAGACTCTTAACACATAACTGTACTTGATTTGTTGATAATAAGTCTAAACAGCTAGAAGTGGGCTGAGGGATAAATGTTTGAAGACTTTAGCTGAAAGTGATGAATATACAGTTAAAATGCAACATTTGAAATAGTTAGCTAAAGGTAATGGATAAATGGTTAGATTAGCTAAAAGTATTGGATAAATGAATTAGCTACAAGTAATCTATGGTTGAAATAGATAGCTAAAACAAATGGTTGAAACATCTAGCGTCTGCCACTGAGTACAAGTGCTAACTCGGACAAATCAACCTAAATCTGCTATTTTGAAAAAATAATTGCTGTGGTCAGTTTAAGCAAAAATGCCAGACTTCTCCAATGTGAGGATTTGCCATTTTTCCTCAATTAAGTACAATTAATTGAATGTTCAAACAACTAAACATTTAATTGAAAACTTATCTGCTGATTAATAGATAATTAAAATAATTGTTAGCTGCAGCCTCATTGTTTAGTCATTGTGTGCGGAAAATGGAAAGTAAAATTAATACTGACCAATGTAACTGATCTTTTTTATTTATTTGTGCCTATCCAGCAAGACTGGCCAACATCTTTTTTGGAATTAAAAGATACAATTAAGGAAACAGGTTAAATATCTTTTTCATAATGCAGCGAAAAATATATAGATGGAAAGAAGTCTTTGAGGATTCTTGAAATGTCTTCAAAACAGCAGCAAATGACTGGGTTTTTTATGGCTCATCATATTTATCTTTCTGAAAAACAAAAGCTTGACTCAAAAGTAATGATACGTACAGTAATATGAATCTTGGTAAAATGACTGTGAGGCCTCAAAATAGATTTTATTGCACTTTTGTTTAATGTAAAATCTACTGTAATCACATTAAGTCCCATGTACGTAAATAGCAAAGAAGGAAATACCTGAGGTTGGCAAAGGTTTGTAAAGCTCCAGATACTGCTCTCCATGCAAAACCTGACACAAACATTAGAACAGCTGTCACATACAGTGGAGAGAACAAGTATTTGATACACTGCTGATTTTGCAGGTTTTCCTACTTACAAAGTATGTAGAGGTCTGTCTATTTTATCATAGGTACACTTCAACTGTGAGAGACAGAATCTAAAACAAAAGTCCAGAAAATCACATTGTATGATTTTGAAATGAATTTGCATTTTATTGCATAAGTATTTGATCACCTACCAACCAGCAAGAATTCCGTCTCTCACAGACCTGTTAGTTCTTCTTTAAGAAGCCCTCCTGTTCTCCACTCATTACCTGTATTAACTGCACCTGTTTGAACTCGTTACCTGTATAAAAGACACTTGTCCACACACTCAAACAGACTCCAACCTCTCCACAATGGCCAAGACCAGAGAGCTGTGCAAGGACATCAAGGATAAAATTGTAGACCTGCACAAGGCTGGGATGGGCTACATGACAATAGGCAAGCAGCTTGGTGAGAAGGCAACAACTGTTGGCGCAATTATTAGCAAATGGAAGAAGTTCAAGATGACGGTCAATCTCCCTCGGTCTGGGGCTCCATGCAAGAGCTCACCTCGTGGGGCATCAATGATCACGAGGAAGGTGAGAGATCAGCCCAGAACTACCTGGCAGGACCTGGTCAATGACCTGAAGAGAGCTGGGACCACAGTCTCAAAGAAAACCATTAGTAACGCACTATGCCGTCATGGATTAAAATCCTGCAGCGCACGCAAGGTCCCCCTGCTCAAGCCAGAGCATGTCCAGGCCCATCTGAAGTTTGCCAATGACCATCTGGATGATCCAGAGGAGGAATGGGAGAAGGTCATGTGGTCTGATGAGACAAAGTAGAGCTTTATGGTCTAAACTCCACTCGCTGTGTTTGGAGGAAGGATGAGTACAACCCCAAGAACACCATCCCAACCGTGAAGCATGGAGGTGGAAACATTGTTGTTTGGAGATGCTTTTCTGCAAAGGGGACAGGACGACTGCACCGTATTGAGGGGAAGATGGATGGGGCCATGTATCGCGAGATCTTGGCCAACAACCTCCTTTCTTCAGTAAGAGCACTGGAGTTGCCTAGCCAGTCTCCAGACCTGAACCCAACTGAAAATCTTTGGAGGGAGCTGAAAGTCTGTATTGAAACGTATGATCTCTGTAATTGCAAACAAAGGTTTCTGTACCAAATATTAAGTTCTGCTTTTCTGATGTATCAAATACTTATGTCATGCAATAAAATGCATATTATTTAAAAATCATATAGTCTGATTTTCTGGATTTTTGTTTTAGATTCTGTCTCTCACAGTTGAAGTGCACCTATGATAAAAATTACAAACCTCTACATGCTTTGTAAGTAGGAAAACCTGCAAAATCAGCAGGGTATCAAATACTTGTCCCCACTGTATAAATCGTACCAAAGTCTTAAAGCCTCATTAGCATGAGTAATGTGTGTATTACTTGTGTGCAAGACTGTGTAAAATAAACCATATGGATACAAATATGCATTTGTATGTACACACAAAAACAGACATTACATGTATATTTTCTAACCTGTGTAAAATCTATGTTGAGTCCAGGGATCGAGCTCAGCCCGCCATCCATCATGGCTGCCTGGGCGGGAATGACCCCGAAGGTAGGGAGGCTGCAAAAGTCTGGATGGCCTTCATACAGGAACCTATGTGAAAATATCAGTGTTACTGAACTGTCAGCAAAGATGTGTTTGTAAACCTGGATAGATTTTAGTGCATTTTTCCTCTATGTGTCTGAAAGCGAAGTGATTTCAAGATCAACTTCACACAGGTTGACTTTCAGTCCAGTTACAGGCATTAGCACAAACATACAGAGACACACACCTAAGATGGTCAGGGTCCTGGGTTGACATGCCAACACCCAACGCATACAGGATACACTGGGTGTGGGTGAAGCTGAAAGTGGACGGAGGTAGTTTTTGTCCCACTGCCTCAGTCTGAAAGGAGAAGACTTTAGATTTTAGTTTCAACTTTGACATAACATATTGTGGGCAGAAAATGAGAAATGATCCTGTAATTTAGACAGAGAATATTAATATGAAATTTTAAGTGTTTGCAGAAAAGTAATAAAAGCTTCACACCATGGTAGATTAGCTCCACAGCTCAACCCTTGAATACAAATGCTCTAATAAAGACATACAGTCAGAGCAAATTAATTAATCTAATCATACCATCTTGGTGGAACATAAGACACTGAGAGAATAAATAATCAATCTTGGTTTATGGAGCACCTTTCAAAACCGTGCTTTTCAGCTATGCTATCAGCGTGGCTCTAGGGATGGCAATGACGGTCGGTAAGACAAACATCTGTACAGGCATTCATGGCCCTCAGATGATAATTAATAATGACTCCCTTGACTTTTCATGCAGCGCCCCCCACAACACTGAAATGTAAGTTTTTATGTGAAATGTCTCAACAACTGTCCGAACACCATCATCAGGTCAAAATCTAAGTGTTTCTAATATTTTGTTTTATGGCCAAGTACCTGCAAAACTAATGGCAGCTGTACTATGTTACTACTACTTTTTTTTTTTTTTAAAGAGTAAAAGCAACACTGAAGAATAGCAGAATAGTATAAATATTATTAAAATAATTCAGAATTTTAAAGTGATTTACAACTTAATATATTGTGAGGGTCACAGAAAAGGATAAGATAAAAAGACTCTGACTCAATCTACTGAGCAGCAAAAAGCTTGTTTGAGGACCTGTGGGATCTCACAGACTTAAGAGGAATCAGCAGTTCAGAAATGTACTCCAGTGGCCCGACCAGGCAGAGCTTTACAAGTGATCAGCACAATTTTAAAATGGATCTTGCACTTGACTCGTGGCCAGGGCAGGGACGCCAGGAATGGAGCCATGTTCGATTTGTGCTCGCACTTCGGAGCAGCCTGAAAATGGGCTGAAACTCCTGAACAGAACACCGCAGTAATCAAGTGTTAATGACACAAAGTCACAAATGCATTTTAAAGCACAGGAAGGTGGAGCCCTTAGTTTTATTGTAAATGTTTTAAAACCCTCATCAACCCCAGCCTGAGATCCTCTGGCAGACCTTTCAGATGATTCAAGACTCCGACAGAGAAACATGCACCAACGAAACATTCTACTTCATTATCAACTAAAAACATCTTTTAAATTCTCACTCATTTCTACAATTTATATGATATTGATATTCATCTGTCTTAGACATTTTACTAGCATAAAACAAGTAAAATTTAAATATACTAAAAGTAGTAAATACTAGAAGCAGCTTAGAAAATGTGTAAGCTTTTAATAGCAGAATAAGAAAAATCCCCCAGGGTTGCTTAAAATCCCCAATTTCCCAGAAAAAAAAATACAGGCAACCTCAGTGCCCTAAGTGGTAGCTACAGCCCTGTTTTGTGCTATAAGTATTGACTGCTATTGTTGTACCGACAGTAGCAGTATTACAGAGTGTGTTAGAAACAACAAATAAACTTCCACATAGGAGAACAAACTAAAGTGGCTGGGCCAAATGGAGCAGGATCAGGGATGAAAGGGAGGATGATTCCTGGTGAGCTTTCAAGGATATTAAATCCATCAGTCCAAGCCGCAGCTCAGCTGGTTCCTTTATGTCAAGTAGTATTATTAAATCAGAAGAATCATATATAAATGGAGATATTTCTGGCCCTCTGAGTCACATTCAAATATCCTGTGAAGCACACAAACATACACGTGTGACCCATTGTTTCCCCACATAGACATTACTCAGGTGGGCCGCCAAACTTAGCATTTTGAAGAGAAACAGAGAGAGATATTATCTGTGTTACGTCACAAGATAAAGACATGGTGGATATTTTACGAGCACAGACCATGTAAAGCAACAGTGAACAGCAGGAGTGTGCGATACTGACCAAAAATTATATCTCAATATTTCCTGGGATTTTGCTGATGACGATATTTACACCATATTTGGCATTGTTCAAAAATGTGTTTGTAAAAGATTATTGTCCTAGCTTGCTCTTGTTAATGGGATATTAATTGTTGCTTACTAATTACAGTCAAGCCCGAAATTATTCATACCCCTGGCAAATTCTGACTTAGTTACTTTTATTCAACCAGCAAGTTGTTTCTTCATTAGAAATAACACAGGCGTCTCCCAGAAGATAATAAGACGATGTACAAGAGGCATCATTGTGTAAAAAAAAAAATTACTCATCTTTAATTTACATTTGAACAAAAAGTGGCATGTCCAAAATTATTCATACCCTTTGCAAACTTTCACAGTCTATGGGAAAATCCAAAGATCTATACCATCCCAAATAGTCCAAGCTGTTCTAAAGCATCCTAATTACCCTGAGTCATTGGGAACAGCTGTTTTAATCAACTCAACAGGTGAAAATCAGAAGCTCTCTGCTGTTGGTTTGTGGACAGTCATGGCTAAGACAAAGGAGCTCACTGAGGACCTGCAGCTGCGCATTGTGGCTGGCCACAAGTCAGGAAAGGGCTATAAGACCATATCTAAATGTTTTGAAGTTCCAGTGGCTACAGTGCAAAGTATTATTAAAAAATACAAGACGTTCCACACTCAGAGGAAAAATCTCAGAGGATGTGGTCGGAAGCCAAAAGTGACACCTGTGCTGGCCAGGAGGATAGTGAGAGAGGTAAAAAAGAATCCAAGGATCACCACCAAGGCCATCCTGATGAATCTGGGCTCTGCTGGTGGCAGCATCTCAAGGCAGACAGTCCAGCGGACACTGCACACCGCTGGGTTCAACGGACGCAGACCAAGGAGGACGTCACTTCTCCAGATATGGCACACAAAAGCCCGCTTGGCCTCTGCAAATGTTCATCTGGACAAAGAAGAAGACTTCTGGTCTTCTGTTTTATGGTCAGATGAAACAAAAATGTAATCGTTTGGCCACAATGATGTAGCCTTCATTTGGCGTAAAAAAAGGAGAAGCCTTCAACCCTAAGAAAACCATCCCCATTGTCAAACATGGTGGTGGGAACCTAATGTTTTGGGGTTGTTTTTCAGCCAGAGGACCAGGGAACCTAATTACAGTAAACGGCACCATGAAAAATGAGCAATACATCAAAATTCTCAACAACATCATCAGGCAGTCTGCAGAGAAACTTGGCCTTGGGGACCAGCGGACATTTCAGCATGACAACGACCCAAAACACACAGTAAACGCGGTGAAAAAATGGTTTGCAGACAAAAACATTTGCAGTGGCCCAGCTAGAGTCCTGACTTAAATCCCATTGAGCATCTGTGGAGGGAGCTAAAGATCAGGGTGATGGCAAGGAGACCCTCCAACCTGAAAGAGTTGGAGCTCATCGCTAAAGATGAATGGGCAAAAATGCAACTGGAAAAAGACAAGTGCTACTAACACACCATGTGTGTGCAGCGGCACACAAATCTACAAGATTGACACACACTAAGCACAAAGCTAAGTCGGCCGAGGACACACTGGTGATGTTTTTCTTGAGGCTATACATTGTGACTCTGTTCCAAATCTCCAGTCCAGACAGACACGCACCAGAGAGGACACTAATCCCCGAGTGTATACATCATTTAACATTTTAGGTACTGAATCATGATATTATTGAAGCAGGCTAGTGGGTACTGTTAAGTTGTGCAAGTCATATACCATTTCAGAAAGTTGATATGTGGTTACTACCATAGACATACTTAAAGTCTAAGACTCACAATGGGTCCTGATGTGAAAGTATAGGTTATTATGGAGTATTATTGAAAGTTTGGAACACATTTTTATGCTGCATCATGCTTCAATTTTATGCTCAACATCTTGTTTGTGTTATGTGCTATTTACAATTTGTTTTATTTAAATTCATTTTAGACTTTTTGTTTCTGCATGTTGGACTGAACTCATGTCTCTTGGGTTTTTTGTTTTATGAAGCTTATTTGAAGGTTTTGTTTGATAGTAAACAATAAAACCCAACCAGACCAAAAGATCAGGTGCAGAGAGATATTGATGCATCTCATAATATTAGAATATTGTGGAAATGTTCATTTATTTCTATCCTAGATTCATTGCACATAAAGTGACATATTTCAGGCCTTTTTTTAATTTTAATCTTTCTGATTACAGCTAACAGTTAATGGAAATCAAAAATCATTTTTTCACAATATTAGAATAAAAAATGAATAATAAAAGAAATGTTGACCTGAGAAAATCTCTCAGCCTGGTTCAGTACACACAACCACAATCATGGGGAAGGACTCACTTGACAGTTCATTGACATCCTCCACAAGGAGGGCAAGCCACAGAAGGTCATTGCTGAAAGGGCTGGCAGATAACAGAGTGCTGGATCAAAACATATTCATGGAAAGTTGACAGTAATGTTAAAGTGTGGTAGGAAAAGCAACAGGGATGACCGCAGCCTTGGGAGGATTGTCAAACAAAGCCGATTCAAGAACTTGGGGAGCTTCACTCCAGCCTCAGAGTCGGTGCATCAAGAGCCACCAGGCACAGATGTGTCCAGGAAATGAGCTACAAGCATTCCTAGTGTCAAACCACTCCTAAACCAGAAACAACATCAGAAGAGTCTTACCTGGGCTAAGGAGAAAAAGAATGGACCATTGCTCAGTGGTCCAAAGTCCTCTTTTCAGATGAAAGTAAATTTTGCATTTCATTTGGAAATCAAGATCCCAGAGTCTGGAGGGCGAGTGGAGAATCACAGAATCCAAGCTGCTTGAATTCCAGTGTGTAAATGATGATTTGGCATGCCATGTCAACTGCTGGTGTTTGTCCACTGTGTTTTATCAAGTCCAGAGTCAATGCAGCTGTCTACCAGGAGAGTTCAGAGCACTTCATGCCTCCATCTGCTGACAAGCTTTGTGGAGATGCTGATTTCCTTTACCCACAGTGCCAAAACCACTAGAAACTGTTTGGCCATAGTGTTAATGTGCTTGATTGACCAGCCAGCTCACCTGACCTGAACCCCTTAGAGAATCTATGGTGTATTGTCAAGAGGAAAATGAGAGACACCAGACCATAAGCAGAGGTAGTGTGGGTGCGTCTGACCCAGGGCCCCAGTAGGATAGGGGCCCCGCTACGTGGGCCGCAAAATGTTATGTCAGTTGCTTGTAGACACAGCCGCACTATAGAAATGCATGCAGGTAACAATCAATGAAGACAAAAACCAGTGCAGCCGTTCTTATCAAATGAAACAGGAACTTCACTCCCGGTTTAACAGTAAACCACAAGAATGACAATTAACAACAAAAAACACTATATTCTAAGCAGACACTTACAAAAATATAACTTTTGTATTTCAAACAAATAGGAGACTTATTAGCAAATTTTAACAAAACTCCCTTCACCGCCATGCATCATGGGAATCTGTGTTTATTGTTGATATAAGATAGGGGTCTGCACAGGGTATTTTATTTTGAAAATGGCTGCGTATTCTCTCCATAGAGGAGCAGAGAGACACTTCTGGTGTGAGCACAAGCACTGACAAGAGTGGCTGCGATCAGCTCCGGCAGCCGCGATGCAGACGGACTCCGTGGACTGGGTAGCATTTTTGCCTTTTTACTGACAGACAGAGAGACAGTGTAGATAGACTTGAACTAAACTGGGCCATTTTGGTAATATGCTGTGCATCATAACCACTAGGACGCCCCCACTGTGCATTATTTTGACATCAGCCAAGCTCTGAGTGTCACACAATTGTTGCCTGATACTGACAAGCTAACAGATACATGTCGCACCTGACTCCACACTGCACAAACAAAGCGTTCATCCTCATTAAACTTTCATTCATTAAATGTTGTTAATCAGCCGTTTCTTTTACCACTGTCATCTGTTTGAGTAATATTACAAATACCAATTCATCTGTTGATGTAGTCTCACTATTGCATGCTACAACTAGCTGAACAGAAAACGGGGGCTTTTTCTGTGGATAATTATTTAATGCGATACACTTACTCTTGTGGCCCAATGTTTTATTTAAGCAACTCAGCCATGTGTGAGCTGTAACCAGTTCACTTTCTGTGATTCAATGATAGGGAACACGGGGAAGTGAAGGAGCACCCAATGCATGTCTTTTGTACATCGCATTTTAAAAGACAATCTAAGTTGGCACTTGTCTGGTACATCACCATTTCATATTTACATAGTACTTCTGTATGTTGTAGGAGCTTTGCTGAGGTTATTCGTGCCCCTGACTAAATACAGTGTGGTGGTATTGAAAGAGTCATGAGTTGCCATCTTTCAAACAGTCTGAGATTTTACAGTCGCAACTACAGTCTCAGCAGAAGGAATGATGAGAGTTCAAGCAAATGAGGTGGAGAAAAACCTTGATGGACATGACGTAACAGTGGTGAAAATAAGGTTAAGAACAGCAGAAGCCAGAAAATAATGAAGGAAAAAAAGAAAAGGCACAAAAGGAGGAAGTGATAAATAAGATACAGTGAGAGGAAAAGGGGACACTGTAGGTATAAAAGGGTCAAGTGTAGGTTAATTATACTCATGTCTATACAATTATGTCCATTGTAACCAACAATTTCTTTGCGTATCCCAGTCATGTATTCACATCAGGGTTTCTCCAGAGTCAAATTTAAGATTTTTAAGGCCTTTTTAATGCCACATGAATGAAATCTAATACCTGTCTCACATCCATACCAGCCAAAATATGAAAGCATGATAGAAAACCTGTAGGGTCGATATAGACTAGAATTATATTTACTAATTTTTTTCAGTATCTGACTTGGCCCATTATTAGGAATAAGATAGATATGCGGCAGAAAATGGATTGATGGAGGGACCAAATGAGAAGAACTCATTCAAGTTTTTGCTTCCTATGTGTGGATGTGTTTGACATCGTTTTGTGTATATATGTATCCATATGGTATATTTCACACAAGTAATACACACAATATTCATACAGATGAGGCTTTAGGACTTTGGTATGATTATATATGACCGTCGTTCTACTGTTTGTGTCAGGTATTGCATGAAAGATGAGCTTCCAAGCTACTGAAGCTTGCAGTATTGAAATAAACAACTTCACAATCCACGGTTACAACAATCCCACTTCTAGTTTATAGGTGCATAACATCTCCCAACCCCTGTACTGTGTACAGCAGGTAAGAGAAACAGTAAGACTTTTAAGGCCTGTTTGAGGAAACTAAATTCAATGACTTCTCAATTCAAGATTTTTTCAAGACCTGCAAATACACTATACATTACTATCAAAGAAAAAAAAAAAAAAAGAGCACAATGGCCGGCTTTACTCACAGGATTGATTGCTGAATGTGAGGCTGCCGCTGCTGTTGGATTTGCACCAACTTCTCCCTCTGACTCCACTCCAGACAGCACACTTATAATTGACTGTAGAGACTCTATACAAAAGGTGAAAGATGACAGATGAGTGGAAGAAAAAGGAATCAAAACACACAAAAATGAGGTGGCACATCAAATAATTCATAATCAGTGCCACCCATTATGCCAGTACATTTATCACATTCATCAGTATTATGTTTTTAAGTTTCATTGGTTTGATGTCAGAAACTGATTGGTAACCATTTTATTCCATTTAGGATATTACTGTATCTAACTCTTTATTGTGAACATTAAAAAGCTGATATAAAATCATGATTATATCAACATCTGTCTGCTGCCTTCGACACAAAGTTTAGGGTCCCTCATTTGTGACAGTTTCTTCACATATGGGGACCATCTTGAAGAGTCATCACCCACATAACCAACTTTAATCCTACACTTTTGCAGTAATTGGATTTTTTGTTAAATGGACCAAAGTGAAGTTAAATAGACACACAATAAGAATTTAAATACACATACTGATCCAGGAGCAGGTTTAAAATGGATGGAAGGATGTGAGAGCCATGTACATTAAGAATAAACCTTAACATGACTAATGACATAACATTAGAGTCCATACTGTGTGTTCTCAGTTTGCCTAAAAATAGAACGTACATATATCCACCCAGGTAACAAGCTATGAATGCATTTGCAGATTCAGTCAAAAAAAACAAAGACAGACAACTGATACGACGGAGGTAAAGAAACAGAGTGAGACCGGGAAGACCGCAGTAATTGTTGTCACTCAGCAGCAGGCAGTTACTGAACACAGGCAACAAGTCTCGGTAATAAGCTACAAATGAGGAGGCACAACAAAGCCATGCTAATGAGAACAGCTAGCGTCCGGTGGGAGTGCCACCCTAATTCAGCTGATGTTAACACCGCCACCCTTTCTTCAAATGTACATCTCAGAGAGTGGAGAGGGAGAGAGGAGGTGGAGAGAAATAATAATCAACATTTGCCACCCTCTTGTTTGCATGAGACCTTTCAGGAACAACACTGGGCTTGTACACACTCAGCCTTGTGATCACCTTCACTTCTTTTCTCCGCCTCATTCGCTTCATCTTTAACACCCTCTTGTCCTCGCTCTAGGTTACCAAACTCTCTGTAAATACAGATGAGTGGATAGTAAAAAGGGCTCATGTGGCTGAGTTTCAGAAGGGCCTCACTCTCTCAAAAGCTCAGTCATACAGTGTGACTACATGACGACTACACTGACCATGTGTTTTTTTGTCACTCTAAACTGCAATTCTTCACTGAAAGAATGTCCCACTGCCACACTAAAATAGCTGTCAACAAATCAATTTAACAAAAATGTAATCTACAAACCCATGTTCTAGCTTTCCATTTGGCATTATTCTTGAAATTAGTGTGAATCACTGGAATACTAAAAAATCTATTTAAAAAAAGTCTAGAAACAAAAGCTTGACCTGCTCCTTGACATTTAAATGCAGCCTTAAAAGTGGGAGAAGTTTTTCACTTTAAGTTACAATATATAGCAACTTTTAGCTGCATTTCTTGAACAGGGTTCCTGCAGAGTTCACAAAGTTGAATTTAAGACCTGTATGTATCCTGTTTAACTCCCCTTTCTGGGTTTCACCATGCACACACACACTTTCTTATCATGATGTGTTTGTATGCTAAAGTCCATTTTTAACATGAAAGATAATTGTTTCAGAGGGAGCAAGGCCAAGAGCAAGCGGTACCATTACCATGGTTACTTCATTGTCAAGTATCTGATAGATTTGATTAGATTCAGTGCATCTACACAGTGATCTGCAATCTGACTCACTCTGACTCAACACAGAATGAGTCAAACAAGTGTGAAAGCAGACCTGAATGGTCTCAACTCTAAGTAGGAGTCAGTGGTTCTAAGAGATACTGTCATTTTCACAATGAATAAATGGCCATTCAAGACAAAAAGGACATGATTTCAATTTTCCCAGATCACTACAAAATGTGAACATGATGCCATCTACTATACGTTTCTTATGAAAGAGTGTGTGTGTGTGTGTGTGTGTGTGTGTGTGTGTGTGTGTGTGTGTGACGTGTTTTTGTAGGTTATTGTGTATGTGAGCGTGTATTCAACCAAGTACATTACTAACCTTGTACACTAGCGGGCTTGGTGGCATCAGTAAAATCACAGATTTTGTCCCACTGGTCCCTGACAGCCTCCGGAGTCATGGGTTGGTTCTTCTGTCTCACAATGCAGCCCTGGGAACGCTCCCAGCGCACTACGCACATAGACACACACACACAAAGAGGTCATTGCATAGTGAAAGTCACACACAGACAGTGCTAGTGAACCAGGGGCTAATGGAAGTCACAGAATCATACAGACATTTCCTCGGGAAAAATAAACACAGTACTCACATTTACCAATCCAACCTGCACCAACCTGAAAGGAGACGAAACGAGCAGATGAGCAAACACACGGATATTAATAAAGATTGTCCGTTTATGGAAAATGAATATGTAATGTTACAGTACTGTTCTCAAAGACAAAAGAAGGAAAATAGACACAAAGCTACAGGCAGAGCAGTGGAAGAGATTCCTTACTATTCTTACTGAAGAGGAAGAAAGAAATTCTTTCTGTATACCTCAAATAGTCCTCCATTTTCTTGACATTGTTCATGACAGAGCCAGAGGACCATGGGAGCAACATACTCAGACTTCAGAAACGCCAAAATGTCTAAATAAAACAAAACATACACAAATACAGTACAGCAGAGATTCTTTTGTTACACATTTGTAATACAGTTGTCCTAAACAGCAAATGGTTTCTTCTGCTTCAGTGTCTCTGTTTGGTAGTTAGTGTATCATTAAAAGGATGCTGTGTTTGTCTAATGTGCTCACTTTCAAAATACTATGTACATTGTCTGAATTATTAGAGCATTTGTCCTCTTGCTACCAAGCTAACACACATCTTTTCAAAAAGAAATATAGTGGGGGAAAAAGTGTGGGAAAATACTAATTACAGATACTGATAAATAATTATATTTTTATGTATATATAACTAGTATTAAAATACACAATACGCATATGATCTAAAAACCATGCTCTGAAATCATGCTCATTCAACTTTATTTATCAAAAGCCGGGCAATATATCTGTTAAGTGACAGTTCCTTCATTTCACAGAAGGAAATGTTTGCTATATAATACCCTTTGCACCAAACATGCACCCATTCTAGTAAGTGGAGCAGGACACAGAACAACTTTTAAATAAATGAGAACATAGGTCAGGGTCAAAAGGAGATTTGAGTGATTTCTAAAAAAGTTCTGGGTATTTTTGGATGAACATTCGGAAAAACTGAAAACAAAATTTATAAAAAGGAGCCTGAAGAACTAATATGTTCCTTAACATGTTGGAATGGAGTCAAGCAAATATGGCACGGGCTTTAAATTCCCTGTATGAACCATTAAATTAATGCCAGACAACCATGTGTGTGCTGAAAATATCTGTAACCCTCGACCGACAAAATGTGTTGGTACAAGAACAGGCATTCTGTTTCACTGCACTCCAATGTTTAGCAAGATGAGTTTTGTTGTTTGTTTTTCAGAATAGCCTGAGTCAGTGAAAGGCAGCATATGGAACCAAGTCATTTACTAAGGTGAGGCCATCCTGTGACAGTTGGCACAGTGCAGCATGACAGATGCTTCTCTAGACCAGCACAGCAGGGAAACAAAACCATTGCTTTAATCTGTCACTTAATACCTCTGTCAACAAGGCTGCAGCCACAGAGCATAAACAATATGCTCATGAGGTACTGACATTTACAGATAGAAAGATTGGTGGGTTGGAAAAATCTTTTCAAACTTGCTTGTCGGTAGCACTTTATAATAACTAATGGTTCATTGTGTGTAGTTAAGTATTAGTAAATACGGAATTCATCATTTATAAACCATTGTTCTTGCGTAATACACATTAGTAAGTCATTTATACATGCATTAGTAAGTGCATCTATAATGTGCTTAATGATTTTATTTTCATAGTTTATACATGATCGGTTCACCATTTATAAATGAAGTATTATTTTAATGACAAACCATTTACATACGAGTTGTTAATGGTTCATAAGATCATTTGGAAAGCGTAAGAAAACTATTACATAACTGTATTTTGTTACTTTCCTGAGGAAGAATATAAACAATCTCAGCATAACTTGTAAACCTACTAGTGGCAAAGGTCCAAAGGATGCTACCAAGACTACCCGAAAGATACCCCAGCTAACGTCGCTGGTGGCGTGGAAAAGCCTCACTGTTACAGGCCCGGTACTGTATCCCTGAGACAGATCATCTATAACTACCAGCTCATTAATGATGCGCTTAATGATTGTATTATGAAATATTATGGTTTGCCTATGGTTCATATGATCATTTAGAAAGTTTAAGGAAATGATTAATGAACTATTTAGATCTTCATGCATGTGCATATGGTTTAGACATGTAGACTGAGCAATCTTGCTGGTGGCAAGTCTGTCTATGTTTTAAACGGACAGTGGCGGCGTGGTGGTGGGGGAAGGGGATTACGGTAGTAATCTTTACTGATTCCCATTGACGGCAACATTGCCCAGCACCATTGCTCTAAAAGTTTCTCCATGTATCATCTGCTTTAGGCTTTTTAAGTCTCAGCTTTTTAACGACCTGTGTTAACACCCCTTTAGCGTCTTTTTTGGACGTCTCGGCAGTCAAGTTATCAACAATAAATGCGCAACGTCCAGTTAGACTTTCAAAATAAAATCAGAATCAGCTTTATTTGCCAGGTATGTGCACACATACAAGGAATTTGACTCAGGATTGTACATTGCTCACGCTGTGTTTACTTATACAATCACACACAGGCTACAGTATAGAGAGCACACACACACACACACACACACACACACTAAACAAAAACAATATAGACAGACTGAGACAATACTTCTATTAGCATAGTGCAGAGGATGCTGGAATAAATAAGTATTATGCTCAGGTGTTATGTACTTGAGGTAGGTGGAGTAGGTATACAGTATATACACAATATACAAAATGACAATATGAACAGCTCTGAAATGGAGAATGACGAGTAAAGTGGTAACCAGTAAACAGGTGGCTGAGTAGAGGCAGAGTTACTGGGTTACTGCACAGAAGTTATTCCTGACACTGTGAGTCAGAAATCAGCTGTTTATCAAAGTGATGGCTTGTGGGAAGAAACTGTTCTTGTGTCTGTTGGTTTTGGTGTACAGTGTAGCGCCTACCAGAGGGGAGAAGCTGGAACTCAGTTGTGTCCGGGGTGAGATGGATCTGCAGTGACGTTTCCTGCCCGTTTCCTGACTCTGGAAATGTATAAGTCCTGAATGGAGGGCAGGTTGGCACCAGTGATTTTTTCTGCAGACCTGACTGTCCTTTGTAGTCTGCTCTTGTCCTTTTTGGTGGTGCAGAGGACAGACTGGATGATGGCTGTGTAGAAGTGGATCAGCAGCTTCTTGGGCAGGTTGAGCTTCCTGAGCTGGCGCAGGAAGTACATCCTCTGCTGGGCCTTCTTGATGATGGTGTCAGTGTTGGGCTAACATTTTACATCCTGGGATATAGTGGATCCCAGAGCATACACAGGGCTGTTGAGTATGGCGATGGGGGCAGAGTCAGGGGGCTCCTCCTGAAGTCCACGGTCATCTCCAGTTTTGAGTGTGTTAAGCTCCAGGTTGTTCTGACCGCACCAGAGAGCCAGCTGATCAACCTCCAGTCTGTAGGCCAACTCATCACCGTCCTGGTTCAGGCTGTTGTCGTTAGTGAACTTCAGGAGTTTGACAGATTTCTCTTCTGAGGTGCAGTCATTGGTGTAGAGAGAGAAGAGCAGGGGGAAGAGCACACACCCCTGGGGGGCGCCAGTGCTAATAGTCCAGATGCTGGATGTGATATTCCCCAGTCTCACCTGCTGACTCCTATCAGTCAGGAAGTTTGTGATCCACTGACAGGTGGAGGCTGGCACAGTTTGGTGCGGAGGATGTCTGGAATGATGGTGTTGAACACCGAGCTGAAGTCCACGAACAGGATCTTTGCATATGTCCCTGGAGAGTCGAGGTGTTGCAGGATGTAATGCGGTCCCAGGTTGACTGCATTATCCACTGACCAGTCCAACACCAGTCTTTCAAAGGACTTCATGACCACAGATGTCAGGGCAACAGGCCTGTAGTCATTTAATCCAGAGATGGAGGGTTTTTGGGGACCAGGATGATAGTGGAGCGTTTGAAGCAGGAGGGAAATTCACACAGCTCCGGTGATCTGTGTGAAGATGGGGGCCAGCTGCTCTGCACAGATTTTCAGGCAGGATGGAGACACCGTCTGGGCCAGGAGCCTTCCTGATCTTCTGTCTCTGAAAGAGCTGGTGCACATCCTCTTCACAGATCCTGAGTGCAGGTGAGGGGGTCAGAGAAGGGGCGTGACAGCGTGGCAGTAGGGGAAGGTGACTGTTTGAAGATGGTGTTGGAGTAGGGGAGAGGTGTGACTGTGGGCTTCTCATACCTACAGTAAAATCCATTCAGCTCGTCAGCCAGTTGTTGAGTACCAGCAGTGTTGGGGGATGGTCTCCTGTAGTTTGAGAGTGTCTGCAGGCCTCTCCACACTGACGCAGGGTTGCTGGCTGTGAAGCAGTTTTCTAGCTTTTCAGCGTAGCTCCTCTTTGCTGCTTTGATCTCTTCAGTCAGTGTGTTCCTGGCCTGGTTGTACAGGACTCTGTTCCCACTTCTGAAGGCCTCCTCTTTGGTCTGACAAAGCTGCCTGAGTTTCGCTGTGAACCAGGGTTTTTGGTTGTTGTATGTGCGGAAGGTTTTAGTCGGCACACACACACATGTCCTCACAAAAACTGATGTAAGATGTCACAGTGTCAGTTAGTTCGTCCAGGTCAGTGGCTGCAGCCTCAAAAATACTCCAGTCAGTGCAGTCAAAGCAGGCCTGTAAATCCAGCTTTGACTCGTTGGTCCATCTTTTCACAGTCTTAACAGGTTTAGCAGATTTCAGTTTCTGCCTGTGTGTCAGGATAAGATGAACCAGACAGTGATCAGAGAGTTCCAAGGCTGCACGGGGAACACAGCGATAGGCGTCCTTTAATGTAGTGTAGCAGTGGTCAAGTGTGTTAGTGTCCCACAAGGGACACTTAATATGCTGTCTGTACTTTGGAAGTTCATGGCTGAGGTTTGCTCTGTTGAAGTCTCAGAGAACAATGAGCAGAGAGTCTGGATGTTTTTTCTCCATCTTAGTTATCTGGTCAGCCAGGTGTAGTAATGCCTTACTAACACACGCCTGAGTTGGAATGTAAACGGCAACCAGAACAAACGAGGTGAATAAAAAAGGTTTACAGTTTATGAATGAGGTCTCTAAGTGAGGGCTGCATGATTTCTTCAACACTGTGATATATGTGCACCAACCTTCGTTTATGTAGTGACAGAGTCTACCTAGCTTAGAGTAATATAGCTGACCCCATAAGTGTTTGACATTATAGCTTTAGGTATTTCTCACACATACTTGTCCTCATCAAGACGACAACAATAGACTGATTAGCTAGAGACAGTAGCTCAAGACGTCAGGCTAGCAGATCTCAGTGTTCTCTGGGAATCTTACAAGGTTAAACCATCAAGAATGTTTACAAGAACTAACTGGCTCCACAGATTCGAATACAACTCTTGGATAGTGAGAGATTCCAATATGACAAAGCATTGGAATCTAAACATCTGATAGATATTTGTTTTAGGTGAAGGTGACCTAATAGAGAAACCTACAGGCACTAGCGGGAAGACAGAAATATATAAAGGGACCACAAGATGTTATCCTTCAGATTTGGTGTTGGCATTTGACGTGTTCAAATGTTGTATGCTGGCACTGTATCTCCTCGGCCGGGCTATGTTAAGTCTTCATCAGTCTCCAAAACTTCTTCACACCTGACAGCGGGCTCACAATAATTCTCAACACTAGCTTAAATGGGTGGGTTAAAACCATATACTGTAGGTTAAAAGCAGTCGGAGAACGTTGAACCGTTTCAACACGAAGTTGTGAACCGTTATTTTGCAGTATTTTGCTGTGTCATGGTTTCAAACTACTCTCTGGAGGTTTTTTGCATGTGTAAGCACATGTAGTATTTTTATTTACAGTACTTGAGTATGAGTACTATGATAATACATGTCAAAGGTAATTTCCTTGCCTAAAATGTGTAAACTCTGTTATAATAATACTGTTTAGAATTTTTTGGTTGTAATTTAATGTCATGTTATGCTGAACGATGGAGAAATGTAATTAATTCAGTAGTGCTGTCTTGCCAAAATGCTACCTGATAAAGTTATAAATCTTTGGTACAACAAATTTAAGAAGAATCCCTAGACAACAGGTTGATGATATTGAGGTCTGACAAACGGGATAAGATCTTATTTGAAGAACATTGACTATGATGATGTATGTGATTTATTCTGCACTATATGTGCAGACTGGTTTTTGAGACAGCTTAGAGGTCAACTCTTCGCTAGATGCAGATGGCGAGCGAGTCCCAGAGATGATGCACCCTGTATGAGATCGGATCGTGGTGTGGCCAGCTGCTTCAGATCCCATTCAACAGGACTAACACATCAGATTACAGGACACCGGCAGATAAGAAAGATCTACCACACGTTCATTATCCCAGTAGAGATACAAATAACTGAAAGACATTGGACACAAAATTTAATTTTTTATGAAAGAGCTCTTCTTATTTTGGGGATTGTTTCAAACATGGTTGGTGCACTATGAGAGTGTTAGAGGCACTGTAATAAACCTGCCCACTGTTCCTTAATCACACAGTTTATTTCTTTCCACTACACTACTACTCAGAACCTAGGTCGGTAAGTTAGCATAAGTCCTACACTAGTATTAAATATTCTACAGCTATCGTTAGCATTCAAAAAGTATGCTACAGAGCTTCCCCCAGTACGTTGAACTATGACGCTATGTGGCTCCCAAGTGTGTTATAAAGTGACAACATGGGGTCTTAACTATTGGTCCATATGTGACGACTTTGGAGTGAGAATGGGTTGGATTGTAAATGGCTGAAAGGCATTTTGTAATAAATAATATGTTCTGTATCACTTTGTGTTGTGTTCCTTTTTTAAAATATCATTTGTAAATGCTTTGTCAGGTCCTCACTTTAGATGCGCTCACACAAAGTACTTAACAGCTAGTAAATGCTTTGTAACAACCTGAATTAATCATGAAATACTGTCTATTGCCTTTAAATTTAATTTGTAAATGCTTAACGAGCTATAGATAGTCCTCACTTTAGATGAGCTTACGCAGGCCTGTAACGGTGAGGATTTTACTCTAACGTTAGCTTGGGTATCTTTCGGGTAGTCTTAGTAGCATCCTTTGGGCTTTGCCAGTAGTAGATTTACAAGTTATACTGAGATTGTTTATATTGTTTCTCAGAAAAGTATCAAAAAACAGGCAGTTATGTAATAGTTTTCTTACACTTCCCAAATGATCTTATGAACCATTAACGACTCATATATAAATGGTTTGTCATTAAATTAATACTTCATTTATAAATAGTGAACCGATCATGTAAAAGTATGAAAATACAATTATGAAGCACATTATAGATGAGCTTAATAAAGAATACTACAGGTATAATTATGTTTATAAATGATTTACTAATGTGTATTTACGTAAGAAAAATGGTTTATAAATGAATTAAAAATGTACTAATGCTGCTAATACAAATGCTTCATAGTGTGTAGATATAGAATAAAACATTTATAACTGTGTATTTCCTAATAGTTAACTAATGCTTCATATTGTGTAGTTATTATACCTGCTCGTCTTTCTGAAGGTTGGTATTTTTGTTTGATATAATGTTCACACACACAACATACATTATTCCAATGTTTGAGCTGTTGTGAGCTACATCTCATTGTGTTCACTGTAGTTATCCAATGCTGCATCACCTGTCTTAAATATTTTTAACATGAAAAATATAAATGCTTCATTAGCATACACACATACACATTTCTGAATATTTGGAAGCACAGCTAACACCTAGAGTAAAATAAGGAGACCATACCAGACCAAACCGCCTGTTTAAATCAAGGGCCTCCACATTAAAACTTTTAAAGCACTTACAGGGTGCATGATTTCATCACGCAAAAAACACAGCTCTTGAATATTAGATTAGACAAAATTGCATGTCAAACGGGAGTGCTCTTGCCTCAAATTTTGTAAATCAACATTACATGGGCATTACATTATGCAGCAGCTGTGGTTAAAATCTATTTGCCTATTTTGGCCTGTCCAAAAAAAACCATGTACATGTGGGAGTGTGAGTGCACCCACATACCGTACCTAGCAGAGCACCACAGTATGCATTATACAGACCAATTGCATGCAATTATGTATGTAGTTCAACCTCTCTGCTTACCTGGGGGCATGACGGTCTCTGTAAGACGTGACGCAGCAACCGGAGCAATAGTGTTACAATGGACGTTGTACTTGCGTCCCTCGATGGCCAAAGTGTTTGCCAGCCCCAGCATGCCCAGCTTGGCAGCGCTGTAGTTGGCCTGGCCGAAGTTACCATAGATGCCGGCAGCTGAAGACGTCATGATGATTCTGGCCACAGATAACCCGAAGCAACAAGTCAGTGACAAACATCGCTATATAGCAGAGAGACACAGACAGCGCACACCCTACCCTCCAGTGGAACTCACTTTTCATGCACACAAACACACAGGATTATGCATATGTAAGCATCTAGTCATGTGCCGCTAGCCCGTTCATCACAGATACAGAACTGCACAACGCACATTTATGTGAACACACCTGTGAGCAAAGGCTGTATGCAGGAATGAATGCACACTTGCACAGCAGACACAGTCTTGCTCATACAATTTTGCTAGCAATTTCACGCAGAGTTCACTTCAGTCAAGCAAAAGTAATGAGCTTAAGCACTAACGCTGCATTAACTGTAGGAGATATCTTAAACAACATCCTCTCGCTGGTCATCAGAAAGCAGTGATCCATATCACTGCACACTCACATTGTGTACTACAATGGAACCACCAGAGGAATGGCAATGACAGAATATTTTTCAAATCAATAACTTTTCTACGCTAAAGTCTATGTAACAATTACACAGACACATTTCGTTCTCTGACCTGCCATGGAATATAAACAATAAGTCCTGGTGCTTTCCGTCACCTCCCTCCTCTAGCAAGCACAGGAGAAAACGCCCCTACTCTCAAGAGGATGTCACAAACAAATCTTACTGCGGGCAGCACGAGGTTGGATTTATTTGCAGAACCCAAAAGAAATCGAAAAGTAATGATTAAAACAATACATAGCATAAAACAAGCTTTCCTCTTGAATTCTTCAGGTTGACAGGCTTTAACCTCCCTTTCACATTTAATTTTCAGGTAACAGAAAAAAAAAAAAATACTGAAATGAAACACCTCATTCACACTATTTAAAGATGAATAAAATAGGTATATTGAGGTATTTAATAGAGTTAACTGGAAATATCTACTGATCATTTTATCCTTAGAGAAAAAACTATTTAGGTTACAGTTCCCTTTAATATGCCTCTACAGATGTAATGAAGTTGCTGGACTGCTCAAAGAACCAATGGTGAATTCTCTTCACCTTTGGAGAACACCCAACAGTAAACTAGTTCAACACAGGAATGAAGAAAACTAGCTTGTCTGACCTAGAACCTTATAATGGGTCTAATCCACTAGACATGCCCCTTTAACCTGCTCCTCTACACCCAATGTAACAGGCGTGAAATGCCTAGGACATTTGCAAAACAACAACATAATTATGCAATTATTGTGACTACTCTGTTTGTCTCTTTATATAAAATGAGAGAATTAACGTGAATAATTCACATCAAAACATTGATGTAATACGCTCATATTTGGCCTCGTGTGAACGCCAACAACGGTTGCTCAGACTTGGCCTCACGTGACTCCAACGACCACAACGACCGTCGTCACAACAGCCAGGAGCACTAACAAACCAAGTGGTATCCGTCACCTTGACAATGACCGCAAACATCTTCCAGTATCTTTAACCAAGTCCAGTTTTAACCTTCCTTGGATAACCCTGACCTGGATGACTGAGAACCTTCACAGATATCTTGATATAAAACCAACTCCATAATTTGCAGCAGTTTCCTACTCTACTCAATAATAAGCTGTCCCTGAGCTTTAGTGTTTATTAACTACTGTATTCCCCAACTCATGCAGAACACCTTGAGTGCACCTGTGAAGGACGTCTGCTACCTGGAGTAACACTGGAGCAAAGCTGGTTGCGTGACCTTCTTCTGCAAATTATAATTCAAAACATGCAAACCTCAATGAGTCCTTTTCACAGCATACATTTTTACTTGTCGTGGGAGGAACAGCACAGATGTTCATTTCCAGAATGTAGCCATCATTAATGGTATTAGTTGCTCCTGTGTACAAAATGTCTTATCTGAGGAAGGCATATTAAGAAATCCTGATCTGCACTGGATGTCCTTTTGAGTCAATGATGCCTGAAGTCAACATAAATGATCCACTGAACGTTTCGCTTCTCATTCAAGAGAATTCTCCAGAAGTGAAGAAGCTCAGACAAGTGGCAGAACACCTTCAACTGTACAACTTCAGGGCTTGAGTCATCCACTTGTCAATAGTGCTCAAATTGTTAAGATTAACCTACAGTGCAGCATAACCACAATAACTAATACCTCATTCTTTGGTGATTTGCTGTCTTGGGCTTTTATTAGGGGTCCAATGCCGAGTGGGATGGGAACCCGCGATGCCCAGTACCAGTGGAACCCTATTGGAATCGTTTTTTTTTTTTATTAATCTGCCACTAAAACTCATACTGCAGCCTAGATGGTAAGTGCTACAGACGCGAAACTCACAGGGTAGGTTCACAGCCCCAAGAGTACCTAAGGCGCAAAAATCCGCACACTTCTACCTCTACGGGGTGCTATAACAAATTTCTTTTGCGTTTGGGCTTACAACTCACACATACAAGGGCACATATGGAAAACCTTATATCCACGCGTTCGGGGGATCGAGCTGAATCTCGTGGTATAGGCCACGGCCATTTCAGCCTAGACTTTTTTTTAGCTACATCACGAAAACTGAAAAACCTATTTTAATTAACTGCTCCGAAGCCGCAACTCCGATCGACACCAAACTTGGCACAGATAATCTCTGCACCAAGCTGATGAAAGTTTGTACAGGAAATTTTGACAACAAAAATTGTTACAATTATATGCTAACAAATGTTTGCGGAAAATGCTATAAACAAGAAGTGATGTCAGATCTTAGGTTGGGAATGGCCAATCAAGAACTTGAGGACCTTATGTCCCATACCCCCGAGGGGCTGTGCAAAACTTGGCGCTATTCAAAAAAATCCCATTGACATACATTAATTTTATATCTCCATAACCACAAGTCCGATTCAAACCAAATCTGGGTCATTTGTTGGGCCCCTTTGACACCTAAAAATTTGGTGCAATTCGGCCTAAAGGTGGCGCTACAATCGAAGCTCAAAACCGTTGGAAAATCCAATGGGATTTTAAACCAGCGCACATTTTGGCTCATAACTACGCGCCACTATATCGCACATTCATAACCCTCATGTCTACGTGTTTGGGGGATGCTGACGATTCCGATGGTATAACACACGTCTCTGTGCGATGACGTTTGATTTCACTAAATTGTAAAAACTGGAAATCCTATTTTAAATTAACTCCTCCGAAGCCGCAAGTCCGATCGGCACCATACTTTGCACGGACCATCTCTGGACCGAGCAGATAAAAGTTTGTAGAAGGAATTTTGATCCGATAAAAAAACCAAGCTAACAAATGTTTGCGCAAACACTAAAAACAGAGTGTCATGTCAGATCTTACGTTTGCAATGTCCAATCTACACCAAACTCGGGGACCTTATCTGGCACGCCCTCCCGAGGGGTTGTGTGAAATTTAGCGTCAATCTGCCTCTAGGTGGCGCTATTAAGTAGAATTCACATAACACTCCCATAGACATACATTCATTTCACATCTCCGCAACCCCTTTCATTTATAACTATAAATCATGGATGGCGGGCCCGGGCTGACTCGCGCGCCCTCCGGGGGGCCCAGGGGAGGCGGCTTGCGCCGGGAGGCTTGGATCCCTCTTACAACTGCTTGCAGTTCTAGTTATTACTATTATTAGTATGCAGATTTTTTCATTGCACACCATGAAACCAATGGAGCTAGATATATTAAGGGGTATCAAGTCCCTTAAGTTAGTGTCAGAATATGTGTATAATAATGTGATGGCAGACATGCTTTATCTACCAATTACATCAAGTGCATATCCTATAGGCCACTTAAAAGTGGGACACAAAAAAGATTTTGAGTACTGGTGAGTATTGGTCTTTAGCTGACATCTGAATCCGGGCTTATCGCGTGACATTTTACGTCCTACTCATATCTTCATGATTACAGTCCAGCAATGGTCTGCAGAGGATACTGTAACTTTGGTGTATCAAAAATAAAAGAAAATCCTACTCACGCAATAGGAGGACTGCACTGTTTTAGGCACCTCGCTTACAGTTACTAACTGGGCTCCTCACCTGCCAAACTTTTGGTTTTTCATGTGGTTCCAGGCAGCTCGCGTCACCAAGAAGGAGCCTCTCAAGTGAACTCTTTGAATAAGGTCTGAAATGGAGAGGAGGAGGAATGACACATTACATTATACACTTCTGTTATTTCACATTGATAGCATTGTGGATCTGATCCAGCTTACAGTAAACGTTCACACATGCAATCTGTTTTTACAGACATGGAGATAAAAAAAAATAACAAGTTAACAAGTATTGCTTTACTTATAGCATGGTGGCACAGTTTGATTATGACAGTGATTCTCACTGTGTCATGACCCCCATCATCACAGGCTGAAAAAAGACATTTCCACCCCACCACCATACTCCGATTTAATTCTTATCATTAACAATATTAAGAGTGTAACAAAAGCAAAAAAAGCCAAGTTGAAGTTTACTGAAATAAAAGAAACAACTCTTTTTTATTTTATTTCCCTAAATAAATTAGTCCCCCAGTGGGCCAAGCCCCACAGTTCAAGAGCTGCTGGATTATGAGGTGAGCCAAGCGAAAGGAAATAATGTTATGACATGAGATGACCCCATGCACAGCAGGAGTTAAAGAGAGTGAAGTGAAAAATCTGAAATAATTTAATTACCCCAGTCCAAATCACTCGTCCTGGCAAATGACCGGTCACGAAGTATCCTTGGCAAAGAAAGGGAGGAATTAGTGTTTTGTGACAAAACTTAAGGTTCTCTTCAACATGAGTATAGCCCATACTATTGCAATCAAACAGCCTCTCTAAAAAGAGCAAAAAGTGTGATAATTTTTGTGAAATGACTTACCCGGCATTGTTTACGACAACATCTGGACAAAAAGATATTTTACCAGATTTAGTTCAATAATTACATCAAATAGCAGTAATGGCATTACTAACAATGATGGCCACAGTATTACCATACAAATACAATACTCACCTATTCTTCCAAATGCATCCAGTGCTGTTTTGATCAATTTTTCTCCATCTTCTACAGAATCTGTGCATGCATGACAGAAGACATTATTTTATATTTTTTGTATAGTAAGAGTATATCCATGTGTATTTTAGCATCAGTTATACTGTAGATTTGATTCTTGGATACATTTTTTCTGGTTGTATTTAGGTTTAGAGTTTAAAATAATGTGCAGAATTAATGTTACAATGACATAACAGGTAGGTCAAATAACATTTTGTTATGTACTATCAAAAGTTGCAAGCCTCCCTCACGTGTGCAGCATGTTGTGTAATAATAAATGGCAAGTTACCTTTTCGAACAATGATACCGATTACTAGGCATTGAAGTTTGCTATAAACCAGACAGAAAGTGTGCCAAACGTTCTGGTAAATTATATCTTTGTATTACATCCACAAACCAATCTGCCGTGTTCAAAACTACCTATGAAACACATTGGTCACAGTGTTGTCATGTTTTGTTCTTTAAAACAAAGTTTCTTTGATTAGATATGCAAGATGCACATAGGCGATACATTTGTCTTCAATACTCGCCAACAGCTTTATCAGTGAGCTGGTCAGTCTGACAGAATTTTTTGAGTTTAAAAATTGAAAAATTGAATACAACGAGCTATGCAAGAGAGAGAAAAAAAACAGATTGAGATAATGAAATGTGAGTTTACAAAAAATTTTTAAAAATAATAAAAGAGGGGACCACTTAAGACAAGAAGGTTAGTCCAAACTTCTCACCATAGTTCGCCACAGCCTTGCCTCCTTTGGCTCTTATCTCCTCCACCACCTTATCAGCAGCTGCAGAACTCTTTCCGCCCCCTTTAATGTCTGCCCCAAGGTCATTCACTTTATTGCAACAAGAAGAAAAAGATTAGCAATAATAGGGTGAGTTCTGCAATTCTCCACAACTGATTAGGTTAGGGGAAGAGTGGAGCTAAGCAGATTCTTTGTCAGAGTTCAAGGGCAAGCTCGGTCTAGGTAGCAGGGAGAGTTATTATTTTGGGACGTTTATGCCGACATCTGCAACTGTGGAGTCCTAAAAAGTGACAGCATTACTGTGACAGTAAATGCAACGCGCTCTTTCTTTAGGACATGCCTCATTCTGGTAGGAGGTATAACTTATTTCCTAAATCATCAGATGCACCGATTCAGCCTTTTCTCTCCCAATAATGATTTCAATACCAATTTTATAATAATGCTATTTTCTCCCCGCACCAGGTTTAAGATCTTTATAACTCACTGGGGGAAATAAAATTGTCTATTGTTTGTTGTTTGTATTTAAGTGACACTTTTCACTGTGCTGTGACACTAAAAAGTCTGCCGCCCACTGTGGCTGAATGGACAGGAGAAATAACGTTATTTCATAATGACATAATTATCTGTGTTATCTGTGGATCAGTCGTGGCACAGCTGACACCCAATCCACTTAATAAGATGTATCTGTGCCAAAACCAATCCAGTGTATGGGATCGGTGCACCCCTACTTCAGTCAAAACCAGGACACCTCTAAACCCACTGTCATCTCTAACAGTGAGCCATGCAGGTTATCACAGTATGCTCTCATGTCAGATAAATTAAAGATCACTGCTGGTGCTTATACATGTTGCTATAGGAATGTAAGGTAAAAATGTTGATCCAAATGTCAACATGCACACCACGGTCTCTCCATGGAAAACAAAAACGTCAATTCAGGTTATAAAGGCTCAACTTTAACAGGCATTTCTTTGACTACATAAGATAAAGGCCTGGTGCCACTAACCACAGTGTATACACCATACATGTTGTAAAGAAATTAGGTATGAGGGGCTTAAAATGAAGTTTGTTTGTTTGTTACCTACAACTGAGGCGCCTCTTTCAGCAAAAGCCAGTGCATAGTCCCTGCCAAGGCCTGCGGAAAGAAAGACAGATGAGTAAAATAACAAAGGATACATCTAAAGAATAAAACACATCCAACAACAACCACTGTTCTTGCATGTGCCCTTTCACACACTTATTATTGCGTTAGATGTACTTTGCTCCCAGTGTTATTCATATGAAAAGGCTGATAAGTCTGTTGTTAGTCAAATCAAGTTCACGTTTTATAGTAAGATCCACAAATGGGGTTTAATTGTTGCAAGAATGTTCATCAGGACATGGTGGTAAAAGACAGTTTACTTTAACGACGTTGAGACTTGCAGCTGTTTCGCCAGTGTTAGCAGATCAGCAAGGCACCGAGGTGAAGTGCTGGGCAGCTTATACAACAGAAAGACCCGTGCACGAGCGGTTTTAACCACTTGGCTCACATACTTATCTCCACAACTAGCAGGTTAGCATTCAGAGCTAACGTTACAAAACAGATTTAAGCGTATTCATTAGAATGAGCAACGATGACAGCCTAGCTAGCGTTCAGTAGTGTTTTGCACGGCGACTTTACCTCCTCCGGCCCCAGTGACAAGCACGACCCTCCCCTCGAATGACAAAGACATGACAGAAACTGAGATATTATTCTAGTTTCCTGACACTAGCAGCACAGCGTCCGCAACACGAGCAACTAAGCTTTTCAGACACAGCAGGGTGAACTTCTGCAAGTTTAACTTCCGCAATTACGAGGGGCAGTCTCTGGAGTGACCAATCAGAAAGCAGGATAATATTAACCCTGTTTTCACCACTGTTAGTACTCCTTAGATCTTATTTACGATACTTCATAAATATGTCTATTTATGTTAACTTTGTGAATGCCACTATCTTTTTATGAGTCTTTAATAACAAATTCTGTAAATATTTACTTCAGAACTGACTGATTGGTACCTAATCACAGCACTTTTCACCATGTCTGCAACACAATTAGGAAATTATAAATAAATGGTGATAGTGAGCATGGATGGAGGTGGTAGGGATGATGCCGGGAGTAGTTCTCACTCTACCAGTAAAAAAAAACAAATGTTTATTGTATTCAAATATTATAGCTAACATTAAAAAGTTGCTTTTAATTTAAGATATACCTTTTTTATTTCCCCGTAGGAGAAATTCTGGTTGGCACAACAGCACAGACGCACATAAAAGAACAAAATACAATAACAGTAGAATCAGTAACATTTTACATTTATATATAAATACATACACAATCAATATATGTACAATACCAATCAATTTATGATAACAATTTTGAGTCTAAATGGAGCATTTAATGTATATATTTATGTGCCTCTCACACACTAACTCTACTGTTCCTTGTAGAAGAATTGAACAAGATATGATCATCATTAATAGGCATTGATTAAATTCAACTAATTCTTAGTGGTTAAGCTAATAATGTACACAAAGTGGCACTGCAAGTAAGAAAGATATTGTACATAACTGGTGAGAAAATGTCTCACAGCCTTGTTGTAATGATTTACAATCTGTGTCATGTTTTTAGCCAAAGTTCCACCAAAGGCCAGGCCAAGAAAGATGAGCAGCCTGTGCCAGTATGATACCAAGTCACCAAGAGAAATAACTTTTTTGTGATAATCAGGATTGTCTTGGAATAAGAGGAAGTAAGATCCCGCTCTGTATGTAAAAAGTACAGGTTTACATAATGACAATACTGATGGCTCTGTTTCATTTACAAAAAAGTGTTCAAGTAAGCTGAACTAGTGAGGTATCACGCAAAATACCATCAAGAATAACATGCCAACGTGTCTAAAATAGGTGTGGCCTAGGGGATGGAGCACTTGCTAATTTACAAAACAATATTACCTGTTTTAAACCTGTCATCCTTTAATTCTCTATTTTGTTTGCAAAAGTGAATCATATACACTTGATTACACTGGGCACCTCTTTGGCAAAACACACGTTAATATGCTCAAATAGGGCACATTTAATAGCAGCAGTTTTGTTTTTGTTATTAGGGAAAAGTTCTCCAGGTTCTTGTTATTGACATGTTTTTGTTCAAGTTAGTCAAAGTGAACTTGTCAAGCGTCCTGTTCAGGCTCTGGGAGGAGCAGGGGCGACTGTCATCCACTGATTGCACAGACATTATTACAAGCTAGTGGGGATGTAATTAAGTTATTTTATCACAGCAAACACAACAGTTCACGTCATAAAACGAATAACCTTGAGACCTCTCTAAAGGGCGGCATGCCTGTGTGATGAAACAGCCAAAACTAACAGCAACTGTGCAAAGAGACAGAAAGAGAGAGAGAGATTTTGTATTTTATTTATTTAATGAACTGCATGAAATGAATTGTTCCTTTGTATTATCTTTTAAGCTTTGGCAATATTGTTTTTTGACATTCACGCCAATAAAGCAAAATTCAATTGAACTAAAAAATTGAGAGAGTGACAGCTCTCTCCACAGTCAGAACAAAGTTCTCAACAAAAAGGTACAGATTTTGATTCGCTCTCTGACCAGACTAAAATGCAACTACTACTAGGGGAGACCGGGTATGGTTGTAACTGGGGAGAGTGGTAGCAACACCAATACCATCAATTAGAGATAAGGTAGGAGTCATGAGATCATTTTAGTATGGTGGTTGTCAAGGCTGGAAACAGGCACATTCAGAATATACAGAGAAAAAAAAATTATTATGAGGTAAGAAAGTACATTTTTTGACCAAGACTATATTTTGTTTAGTATCTATAGGCCTACGATCTTCAACAAGAAGATAAAATTGTATGACTTATATTAGATTAAAATGTAGTTTCTTAGGCAACATGTGACACAGTTTTCCCCTGCTAATTTCAAACAACTATGCTAATACAGCTAGCTAAACAATGACTGACAGGGGTGGGTTGTAACACACCGCAACAGGGGACTTTCTTGATTTTAATATTTATACAGAGTGTCCTTTGCAGTCTCTGGGCCAGTTTTTCAAGCATATATATAATGTTGCATCTGTTTTTACTTCTTTTGTCTTATTATTACGACATACCAGTGGGGTAGGTTGTAACAAAGGAACATTATGCATTTGACATCAACTCACGAGGTTTGCGATATTAAATTGTTGCCATTTGTAGTAAACAAATGTGGGTACTTTGTATAAATGTTTGAGAACTCTAACTGAAACCTTCAGCTGAAGCAAAAAGTGTTACAACCGGTCTCCTACTTGGAGAAAATAGTGTCAGCACCACTGAAGCAGCAACATTAAGTTAGTGCACTAAGACAACCAGCACAACACATGACTGCCGTAGTTAGTCTGCCATACACTTTTTGTTTGTTTGTTTTTACTTTTCACATTTGTTACTTGTGATTTTGTATTATTATATTGTTTCTTTTTTTTATTCTAAACATGAAATTACACACTTACACACACTAAATATTTACTGTTTTATTTATTTTATTTTAATTATTTAATGAATTGTATTTCTTCTTTTTTTCTCATGTCATTATTGAATTGTATCATCCTTTAAGTTCTTCTGATGTTCATGCCAATAAAGCACATTGAAATGAAATGAGAGCGAGGCATTTTCAAGATAAGTTATAGGCTATTTTGTTTTTTAGTTTTTGTTTGTTTTTTTCTCTCCTTCTTTTGTTTTTAAAATGTAATTTTATTGTTAAGGATATATACGTTTTCAAGTGGCCTTTTATTGTGGCCAGCCTAAGGCACACCTGTGCAATACCCATGCTGTCTGATCAGCATCTTGATATGCCACACCTGTGAGGTGGATGGATTATCTCGGCAAAGGAGAAGTGCTCACTAACACAGATTTTGACAGATTTGTAAACAATATTTGAGAGAAAGGCCTTTTGTGTGCATAGAGAAACTCATAGATCTTTGAGTTCATCTCATGATGAATGGGGCAAAAACTAAAGTGTTGCGTTTATAATTTTGTTCAGTATATATATATATATAGGCTAGGCCTAATGTTGTGAATTTCTGCTTTGGTAACATTGTTTACCTAAACATTCATGACAATAAAGCTAATTGAAATCAAATGAGAGAAACATAAAAGAGAGAGAGAGAGAGAGAGAGAGAGAGAGAGAGAGAGAGAGAGAGAGAGAGAGAGCATCCTCTGCGCCCGGACGTTGGTTACTCAGACTCTCCAAGGAGGTTGCGATGGAGACAAGATGAAACTGACGGGTTGTTTTTCGGAGGAAAGTGCCTCTGGGGTGTCCTTACCTGGCGGCTTCCAGGGTTGTATCATTATCAGAATCGTATATTTGAGGAAAAAGGAGGAGTGTATTACAATTTTGTCGATGCCCGAGGATTATGGACCCAAACAATAACGACCGGCGGCGTAACGGGTTGGATAACTGCCTGTACACTTCTTGTTCTTTGTGGTCTTCTCTTTATTTACTATAGCTAACACGCCTTCAACGCATTCATTGTGGACATTTTTTCTTCTTCTCAAAAATGTTGAATTTAGCGCTCTCTCGACGTGAAGGATATTCGTGGCACGTCATGTTTTGCTGTTGGACATGAAGGTGTAAGAAGCACAAATCTGCGGACGCCGTTTCGCAGACACTATGATACAATATTTTGACAAAACCCTCATTTTTTGTGTTACGCTCTATTGCGCATGCCTAGTGGTAGATACAGAACGCTACCCGACGCCACTTCGCTCCGTCCTGGCCGTGATGTAGGAGCAAAAGTGACGGGAGCGGAGGACTAAAATAATGCGTTGGCAAAGTAGCAGCGCGGCGACCAAAGGATTTGACTTTAGATCCTTCACGAAATAGATTGTGCCATAAACTGAAGCATGTCAGGGACACCAAATGCAGAGGCTGAAGGAGTAGTCTCCAAAGTGAAAGTGAAAAAGGAGATCAAGACAATCGTGGAGAATTTGGAAACCATCCTGGGAGACCTCAAGGATGTAGCCAAAGAGCTCAAAGAGGTAAATGGAGAGGAATCGTCACACAACGCCTTGTAAGCCCTAACCATGTGTTATGTTATTTCTACAGGCTTGCTCTTTAAGCATCCCTGTCATGGGGGGACATGGGAGGCTGACATCCACCTCACTGGGGCCTGGAAAAGGCTATGACTGCACACGCACGCACTCAAACACGCGCGCTCACACACACACACACACACACAAACATGCACCTCCTCTGCCCACTAATGTATGTGATCACTATCTCCAGCATGACAGACGTTTGGCACAGGAGGATGTGGGGTGTGAAATGACAGGATTGCTTCTTCGCCCTGACTCACTGGCTTTAATGAAAGTGAGAACATTTTAATCACAATTAATATTTAATGGACAAGTTGGTTCAACCAGGAAGGCGCTTTTGCATTGCATTTCATCATCTTAATGCTGACTGTTGTTTGCTGCAAATTATCTCCTGCCAAAACATAGAGCAGTTGTCCTTTCTTTTCACTTTTCATCTCTATCAATCTCTTGTGGTGTCTCTCTATAGTTCTTTATCTTCGTCTTCCCTTGTCTTTCGTTATCTTTTTACCACATGCCTGTATTTATCGCAGCCACTCATCTTCATCCTTTCTTTATCTCTTGTTGTCAGCCTGCTTTCTTTCTCCTCCTCTCTACAGAGTCCTTGCTAGAGATCAAAACTCTCAGAGCTGTCTGATTGGCCATTCAGATTTAAGCATGATGCAGAGACAGGGGCACTGAATGGGAATCAGGGGTAGTTTTCAGTGATTACATAAAGATATATAATGTTTTTATTTACAGCAAGGAGTTCTCATGGAAATATCTAGCAGTGCCTCTATGCAGAGACATATTTTCTGTCATTTGTGTGTTACAGAGCTTGTTTCAAATCAGTGTTTCCTCTAATGTCAATCACTGAATCCCATGATGCCACGTCAGTTGTAATAACTTGCACATGCCTGATTTTCTGTCCGTATTCCTCTCCCACCGTCCGGCCTGCTGAGCTGAAGCTTTCATCTCCCTAACATGACAGGCTGTCATTCTAATAAAGACTATTGCGTACAACCTCTGGTTCCTACATTATGGATGGGTAGTCGACATAGCATCTGTCTCCTTCTGCCTCTCTGCTTCCCTTATTCTGTTTTTGCAACTTGAGCTGAATTAGACTTCTTTTGTGTTTTTATAGCAGTTTACAATGTCTCACAGCAGAGATAAACGAGAACAAGAAAGCATTGTAATTTGTTTGTTGTGATTTTTTTGTGATGTGCCCTCTTTCCTTTTCTTTTTGCTTGCAGTGAATTGTGTAGAGGATCAGTTATTCTGACACCGCACACACTAAACAAATACCTCGAGGGGGTGTTACTATCAAAGCCGGTGTTTGGGGTATAATCCATTTGAAATGCAGTTATCTGTTATAACTCACAGACAGGGCTGGAACCGAGCCTGGCTCTGAGGAGTGACCCTGCCCAGATGCTTGGCACAGCCACTGAAGCTGCCTGGCCTACAGCAAAGGCTGCACACTGGGATACTGGTATTACCTCTTGTGCGTGTCCCAACAAATTATCCATTTAAAGACTGCATGGAGAGTTTAGCGCCATTGCTTTCTCTGGCCTGGCCTTCAATCTTTCTGTCTCACTCTCTCGCTCTCTGTTTCTCTCCTCACCACTCTCGTTCATTTCTCTCTCATCAAGCTGCCGTGCGGACACGCATTTCAAACCCTTAGATGATAGCAACAGTGTTTTACAGTGGGCTGATTTCCTGGGTACTCTGAGATGAGCATTACCAATTCAGAAAATGAACATAATCACATTGTCGTAATTATTTCATGAATGCTGTAAAGGAAAAAACATTTTCCTTTCTGGTGAGATTTTATTATGGGTTTTTCAACAGTTTTTTAGTTATGATACTATGAATGAAGGCGAGCTCAGCTCAACTTATATTAGACTTTCTTTGGACTCACTGAGTGTTGGATCCTCAATAATCTGGCAGCTAGTAATAAAATGTCCAACATTGCACTTTAGTTCTGGGCATCGAAGCAATAATAATTCTACCAAGGAAAGAAAACCGGGAAGAAACTCTTCTCCAAAGGGAATGTTTGTGGATAGACCTGGCTGAACATGATCATTTTATTAATGAATATTAATAAAATTTATGAATATTAATAAAAACATGAACCATGTCTGTTTGGTTTGTTAAATGTAATCCCCTATACCAATGGTTTTCAAACTGTGGGGCGGGGCCCCCTGTGGGGGCTTGTTGCCACTTCAGTGGGGGGCGTGGATGACCAGGGGAAAAATATGGAGTAGAACTAAGTTGAATGAACACGATTTATGTAAGGAAATAACTTATATTTCTTTTAATATCAAATTCAACGTACCTCTTTTTTTAGTTGTTGCTCCCCCAATAATGTTAATAATTGATAAGCGTTAAATCCATTTATGTGTAGTGGGCAGGCATGAACTTTTTTCAGCTTGTGATGGGGGTGCAGGACAGAAAAAGTTTGAGAACCACTGCCCTATACTAATGGCTCCTTGGGCAACGTTCATAATGTGCACATGCAATTTCAGTCCTTCCAGGTGCTGTCTCAGCCCAGCAGACATAAATGTATGGGAGGGTAACTAAGTCCATGGATGTGCACAACTGTGCATGTGCTTGCTTTAAGTAGACAAAATGTAATGGACAGTAGATAATAACCAGAGCTGTCTGTATCCTGTCCATAGCACTGTATGTCAGTCTTTCGTTGTTTAGTCAGCTCTCTGTTGACCTTATATTGGTGCATATTGAGGGGTGGATATTGCATCAAATACAGTTAAGCATCATGTCCTGAAACAATGTGTTGTACAGCATGTTTTGTTTAAAGTTAGAATGTATGCATGGCTGTACCATGTATGTTTTATGTTTTACCTCAGCTTGTGCTGCTGCATCCATACAACTATTTCCAGTACTGCTAGTTGCCTTTAGTTTATTTTATTTTATTGCATGTATTTCAGGGGCAGGGGCCATGTACAAAAAAACCCATTCATCTAAGGAGAAGAGATGTATCGTACCAGATTTATCTACTAGCTAAGTTACATCTGCCGTTCCTGGGCAGGTATATGCAGTAGTAACACTAATACAACAAATGCAAATAATACAAACCTCAGTTCAAATTGACAATAATTTATAAATTCATTCATACATTCAAACATACACAATGCAAACTACTCTATAAAAATTTATTCCCACTCAGCCCCCTCCCCCCACAGTTTCAAGCAATGTCTAAATATCTACTGTATAAAGAGGGTCCTGAGATAAAATATATATTTATATCCATTTCTACTGCACCGAGCAGACCATTTCTGCTGTTTCTCTCTGTTGCTATTTTATTTATTGTCCATGTCTGCAGTGTACTGTGTTCAAAGATCTTTCAGTTACAGGTTGCAAATTCATTAACATATTTAAATAGTTTCTCTGCTTGGCCCTATTCCTTTCCCAAAGATTATTCACTGGGCCATGTCACTGTGCAAGTATTCTTTTCCACCTTGGCACACTGTGTACGTTATTGCACCACTGCAACTGATAGAGTGTTTGCTCTTTCATATTGTGCCACTTGGAGAGTGGATTTGGGATAGGATTTTGCATGTCCTTTTGTGAAATATAAAAATTTCTTTGCCTTTCTGTCACACCAAGGTTGCTTTCTTGGAATTAATTCATACCATGATGAATTGTTTCCTGTGCTGTTGTTAAGAAACACGCAGAAGAAATGGAGCTTACCTCTCTCAGCATTTGTTTCAGTGTGTTTGTCTTTGTCATCTGCACTTTTTTGATATATGTAGAAGATGACTTTTTTTATTTACTCCTAACCCTGGTTTTGTATTATAAATGATTATAAGCTGATGTGTTTGTATCTTGGCTCACAGGATACGGCTGGTGTTGCTGCTTCTCTCAGTTCTGATGGTGCATAGGATTTTTGTAGTATATCACTTAGGTCAGAGTCTGGCAGGCTCATGGGTGTTCCCATAAATTGTAGTGATTTTTTTTTCTCCCTTGCGTGGTTGTCATAGAGATATCTCAGTCAATCTTAAAACTTATTAGTCAATCTTTTTAATCAAAGTGTATCTTCTTTCAACTGTATACAATTAAGAACATCAGCAGCTTACAAGAAGATATTTTTCAACTTGCTTTTTTTCTACCTGGAACATCATTCTTTTCCCAGTTACCAGTGTCATAGTGGGGTTATTTTTAGCTAAGATTGTTATAGGTGATATGTCCTCCTCTCATGCCGTTGTTTATTATTCCTGACCTCAGCTGTCAGAGTGACTCTTCCTCTTCTTGTCACCAGGTGGTTCATGATATTGACACCCTGACTTGTGACCTGCAACTTGAGGAGGACGGACTGACAGACAGCTCTAAGACAGACACGCTCAACTCCAGCTCGAGTTCCACCACCACTACCACTGCTTCCAGCCTGGAGAAGATGAAGCTCTTCCCCGATGACTGCATCTTCAAACCACCTGCGCCCATCGCCCCGGCCCCTGTCAACCCTCCTGCAGTCCTGACTGTACTCAAGAAACCCCACCCTCCCCTACCACCACCCAGACTTACCCCGCCGAGAGCCGAGGATCACAACATTAAGAATCTGCCTCATCCAACATTAGTGTTATCAGGGAATATATCCAAGGCTACCGGGTCTCTAATGAGGAATGGCGGGGTTTTTCCTTTAAAACCAAACAGGGATTTATTCTCCTCCACGCCGTGTTTCATTTCTAATGACGGCGGAATCCCTGAGTCGGGTCTTGTTCCTACATTACCCAGACCCATGCCTCTTCTCCGCCATGAAAAGAACAAATGTCCCAAGGCTCCTGGCAGGGAGTCTCGTGAGAGGGAGCGTGTCCGTTTCAGCGAGAAGGTCCAGTACCACGGCTATTGCCCAGACTGTGACCTCCAATACAATGTAGACGACACAGAACTACACTTACAGGCGGAGCTGAACGACTTGAGGCTGAGCCCAGTGCATTGCTGCTCTTCCTCCTCCTCCCCTCCTCCTCCCCATGCTCTTTCTCATGAACTAATGTTGGAAAACGGTGGCCTCTCAGTCAGCCACAGTTTCCCGCCGACAGCGAACACTCTTCCACCTTGTGTGCCTCATCACCCGCCTTCCCTCAAGCCCCAGAAAACAATCCTACGCAAATCAACAACTACCACGGTTTGACGCCGAAACCCCCTTGTTCTGTCCAACTTAAACATTCTTGAATCATTCATAGTGTTTTCTACTTTATGAGCGCTTTCTACTCCGGTTGAACTTTGGATTATCCAAACAGAGGGAGGAAGGGTTGGGAGAGAAATGGATGGATAAAGTGAGTGGAACAGAGAGAAAGGCATCGCCATGGGCGCTGCGACATACACAGAGAGATCAGGAAGAAGCGGTGAGTGTTTGTGAATGTATGAGTGTGTTTGTCAGGAAGAGAGAGAGAGGAAGAAAAATTTGCATGTGTGCACTGATGCATATATATGAGCCTGTCTGCATACAAGTTTATTTGTTTTTGTACTGTATATTCATAGGTGTATACATTTGTGGGTGCAGGCGTGTGTGTGCGCAGAGTGTGTTTGTAGATAGCGAGCACTGACTGAAAAATGTACTAAAAGTCTTTACACATTTCACAGAAGGCGGCTGACAAGTCATAAACTAAATTGTATCTGTATATGTCTGGAAGCTCTTGGTGCTAACAAGTCTGAAACTCAGGAAGTTGTTTCAGAGAAGGGCTCTAATTAATTCATGTCCTTCTGGATGAAACAAGAAAACCCGGTTCCCTCAGATTTCATATCGCAGGTAACTCTGAACAAAGGCTGTTACAGGGTAAAAGTTAGCGCAGACGGGCAGCGGCATCTATACTTTACACAAGCCTGCCTAGATGGACAATTACGGTTAAGTGATAGACAAGCGAGTTCATACTTCCTCTTCCTTCATCACCTCTTGTCTCATTTTGGTGACGTGTCAGACTGTAGGAGTGAAAGAGTAAATGAGAGGAGAGTGACATGGTGGGCTGCAGGAGAGTGAGAAGTCTTAGGTGACTAAACTGCCATTTTGATTTGTGCCTACTGTTAGCTTTCTAGCTAATTTTAATTGAAAAATCTTGAATTTCATTTTCTAATATTGTGAATTTTTTAGCAGGTCAACCCCCGTTTGTGTAGACCCTCACTATCACTCACTGTGATATCTAAAAGACTAAGTGGACGGTAAGCTAATCAGTTTTGCTCTTGAGTAGGGAGAATCAGACAGAAAAAATGCTAGACTTTATTTCCTTAAGGGAATATGATTCAGCATTAATATAATACCTTTATGAGCAGTTGGTAGTCTCCACTTTATTAGCTTTTATTAAGAAGCATATTTAATAAAGCCTGTGTTCATTGCGTTTGTGCGAAATTAAATGTGCACACGTCTGAAATCATTCTCAAAGTGAGTGTCAAGGAATCTGACTATGTTTGTTTGAGCGTGCGTGCATGTGTGCATGTGTGTGTGTGTGTGTGTGTGTGTGTGTGTGCGCAGGTTTGCGTGTAAAAGCACATGTCAGTTTGGCAGACTTGGGGAGACAGTACACCCTGGAGTTGGATGAGAATAGTAGGACCTTCCTCCCAGCGATGCCCTTAATTAGCCGGATTAGACTACAGGAGATAACAGCACTGCCTGAGACAGCCTTTGTACCAACATTAACATTGACAAAGTTCTGAATTGCTGCTGCACATATTTTTATGATAAACAGAGAAAGTGAGACCACGCTTACAAAGAGAGAAAGTACATAAAGGAAAGTACGAAAGGAAGGCACAGAAAGGTAAAGACGTGCTTAGGGGGCAGGATGTTATATAAACAGTACAATTTATATATATATATATATATAATTTTTTTTTTGTGTGTGTGTGTGTGTGTGTGTTAAGGGCTGTGGGGGTGGGAAGCTTGGAGATTAAGCCTGAGAAAATCAGGGTATGAAATAGCCCACTCTGATGACTAAATGCAATGCATGACCTCGCTGGCCTTACAAATCTAAAATCAGTGTGTGGATTAGGGATCAGTGGATATTCAGCCATAAGAAAAACAAGAAAGAAGGGAAGAGTCGGGGGTAAGGACACTAAGGGAGAGAGAAAGTGCGGGTCAGAGAGAGCGAAAGAGAGGGGGGGGAAACGGAGAGAGACTGATTTGGGTGTATTGTGTTTGCTGCTGTGTAACTGAGTATGTGGATGCATATTTGTCCTCAAGATGATTGCTCTCAGTGCAGAGCATTCACTGTGTTTACCTTGTATTAATGGATTTTAATGAGTCTGGCAGCAGCATGCTCACACACACAGGCACACACATAATGGAGTGTAGCCACAGCTCACAAGGGCTTTTGCTGCCGTAGCGTTGCCTTGCTATCTAATGCAAATTCAATGGACCGAGGAAAATGACACAGTGGACTTGTACTATTAAGGGAACATATCAAAAAAGTTAAGGCATCTCTACTTTGTTTGTTTGTTTTCTTTTCCTTTCCCATTGTGTTCTTTTCTTTTCTTTTTTTTTCACCGGTACTTTTGAGCCCTTGCACACTCTTTGGAAAGATAAAGGTAAAAATATAATCCCCTTTTTAAGTATACTCTTCCAAACTGAAGTGTTTCTGAGATTTTATTTTAGTTTTTAATCAAAAGTATTTGCTCTCTACTGTACTATTCCACAAAGTTAAATCTGCTGTCTGTAAGATGGCAAGTGACTCAACAATAAAGCAAAAAAACCTTGCACAGGCTACAACTCAGAGAAGGGACGCAAAGTTGTTTGAAAAGCTTTGATTAACAGATGTTTGTGTTTGTGCACATCCTGAGCTATTGACATTGGTGGATATTGGTGAAGTTCACTAGGGCAGGGTTTCGTTTGCAAATTATATTAGTGCGGATATTATACCTGAGTTTTTTATGTTTTTTATAATTGACTTTAAGAAATACAGTATTAAACATATTTTGCTACAAAACATTTTTTTTTGTTCTCTAATAATAAATAGTGTCTCAACACATTTTGGTCTGTACCAAAAAAGTATTGAGGTTTGATACTCTATTGCCCTATTCACAATGGGTATTGTTGCACATTATAATGTCAGGTCGTATCCTACTTTAATCTCCTCTATATTCTCACATTATGCTCTCAAAATGTATTTTAAATGACATATAAAGATCTTTTTTTTTTTCATGAATAACTATAAACATGGACCAGCCACCCAATATTTGTGGAGAGGGTCGTGAGTGTGTTGCAACCGCAACCAGGGCAGGAAGTGAGAACAGTATTGACATTTGCACTGGCTGACCAGCTGATGGACCCCTCCTGTATGGATTCATCGTTCGTTGTTTGATACATCCGTGGCTTGCCACCAGATTGTTCCTGTAACACAGAAACCACTGCTCCTCTGACCACGGGTGTAGGAGTTTTTCACTGTTTTTTTGTATTTTTTTTGTAATGGCTATCTGAGCTCCAGTGCTCCGGGCTTGAGAATAAAGTTGTAATGGGCAGGGAGGAGGTGGATCTTCACCGCCTCCATCATGATTCATGACTGACTCAACTGTACTGACCTACTCCCTACAGCTCACAGCTCTAGTTCATAGCCCACCTCCCGCTCTCTCTCTCTCTCTGTCTCTCTCTGTCTTAATTTTTTTCTTCCTCTCCCCTTGGATAATGCTTCACTCCCACTCGGCAGCAGCTGTATGCATAACAATCTCCCTGTGCACATGTATCTCTATATACATGTGGGTGGGGTATCTATTATTAAAACAAATCTGACACTTTGTGCAGCGAACACCTCTGGCAGCCTTTCCATTTGTACGCTTAATCAAAAAGTTCACTGACTGTGTTGCTCCTGAGCCGAGGCGGCCTCTGCATCCTTCATACCTTCTTACCTTGAATCACAAATGACCTTCCATGGATGAAATCTACTTCTGGTTGCTATGCATCTGCTAATAAATGATTGTACACAGCAGCTCCTCCATTGAAAGGTTGTGTGTTTTTGATTTCAACCCCACGACCTACTGACGTCACTAATGCAACACCTAATTTCATCGGGTTATTAAGTTCACCCGCCGCTTCCATAATTAATTAGAAATCTCATAGGGCTGAATCATTAGATTGTTACGTTTGTAAATTTAAACCTGTTACTCTGATTTAACACAATAGTCATATGTGTGCTTATAGTGCACCTACTGTACTGTATTGTCTTCATCCCATTTTCCAACCTGGCAAGTGGACAGTGTGCAATAAAACTAAATAAATGTGTCAGAGTGAGACACATTGTGCCAGTGAATATTAAATAGCTGTAGTTTCTCTGTCTGATTGTTGGTGGTGATAGTCTGCCAAGAGACACAGTTGTCTATTTGCTCATCCCCATTCTGCATGCATCATTTACTTTGATTTTTTGTTTCCCTCAGTTGACATCTACATTTCATTATGAAAATGGTATGAGGAAAGCATTAAACAAAATGAAATTGTGGTGTTGCGTGCCAGTGACGTCTGAGATACTGTATGCAAAGTTCATTAGACTACAAAATAAACATGACCTACATTGCCAAACATCAGAGCATTCAAAAGTGAATCTGGTGCACATCGGGCATGGATACTGGCTCACCTTGGTCCTTCTATCCGTGACTCAGACAAAGGCATGATGTGGGAAAGTGAGTGGGCATGTGTATGTGTCCTTGTCAAAAATGTGTGCGTACACTCATATGCATACATATTAATGTTAAAGACATACACATGCATGTGTTTAAAAGGTGTTTGAAAGTGGAATGACGCAGCCATGTGTGTGCAAGAAGGCCCTGAGATTGGCTTGGAAAGCTTTGAGGGTGACGCAAACTTCATCGGAAGATTTCACGCTGCTTTGGAGATCATTAAAAGTTAGAGGCATCAGCTGCACCTTACGCATGGAAGGTACACAATATCCCAACAACAGGATCAGATTCGTAAGAGCCACAAAGACCCAGATGGGGTCCTCTGCTCATTGAACCACTCCTGACTTGATTAAGAAACACTGAAAAAAAACCCAGCTAGGGTATGCGATTGTCTTTTCACAAAAGGGCAGGCTTTTTAATCCATAGAGGATAATGTGCCAGACGCTTCAGTCCTATTAACTTCGATGAATTGTATATGTGTGTCTGGGTGCTTGTGTGTGCTGCAATGGCACCTTGATATATTTTCATTTTGCTCTGTAACAAAGCGACTGTTGGCGCTGTGTCAAGTGGCTCTCCTCTTTGCAGTTATATTCACACGAATGTGTTTCCTCTTTTTCCTCTGCAGGGCCCATTGAGATGCTTGAGATACAAGTGGAAGGGATGCTTGTTTCATGCACTGATCGACCCTGGTTGATCAGGGAGGGGAGGAGCCAGAGCTGAGGCCCAGCATCAACCTAACCCTTTACATAAAGTGCTAATGGCTCTCAACCACCAGGAGACGAGATCATCTGGACAAATTCCTACTTGGACTTTTGAGCACTTAACAACCCCCAGGCACAGCTGTGCCAGGGCAATGTTACTGTGAAAGTGGGGGAAGAGAAATTTAAGAAAGTGCATACAGATAGATGACCTTATACAGTAGTTGTGTAGGTGATATTTTTTGTTACATAGAAATAGTTGAATTAAAGATTAGAACGCTGCTGAAACCCTATCATCAAAAGTAAAGAGGCAAGTTTAAATAAAGAAGTACAAGATGGGGTGAAATGATGTCAGCCAGTATTTGATTGATGTCTACACAGACGTCTGCTCTGTGCATACTCAGATGGAAATCAATAGCTCCACTCAACCGATGGAATTTGCCTTTTAAGAATTGTAATTGTTTGTGTCTGGAGAGCCTGGCAGGTCTGCCTGTGAGATAAACGCTGCTCTGCTGGACTGCAGATAAGGAGAAAATAATATTGTGTCAGTATGTACCATATGCACAATCACATTGTTTGTTTTTGTTTTTTTGGAAAGACTAATGATTTGAAATGAATGATGTGGTCACTGATCTGTGTCCAGACATTATGTTCCTTGTACATCAAAATCTATGTGCTCAACTGGTGCCATGCAAGTTGTTTGTTTTTTTTTCATACTAACATACAGAGTAAAGTGGCATAGTTACAGCTTTAAAGGATCCTTGAAGAAGTAATAATTTGCATCAAATTTTCTTTGTATACAAATATACATGTACATGTTTGATATCTATATATTTCAGGCATTTTTCTACAGAGACTTTAACATTTAAAGAGATGATATTTTTGATATTGTGCTGGATGACTGAGAGGTACTTTGACGAGAGCTGACATTCCCTCGAGGTGTGTGTTTTTCAGCAGGGCATAGCAGGATGAGTAATTTATATATATAGCAACAGGATAGTGTTTGTATGTATGAACTACAAATTCTCCAGTATGATCACTTCAAGACACCTTACAGAATAGGTTGTATTGTGAGAAAGAAAATATAAGGTGGAGAAGAAAAAATGGCGTAAACCAAATACCTAGTTGTGCTTTATCAGACGGGAGGCATGGGGCTGAATGAATGCATGACTGAATCTTCACTTTGTCCTGCCATCACTGTGTTTTTCTATGCATTTCTGTGGAGAGGCTGTCTGTTGGTGGGTACAACATGCAGGGTGCTCTGCTCTCCATAATACAGAGTTAGGAAGGATTCGCTGTCATCCTCATATGATGTCCATCAGGTTATTTCTGCAGCCACTATAAACCTGACCAGTGTCCTGGGTTTTATCACATTGCTTAGGCCAATCACTCATTGATCATTAAATAATAATAATAAGGTTTAGTTAAATACAGTACTGTGCAAATGTTTTAGGCAGGCGTGGTAAATATGCTGTAGAGTGTACAAACAGAAGAAAAATCTTAATCAAATCAGTATTGCAGACATTACAATGTGCTTTACAAGGACAAAATGAAAAGTAAAGAAACTGGGAATTTACTGTGTGTGTGTGTGTGTGTGTGTGTGTGTGTGTGTGTGTGTGTGTGTGTGTGTGTGTGTGTGTACACATTTTCATAGGTCATTTTGGATCAATAAAAGGGTGACAAACATATGCCGGAAAGTAACAAACATTATTTGATACACACAGCCTCTCTCTCTCCACATTCAGACTGGAGACACCACACTTGTAAACTCCAGCTCTTTGTTCTCACTGGACACAGAGACTGAAATCATGACCAAACTCTGGATCAATCAAGAATCAGATTTAAAGGTTATTGGATTGTCTCAAAAAGCTGTCAGCTGTATTTTGTTGTGTGTCCACAAATGGTTGGAAAATAACTTGTGAGAAGTAAACACTTTACACTTAATGTTGGTGTGTCTGTGTGTATTTTATGGACTGAACTATAACTTAAAACACGGGAAGTGTTGATTTTTATGTCTTTATTATAAACTGTGCTCTTACAAATTGATCTTTTAGAATTGAATGAACGAGAATGAATGTGAACTAGGAGTCAAAGAGGAAACAAACGAGTGCCAGAGCATCACACTTCAAAAAAGCAGTGTGAGCAAACCTTTCAGAAAGAAAAATACATTAAATATCAGTTAATTGAAGATTAGTGTGATGAGATAGTAAGCTGGCGGCGCTAAAGGCTATTGGCTGTCGCCAGAAGATATTCTGATGAATTCATAGTGGCTTATTATGGTCATATACGCATTATAACATCGGCCAAAGCCAGCAGCTGAAGGCCTTAAAAATGAAGGACGGGGTCACAGGAACAGGGCAGCTGTAGTTAAACTCCTAGAGTAAAGAGAGGCGGTCTTTAGACTAGAACATCACAAGTTCATATCCATGAGCTGGGAAAATCTGCTAAGAAAATGTGCCTGGGAAATGTACATGTTTAACTATCTGCCTTTGTACCCTTGAGCAAGGCTAACTAACTAACCCAACCCAAAGTAAAATGGTCGAGGAACACTGTGGCTGCACTCTGTGGATGATTGCAGCTTTGTGAATGAAAAGCAAGTCATTGCTGAAGAAAAAAAGCTAAATGTTTGTAACCACTTCACAGTGGGCGGCACTATTATTGGTATTCTTGTCCAGCCGCAATTTTGCCAAAGCTGTTCTGTCATATTTTGAAGGTTTAACTTTAACTCTTAAGTTCTGTTATTGGTTGGGACTATTTTGTTCATGCTGGACAAGAAGAGAGGCTGTCTCCAAACCAGATCCTCACTAACACTCACACAAAGATATTGTATAAAGATACTGTAACATATGATAAATGTACAGTAGGAAACCTGTGAGGTTAAAGCAGAGCTATTCTGCTGTCAGACATATCCAATTATGTATTCAAAATCAACATCAGATCAGACTCTGTATCAGCAATTATTGAAATACTAATGGAAAAAAACACAAGGACTCTTTGACAACATCCGGACTTCCAAGTGCCTTCAACGGAGTCTCTAGAGTCCATGGGCCCCTGGGCCTGTGCTGTGTAGGCCCATTCAATAATCCATTCCATGATGAAATATCAAGGAGACTCCAAACAATTACATTTGCGTCAAACAATCTGTTCAAGGTCTTATGGTATGTAACTGAAGTACTGTGCTCAAGTACAGTTTTGAGGCAAGTGTACTTAAGTATCTCCATTTTCTGCTACTTACTTCAACAGCTACAGTTATGTTAAAGACCAACATTTTGCATACAAAACATAAGGTTGTCTATTATGATATGCTGCATTGTTGGGGATTAATCTACTCCACAGTAAATAGTTCTAGTTAGGTTTTCCTAAACCAGCTGAATCACTGAAATGCTGCGTACATATTAATACATCAGTAATAACACCCCAGTGGTATAATATAATTATACACTTGTTTTAAGTAATAAATTATCAGCAACTGAGTATTTGTACATTGAGGTGATTTTCAGGGCTGCAGCTGAGAGTTCTTTTCACGATCTATTAATTGTTTATTTGATTAACTGATAAGTCCTTTGGTCTATCAAATGTCAGAAACTCCCAAAATATTCAGTTTACAATCACATAAGACAAAGAAAGCCCATTTAAGAGGCTGAAACCAGAACATGTTTGCCATTTCTGCTTTAAAAAAAAGACGGATATTTGCAGATTAATTGAATTGGTTCATCGTTTCAGTTCCACAACTATCCCTCAAGTAAAATACATTATGTTAGGGTATTTAATATATATCTAACAATAATCCGCATTGGTTTTATCAGAGAAGCATCCGTGCAGGTGCAGCAGCTGTTAAGTGCCACCTTTCCACCTTTTTATTTACGGGCGAAGACGGGGTGCGCTTGTTTTAAGTTACCGTTCATCCGGATGGCAACCGTTTCACCGGAGCGACAGGAAAGGCTTAATGATGACCCCGCCCAGTCAAGCTGGCCGCGTAACACACAGCCTGTTTCCTCCCCGTGGGTCACGTGACAGGGAAGAAAAAAGAACGAAGGAAAAGATTAAGGAAAGAATAAACAAACAGCGGGGTTATCTTGCCTGAGGAGGAGGCGTCGTTATCTGCAGGTAATAAGACGCTTACCTAGTTAATATAACACTGTCACAAAGTGTGAGTTTAAGGTAGTGTGTAACTGTAGCGCTAGCTAGTACTCTGCGGGTTGGTGCACTGAATATGCTGACGCTGGATGCCCCGCTTGTATTCACCAACGCGGCTAAATGCGTTAAACTAGCTGGCACAGACAGATTTGCTTTCAGACAACAGCTCGTTTGTGGTTTGTGTCCCAGTGTCACGGACACTGTAGATGAAGTCCTGCAAAGTGCTGATGAGTCAAAAGCTTGTGACCAACCCCACAAAGCAAACAGCCAGCACCGCTCGAGACTGAATCACTCGTCCAGACACGATTAGCTGGCAGAGGTTTTGGTTGGGGGAAAACCAGCTAATGCGTTAAGTTACATGATCATCTTCCTCTGAAGTCGAAGAACCAGCAAAACTACAATCTTGTCGATCGTTTGATGTGGCAACTGTGGCGCTAAAATAATGATAGGTGTGTAACTTATTTCTCTCCTCCAGCCTGCTTTTGGAGAGGCAGAAAAAAAGACAAAAGGAGATGGGAGACATGTTAAGTTATTAGCTCCAGATGTGGTGGCAGGACGGTGGTGGATGTCAGCTGGATGTGAGATAAACACGTAAGTAAAACAACTTTAAATGTGTAGTTTAGTGACAGCATTTTGTCCAGGCAGACTGCAAGTATCACTTGTGCTTGCAGCAATAACACCAACTGTAAAAGCTACAACACAAACAAAATAGTTGAGCATAATTAGGGTGGTGGATAAAGTTATACCAGTGTACAAGGTACAGGGTTGTTTATTAGTCATTATACAGCACAAGGCTGCATAACGAAACGAAATTTGTAGTTCCTTCATGCTAGACACACACACACACACACACACACAACATATAATTAAGTGTAGGCCTATATTAAAATATGGTAATATATAAATAACATACAGTTATTTATATACATACACGTATCATCTGGGGTGAATGTAAACAGCAGCAACCAGATGATAATATAAAAGTTTGATCTTCACAATAAACAGTCTGACATTTGGGAAACAGAGTCCATCTTGACTGCGTTTGTGCACCAAGTATCATCGATGTAAAACACAGAGTCTGGTCCACCTCCTCTCATCTTGCTGGAGTCTTGCGCTGACAGCTCGGAACATGGACCACTTGCCCAGTGCTTGATCTGGGATGTTGATGTGGCAGGTCTCTTTAACGATGTGGGCACAACAGTCAATATGAGTCCCATTTTGTCCAGAACCGCTCTTTAGGAGCAGAATTAAGTCCAAGCTGGGCCAGCATGGCTCCTCCTCTCTGAGCGATCACCGCCTCCCGCCGTGGCGCCTGGTCCGGTTGTTTGGGCCGGGTGGATCGTGGTGGATCTATAATCCAAAAACCCTGTCTTCATCTTCCAATGACTGTATTTCTGTCAGAGGTAACAGTTAAAAACAAGTGTAGCGAAGTTTGAAGGAGCTACCGGCTGCTGCTTCTACAAGCGCTGCAGCCTTTTACTCAACAGATTCAAATTGGATTAGTTGTTGTTTACACAGAGGGGAAGGTCTGAGTCCTAATTTACAGCTGAACATGTGATTTTCATAGCTTAACACCACAACACTTTTAATAACACTTTATAAGTTAGCTTTTTAACAACATTTGCAGTGGGCCAAGTCTATCCAGTATTTCTTCTGTTTTATACTATAATTTTACTTTGGCACCACTATGCCTGAGATTATGGCTGCACACTTTCATAGGTAAAATAAAAGTAAAAGTACAATGTTAGCACTGCCCTGATGGCTGGCCAGATGGCTTAGCGGGGAGGAGACCAGAAAGTGAAGTTTGAAGTCCTGTTAGCAAGTCACTAAATCAGTCTTTTGTTTTGTTTTTAAAACACCTGATCCTTCTCTGAACACCTTTTTAACATGGTAAGAGCAAACAGACAATTTGCCCACTGATCATAAAACATCTCACATCCTTATTGATACTGTATCACCATGTCAATAAAGTAAAACTATACAGTCGTGTAGCCCAGAGAGCAAAGGGTCTGCAGGTTTTTCTACAGCAAACAGTTTAGCACGACTTAAAGCAGAGAGAGCGACTAATGAGCATACTGGAAGGAGAATGCTGCTGCACCCTTTTTATAAGGACTAATCAGTTTAACCTTGGGGATGACCTCTGTCTTTATACTGTTCTTTAGGTAAATAAACAGTCTACGGAGGAGGGGAGAAGATGAAGCTGAATGAACGCAGCGTGGCGCACTACGCCACCTGTGACTCACCGCCCGACAAGACAGGCTTCCTGTTCAAAAAGGGCGAGCGCAACACGGCTTATCACCGGCGCTGGTTTGTCCTGAAGGGTAACATGCTCTTCTACTTCGAGGAGCGTGACAGCCGAGAGCCTATCGGTGTCATCGTCCTTGAAGGGTGCACCGTGGAACTGTGCGAGTCAGCTGAGGAGTTCGCCTTCGCCGTCAAATTTGACTGTGCCAAAGCGCGGGTGTACAAGATGGCTGCTGAGAACCAGGCAGCCATGGAGTCATGGGTGAAAGCTCTGTCAAGGGCCAGCTTTGACTACATGAGGCTGGTGGTGAGGGAGCTGGAGAGGCAATTGGAGGAGATCCAGGAGGCTGCAGGAGGGGGCTACGTCGGGGTTGGAGTTGGAGGCCTGCAGGTCAGGCCAAAGTCCTACCGGCGACACCAGGTGGCACGGTCCAGGTCTGGAGCATCCTCTTCTTCGTCATCTTTATCGTCCTTTTCATCAACCTCAAGCGCTCCTCTCGTGTCAGTCCCCTCCTCTGCCCAAAAGAGCCTTCAGGAAGAGGTTAGGATTGAGGAGGAGTGTT